AGATTGGGACTTTGCTCACAAAACTTCTTTCGGACATCTTTCTGAGTAAGTTAACATTTTGTCTTTCCATTAATAAAATTTGCTCCTTTTCAGAGGAACAACGATCACAGACAGACGAATTGATTATGGGTCTCAGCGAACATTTTCCTGAAGACATTGGGATTCTGGCGCCGCTCTTCCTTAACTACGTCAAGCTCAAACCTGGACAAGCGACATTTCTCGGACCTAATGAACCACATTCTTATTTGTCTGGAGGTGAGTGATTAACTTTTTAAAAATCAGAAAATATTTTTTACTCTTAAACAGATTGCATTGAATGTATGGCTCAATCCGACAACACTGTTCGCGCTGGACTCACGCCAAAATTCAAAAACATCCCCTTGTTCTGTGAGAACCTCACCTATCGAATGGGAGGGCCGCCCATTTTTGAGCCGCAACATCTGGCTGGCGGTGTAGATGAATATTCGCCTGAAGTGCAAGAATTTGCAGTCCACAAACTGAATGTAAGCTGTTTTCTTTTGTTCGACTTTGAAAAAGTCCTCTTTAATTTTAAAAATTTCAGAAGGAAGTCTCTGTGGTCCAGCCAATCGCCGCTGCTTCAATCTTGATAGTCGTCAACGGTTCTGCCACAATACTCCCAAATGAAGGCAATGAGGAAAAGATTGAAAAGGGTGATGTCCTCCTTTTGCCGCAGCAACTTGGAGCTAAACTGAATGAAAAGAGTGACGATTTCTTGGCATTTCGGGCTTACACACCGCCGCCAAAAGAGAAGTAATATGGATATATAGAATTGTTGTGATATATATGTGTAATATAATAACTAAAATATTTGTTTTCCAGCCCTAAATTGTGATATTCCCTTGTGTCTTAACATAAACTTTGTTCCTTATCTATAAATATTTTAGTAACTATTGTACATAGTGTAATATATTGTATAAATTGTTTTTCATATAATTGAGAGGTTTCTTAAAATTTGAAAAGCATCGAGAAGATTTTCCGGAAAGGTTAAATAAAATACGGCTCTGGTACTTGTTTGGTCGTTTTGGAATGTTAAAACGGGTACCATTAAAGGATTCCTCATGGTACAATTAAAGAAATTTCCAAATTACGTTTCGCCTTTTCCATAATAACAACAGAAATTCTCTAAAATATTTTATTTTTGTTCGGACTCATAAACTTTTATTGACTCAAACTTTCATGGAATTTCCTTCATTTGACCACTAAAAATAAACATACCCATGAGTAGAAAAGAAAGGCGGATAACCACACAACCTTTAAAAAAATATTTTTTAAATAAAAAAATAAAAATAATTCTTACAAAATATAAGAAATAACGCCAATTGCCCAAATATCACAAGCTTTATCATACTTTTGAGAACTAAAAACTTCGGGTGAACTATAGTAAGGTGTGTAGAGTGGAGTTACCTAAAAATGATGAAATATTAAAAATAAAATTTTTTAAAAATAAAGTTTGGTTAGGTTGATTAGTGGCCCGTAAAGGAAAATATGTCAAAAATATTTCCCTATCAAATTTGTGGTAACTTTAGGAAATTAAACGAGGGGGGGGGGGGAGGGAACCCCCCAAAAATTAAAAAAAAACCAAAGATTTTTCTCCATCTTCAGATCGTTTAGCAAAACCAAAATCTGTCAATTTCAAAACCCCATCAGAGCCAGGTTCTGTATACAAAAGATTTTCTGGTTTAATATCTCGATGTGCAATTCCCAAACGATGTAAATGCCCTACAGCTGAACAAATTGAATAAATTATATTGGCTGCTTCTCTTTCGGTAAATGCTGATGCTGCCCTTTCCTAAAAATTGGGAAATAAAAAACTTAAAATATTATGGATACAAAAATGAATTTATATCAATTTCAGACAAAATAAAAATTAATTGGCCCAAAGCAGGTTCGAACCTGGCTTGTAAAAATGTGGGGTTAACACTTAAACCACTACACCACAGACCAATTGAAATTAATTTTTTAAATTTATTTGATATACATAAAATAAACATGTCAGGCACAAAAATACTAACTATAAAAACCCCTCCCTTCAATCTTTAAAATAATTTTATAAAAAACCTGAATTCTAGTAAACAATTCCCCACCATCCATTCTTTCCATAACAAGCAAAAGACACTTAACTCCATTATAACAATTTTCATAAACATCATATATTTTAACAATATTTGGATGAGAACAAGATTGGAAATGATATTCAGCTTCGTTCTTCGCTTTAGGCAAATCACGAAGAATTTTTAAAGCAAATCTTTTGCCCGCTTTGTTTTCGCATTCGACTACTTTTCCGTTAATTCCGACGCCTAGAACCTTTAAAAAAATAAAAATTTTAACGGAAATAATTTTAAATTAACCGTTGGATTAATTACATAATCATCTTTAATTGAATTCGTTTTTAATTTTAAAACCATTTTTGTGTTGTTAATTCGTTGTTAAAATTGTTAAAAAAATTTTTTTTTTAATTGTAGAAAATAATTAATTAATTAAAATAATAAATTCATTAGTTGTTTACTTTTTAAAAATTAATTACGTTGTAAATTAATCATTGAAACTGACGAAAGCCACCACGTGATTTATTTATTTTTACACTAAAAATATTCGTTAAACAACTAAAAAAAGATTACAAAGTAACAAACAAAAAAGAGAGGGAATTATGAGTCTAGAATGATGAATTTCGAAAAAATTATAGGTCTATAACTTTTTGTATATTTAACATTTCCACATATTTTTTGTTCCAATCGAAAGCTCTAATTATGTAGATTATTTTTGTAAAAGAGATTGTTCAGATCCGATCATTCTACGAAAAGTTACGGCCAAAAAACGGCAAAAAATCACGATTACTTGCATTTACCAGACTCTAACTTTTTAGAAAATGATCAAATCTATTCAATCTCTTTAACAAAAAGAGAAAGCACGTTTAAAGCTTTCGAATGATATATAATTTGTTAGAAATTATTTGCAAATAAAAAAAGCTTTACAACAAAAACCACGTTTTCGTGCCCGCTCAAAACATCAAACGCTTAAAATATCTAGACGACTAAAAACGCTCAAAATATCTAGACAGGTAAAAACGCTCAAAACATCTAGACGACTAAAAACGCTCAAAATATATTCGCTCAAAACATCAAACGCTCAAAATATCAAAATATATTTTTCTATTTAAAGGGGACAGTTGAGTCCGCGGAAAAAAGTTTTTGCCGCTGCGGAGGAAGCCGGGCATGTCGAGCGGAACGACGGCCGCCGCTTCACTACGGTCGCCGCGAGCGAAGCGAGCACGACCGCAGCGAAGCACGGCAATCGTGTAGCGAAGACCATGCCCGGCCTACCCTCCGTAGCAGCACAAAAACAGTTTATCCAGCGAAGATTCTGTTGGTCATAACATTGTCAAAAATCATCCAATCGAGCTGATTTTGGTGTTATTAGACTCAGCTCGACGAGCCCTTTCTCAACACGTCGAGTTCATGCAAAATTGGTCCTGAGATACTACATTAATCACCCCTGATACAAGGAAGAAATATGGGACTCAACTGTCCCTTTTAATCAAAAAATATTTTGATATTTTGAGCCTTTTTAGCCGTCTAGATATTTTGAGCGTTTGATGTTTTGAGCGAATATATTTTGAGCCTTTTTAGCCGTCTAGATGTTTTGAGCGTTTGCTGTTTTAAAAAAATATGTTTTGTAGGGTAGCCCCACGTTTTGCAAGACAAGCAAAGAGGATTTCGTAATTATGGAGAGTTGACATTTTGTAATTTAGAGGCCAAAAATATTTCATTTCACCAAATTAATTAATTCAAGACATTTTACCAATTTTACAAAATTTTCGTTTCGCCAACTTTGCATTTAGTCCACTTTCTATTTTTTATCTCTTTTGTAGTATGAGAGGGAAAGATAAAAGGAGTAAATACTTTTTAATTGAAATGGAGTAAATAGATCTAGTGAAGTGGTTATTTTTAAGAAAACGAAAGATAAGGTAGGTAAATAAGCAATGGAGGAAGAGAATTTTCTTTTAATTTTATTCTGATCTTGGAAAAATTTTTTTTTGAAAATAAACAAAATCCCGAACTTAACACAACCTCTTTACATCCTTCTTTTGATTAATTCTCAACATTTTGTGTCTTATGACTCTTAAAATTGTGTCCAAAACCTGTCAGTTTAATTTTTAATAAGCTTACTTTAATGCCAGAAAAAAGTGTTGAGATTAAAAAATAATGCTCTTTTTGATGATTAAATAAATACAGTCTATACATAAATATTTATTTTCGTCTTCCAAAATTTCCTTATCTCTAAAAATAAAAATTTTCTGATTTTTCTTTTAATTTTATTTTTTTTCTCTCCTCTTCTTCCCTCTTTCCTCTCTTTCTCATGTTCTTTAATCCTTAATTCTCTTTATCAAAAAAAAATTTTTTTAGCAAAAAATACCTTTATCAAAAAAATTTTTTTCTTAGAATTTTACACCTCTAAATTATTTCCCTTCTTTTTAATTTTTATCAATTTTATTTTTCCAAAAATGAATTTTATTAAGCTTAACAAAGCTTGATTGATTGCCTATAACTTAAACACAAAACACCTAAAATTCTGAAATTTTATTCTGATTTATTTAATTTCTGACTTCTAACTATTCTGACAATTTCAGAATTTTTTCTTTTTTATTTCAGAATTTTTTCAGAATTTTCAGTCAGAATTTCAGAATTTTTACCCGAAATTCTAACATTTTTGGCCATAACTCTGTAAATTTTCAACCAAAAATTCTGAAATTTTTAGATAAGTTAGATAACACTATTAACTGCCACTATAAAAAATTTCACATTTTTAGGTAATTTTTTGACTAAATTACAAATTTTTAAGCAACGTTACTTCACACCCCAAAAACACCCTTAATACTTTCTCCTCTTAAAAAATGGTTCATGATTTTGTAATTGGAAATTCTGCTAAATTATTATTACAAAATTTAGATGCAGATAAATTACTTAATCAATTTGGAAAATATGGCCGTTATCAGGTCAATTAAATTACTCCATCTCTTTTTATTTTTTTGTTTTTTGTAGCTTTTTGTTTATGCAATGGTTTCAATTAATTTTTATATTTTTTCTTACCTCACAACAATGTTTTTTCTCTATTTTAGTAATTTATTTGTTTTTTAAATTTCAGAATTTCATTAATTGGCGAGTTTCCCGAAGATAAATGCTCTACTAATTTAACTGTGATTAATGTACGAATTAAATATTACTAAATTTATTTTGTTTTAATTTATTCTGATTATGTTTTTAAACTGTTTTGATTTAATTCTGATTTATTCTGTTTTTGTTTCTAAGATGTTTTAAATTTATTCTGATTTTGTTTATAAGATGTTTTGATTTAATTCTGATTTATTCTGTTTTTGTTTCTAAGATGTTTTAAATTTATTCTGATTTTGTTTATAAGATGTTTTGATTTTATTCTGATTTTGTTTATATGATGTTAAGAATTATTTTTTGTGTTTGAATAAAATTCTGATTTTATTTAATGTTGCGGTGAAATTCTGTTTTAGTTTTGTTTTGAAAAGTTGAAAATTAATTCTGATTTTGTTTTTGATATGTTTGTTTTAATTCTTTTTATTTTTAAACATGTTCGAATTTAATTCTGATTAAATTCCTTCTGTTTTTATATGTTGAGAATTAATTCTGATTTTATTTTACTATTGTTCTAATTTATTTATAAAACAAGATACAAAACATCTTTCTTGTTTAGACTAATTTGACAAACACAACAGACAAATACATATCATTAGCAGACGAAGTAAGCGAAAGATACATGCTTTATTTTTAAATAAAATTAAAAATAGTTTGGAATTACTTGCGAGTCTTCTGGTATTCTAGATCATGCTAACGGAGTTTTTATGATTGGTTAAAATTTTTAAAAATAATTTTAAAACATTTTTTTATTTAGGCAATTTTATGGCTGCCCCTTTTTCAACTTACTTGGTCTTAAAAATATTTTTTTAAATTTATCCTCTGTATTTTTAAGGCAGACCGTTATGGAAGAAGACTAACATTTTTAATACCTCTCTGGATAATTATTTTCCTAACTATTGCTTGTGCATTTTCCCCAACATTTATTTGGTTTTTAATTTTTCGTTTTCTATCGGGTGCTTGTGGAGCGGTGAATTTTCTTTTAAAAAATACAAAAAAAACATTTTTAGGCTGTTATGGTAGTTGGTTTTGTAATAACAGTTGAGGCAGTTGCGGGTTCTTTTCGGTCAATCCAGGCATTATTAAATGCTTTAATTTGGGTAAAAATATAAAAAAAACTAATTTTTTTATTAAATATTTAAAGGTTTTTGGGATTTTTTCTGTTGGAATTCTTCATCATTATTATATTAAAAATTGGCGTTATTTATATTTATTTATTGCGTTTCCTGGATTAATTTCTATTGTTTACTATAAAGTTTTTCCAGGTTGTAAACTCAGAATTTAATCCGAACTTAATCCAAACATTATTTAAATAAAATCAGAATTAAATCCAAACATTCTTTAAATGAAATCAGAATTAAATCCAAACATGTTTAAATGAGAAAATTTAAAACAAACACATTAAACACGAAATCAGAATTAGTTCTCAACATCTTCAAAACAAGACAAAAACAGAATTTACCCCGAACATTCATAAGAACTTAAGTTTACAAACTTAAGATGTTGGAAACTTTAAAAGTTTTCTAAACATTTAAATGTTCACGAACATTAAATCTCATGTTTAAACTTAAAACATTGTTTCCAAACATTTTCAGAATCTCTCCATTGGCTAATAGCAAACAAAAAAACAGAAGAAATACGTAAATATATAATAAAATCGTCTAAAATGAACAAAACACATATAAATTTAAATATATGCAGAACAGAACAAATAATTGAAAATGGAGTTGTTGTTGATTGTTTAGAAGAGAAAACAGAAGAAAAATCAGAAACATTAAAAACGCCCCCAAAAAGAAACTTTTTTGATCTTTTTAGAAGGCCAAGTTTTACTTTTCATTTAACGCTGAATTGCTATATTTTGTAAGGGGAAATTTTTTTAAAAAATTTTCAAAAAAAATTTTTTTTATTTTTTCCAGTATTGTTCTCAATTTTCTTTATTGGGCATTAACTTTATATAGTGTTGATTTACACAAAAATAAAATGGTTGGATTTTTTCTCTCTGCGGTAGTCGAAATACCCGCTGGAATTATTTCTATGATTTTATTAATGATTTGTGGAAGGCGAACAGTTACTGTTATTTCTTTAACTGGACAAGCAATATCTTTAGGATTGACTATTTTTACTCCACGTGGGTTTATTTTTAGAGATATTTCGAGTCTCGAATATTTTTTGACCTTCGAGTTTCGTATTTCGTGTTTCGACTTTCGTGTTTCGAGTTGTTGAAATGTTTCGAATTTCGAATTTTTTGGACTTTCGCATTTCGAGTTTCGTTTTCAGGATTTTTAGAATTTTTTAATAAATAGGATTCGAATTTCGTGTTTCGTTTTCAACTTTCGTGTTTCGAGTTTTTAATTTTATCATAATTTGTTTTCACTTTTAATATTCTTCTCCTAGGCGGAACAACATTAAATTTATTATTATCCCTCTTTGCCAAAGTAATGAATACTGTAGCTTGGGCATCCGCCCCTCTTTTACTTAGCGAAATGGCACCTACAACAATAAGAAATATGAGCTATGGATTTGTTTCTACAATTGGGGAACTTGGATCTGTACTTGCTCCTTATATGAAAAGAATTGTAAAAATTGAAGAAAAAAATTTTTTTGAAAATTTTTTTTTGAAATTTTAAGGGGGATGAAAATAAACAAAAAGGAATAATTGCATTAATGTCTATTTTGGCTGTTTTGGTTTCGGTGATTTTTTTAAATTTTAATAATTCCGCCACTCTTTTCACACGTTTCGATTTCAACTTCCATAAAGGGTAGCATCCCGTCCTCCGAAACCCCGACGAATTTTTAGGCAAAAACTCTAATCCGAACCCCGAAGGCCCTACCCCAGCAAACCACGAAACCCTGCACTCCCGTCCCGAAGGCTTGGGATGCTACCCTAATTTAGAATTTGGAGGCTTTTGCTTAGACTTCTCCCCTCACCCCGTGGTCAATCTAATTAAAAAAAGTACTTCAAATTGAGAAATCCCCGAGACTTTAACTAATTTCGATGGAAATTATATCCAAATTTCATTCAAATCTTTTTAAAAAAATTTTTTTTAATTTAGATGATGGCACCAGAAACAGTTGGAAAATCATTACCACAAGATTTGGACGATTTTGATTCTGGTCCCTTTATAAATTTTATTAAAAAATGTCGTAGAGTAATACGTCCAACAAAAAGGGAAGACAAAAGGAAAGAAAATGGGAAGTTAAGCGAAAATGTTATTTTCTTAGAAGAGAAAAGGGAAGACGAAAAACTACAAAATGCTCATTAAATTTAATTTTTGTTGATTGTGTTAATTTTTTATATAAATTTTGACGATTTTTAAGATATATATTAAAAATATTTAACAAAATATTTAAAAAAAATTTATTCCCTTCAATAAAAAATTTAAAAAATCACAAGTCTCTGGGTTAAAAGAATAAATAAGGAGGCAGAATTTAGTTAACAATAATTAAGTAAGAAATATTAAGATATGCTTAAAATCCAAAAGAATGTTTTTATTAATTGCAGCTGGAGTGTATATTTATTTAAATAAATCCCTTTCAGATCAATTTTATTTAAAAAAATCCAAAAATTCACTTCAAGTAACAGTGCAAATATAAGGCAATTCTTTTGTCAATTCTTGAAAGATCGTAGCAATCTTTTGAAAAAAAGTAAAATTTTGTTATTTTTTTTCTTTATATTTTTCCCCATAACAGGAAAGAACCAAACAAGAGTTGGTCTTTATCTTATCATTAAGAAAAGTCAACGGCGAAAAATAAACTTAAATTAAGTATGTCCATAAAAAGATCACAGAATTTATGTGGATGATGAAAATAAAAATTCTTTTCAAGGACCAAGAAAAGAATTTAGGAAAAAATAGAAGTGTCCTTCCAACAAAAAAATTTAAAAAGAAAACTACTTACAATACTCGAACAAACAAAAAGAGAAAATAAAGTTAATGCTGTCCACCAAGCATAATTCTCCCAATTTCGTTTACGTAAATTTCGTAACAAAACAATTCCCAAGAAGAGGCCAGCAACAAAGCCCCCAATATGGGAAATATAAGAAACCTTTAAAATAAAAATTTTAAACAAAAAATTTCCAAAAAAAAAACTTTATTTGGCATTGAAGAAAAATAACGTTGATAAACAGAAACTCCAATATCTGACGAAACAAAAATTCCAAAAATTGCTGCACGTATCCAATTAAATTCCATTTCACTCCAATTAATTATTATCTAATTAAATGAAATTTTTTTTTAATTTTTTAAAAAATAAATTTTGAAAGTATTTTTTGAGTGAATAATTTGAAGAAAAATACCCTTAAATTTAAAAAAAAAAATTTTCTAGCAGAAAAAATATTTCTCGTTCAATTTTTTGACTGAAAAATAAAATTAACAGGTAGTTTTTAAATTTGTTTTGGAACCATAAAAGCAAAGAAAAAATTTATTTTTGAATTTTTATGAATTTTTGATGAAGTTAATTTAAGGGGTTTTAGAGGAAGAAACTTAAAAAAATATTAAAAAAATTTACATTAGCAATGTGGGCAGATAACAAAGCATAACTTTAAAAAATTAAGTAATAAAAAAAATTAAATCAAAATTTACTTACACTCCTCCAGAAGCCCCAGCAAGATAAATATCACGATCAAAAACAAAGAAAAGTAAAGCTCCACAAATAACTCCAAGAAAATAAAGACAAGCTATACGCCAAAATTTGTGGACAAGTTCTAAAGGTATTCCAAGCAAGAATTGAACTGCCAAATTATTTAGAAGGTGAACAAAACTGAAAAAAAAGAAAAAATACAAATTAGAGGAGTATTTAAAAATTATTAGGCATCGAACGGATTCAAACCTTCAACCATACAACACAAAGTCCAGGCATAATGCACTTAACCACGAAACAACCTTATCAGGTTTTGTTTTTGTTCGATTACGTCGATTAAGGAATAATTTAAAATTTTTAAAGATGAATTTAAATTACCCAACGTGCACAAACATATAACTAAAATAGCGCCAAACTTCTTCCTTTTTGCAAGGATTCAAAATTAATGGAGATTTAACTGGAGCGCACTTTGCAGGCATAAAACGATTATTACGAGAACAATATTCTTAAATTGAAAATTGAAAAAATTAAAATTTTATAAAAAGTCCGCAAAGTAAATCCGCTTATTTCATCACATAAATTAAGTCACGAAAAAAATAAAAATCCAAAAAAATGAATTTTAAATAAAATTAGGGCTTCCCAGTTAATTCTATGAGATGATTAAAAAGTCCTATTTTCTACAAGCCTTTTAAAAATTTATTAAAAATACCCAATTCATTATACAAATAAAGTCCAACTTGAAGTAATGAAATCAGAACCTTTAAAAAAATTTTTCAAAAAAAATTTTTTTTCAAAAAAACTTGCCATAAAAACAGGCGGCGGCCAACAATTATATTCCAACAAATAACGTATTTTTTCTGTTTGTTGACTTCTAGGAAGGACAGAACGGGCAGCGTAGAGCATTACACTTTTTAAACGTAAATGTTTGGCTCTAGCCATCTAAAAAATTTCAAAAAAAAATTTTTTAAATTAAAAGTACCAAAACAGTAAATTCAGGAAAATCAACAAAATTGTCTTTATTTGAATCAATTCCAGCAATTAAAAAATCTGCTTCTTCTCTGTCTAATCCAAAGGCACGAGCTGTTGTACGAACAGAATATTTTAATTCTTCTGCAGGTATATAACCATCATTGTCTATATCAAACTTAAATTAAAAAATAGAGGGACATTAGAAATTAAAATCTCCCTAAAATAAAGAAAGGGAACCAACACCAAAATCTTGTCAATCAGGGACGTCTAAGGAAAGACTGTGTAAATCGCATGTCTATTTCAGCAGCAATATAAACATAGTGTAAAGCATATAGCTGTTTATTTCCTAAGGCTATGCAGTAGGCGGCGTGGTGTAATGGCTAGCACATCAGTCCGGTCTACTGAAGATGCTGGTTCGCTCCCAGCCGCCGATTAACCTTTTGCAGTAGCTAAAGAAGAGAAATAGCTATAGCCCAGCAGCTTACTATAGTTACTCTTACATCTGATGGTCTGCATTCGTGTGCAGAAAGATGTACAATTAGTAACCGGGTAGCCCAATAATTTCAAATATTTTTACGGCTTGAGAGGATTAATGAACTTACTTTTAAAGTTACACAAGACAAGCCTATTAATACAGCCTAAGACAAATCTATCAAAAAATAAAAAAACTAACCGCTCTAAATAAGTTATACCATTCCTCACATTCTTGCGGATTTTCACATTGCAACCTCTCAGGAACTGGTTGCATTGCTTAATCTTTAAAATAACAGTTAGAAAATTTGAAATAATAAAAGAAAAAAAAATTAAAAATATATAAATTAATCAAGATGAATAATTAGGAAAAAAAGGAATTAATTAATAAAATTTAAAAGAATAAATAGAAAAAATAATAACTAAATTAAATATGTATATCATTTCCCAATATTTATTCAATCATTTATTATTCAAGGCAGAGTTTGCAACAGAGCCAACAGCGCCTAAAATACCGTCGAGTAATCCTCCTCCAGCATTTCCATTAATTCCAGTCCCGGCTCCATTTGCTAGTCCACCTACAATATTAAACATTTATTGACTCAAATTATCAAAAAGAATACTTAAACCTCATACAAAATTCAAAAACGATTTTTTGGACAAGTCCCTATTAGTTTTAAAAAATCATTTTTATAACCGTTTGGTTGAACAATCGGTGATTGTTGAAGAGGAGAATTCAATGGATTCACAACAGGATTAACTGACTGAAGTTGAGGAGTTTGTTGTGAAGTAGCAAAATTTGGAAGAGGATTTGAAGCGAATTGTTGCATACCTGGGCCTAAAATTAATTTAAAAAGTTTAAATTAAAGAAAACAAACTTCTGAGAAAATTGGCCAATTGTGGATGGCTTTGATCAAATAAAGGGTTTGGCTGAGAGTTATACATTCTAACACCGTTTTGTAGAGAATTAAGAAGCCCGACACAAAACTAAAGAAATTAAATATTAGAGGATTATTGGAAAATTCTTGAGTTCTGAACTAAAATAGGCAGGCTTAAAATCCGAACCCCATAATTGGAAAAAAATTTTTTGGCAAATGAAAAATGCGAGGAATGAGAAGCCAAAGGGGAGCATGCCAACGTACCGCGGATAACTTTGTTCAAAATAGTTGAATCCGGACCGCTTAGGTATGGTTCGATGCATCTCGACGAGCTGAATCGAACCATATCAGGGCATCCCGGATTCGACCATTTTGAACGAAGTTATAGCTCTACGGTACGTTGGGCTCACGGTACGTTGGGGTGTACCCAAAGCCAAAGACGTTTCGACATTTGTCTTGGGGAAAATATGGAAAAAGTAGAAAAGAGGAGTACCAACAGAATTATAACATTTATTTGGCAGAAAATTACCTTTCAGATGAAATGAAAACTATAAACTAATCAAAAATATATCAAAATTTACTTGTTGAACAGCTTGCTGCATTGCTGGATCCATAGCTCCATATGTATTATATAATTGATTATAAGCATTGTAAATTGGTGGGTTCGTCAAACGTAAATTATTTAAAAATCCTTGAGAGAAGGGAGAAGAGGCGCTCAAAGCGTTGAACAGATTAGTCAAATTTGGTAAAGATAAAGAGCTAAGGAGTTGTGTCAACAGAGGTGAGAGTAAATCTGAAAATAGTGAAAATTAAAATTGGAACTGATGCTGTTGCCTCCCCTTCATAGTTAAAAAATTGTTTGTATATGAGCCAATATGCTCAGATTCTAGTCTATCCGACAAATCTTAAGTAAACGAGTCGAAAGCAGGTTTTAGAAAAATCAGGATGGGTGTAGGGGTTTTTCTGATTTTTTTGATCGGTCTTGACAATAAGACCGATAAAAGTTGATCTATTGAATTAGGACTACCGTAGTCTCTAATACAAGCACTGGACGTCTATTTTTCAATACCCCTCATTGAGTGGGCTTCTATTAGGGCATGAGCTTCTATTGGAGACGGGCTTCTATTAGGGCATGAGCTTCTATTGGAGACGGGCTTCTATTAGGGCATGAGCTTCTATTGGAGACGGGCTTCTATTAGAGACAATACGGTATACATGATACCCTTCTCTATGAGCTGTTATTTGTTATTTCACACACTATCGAAATACCCCAAAACTATAAGAGGGGGGATGATCGGCTTTCCACTAATATTTTTTCAAAAAAAATTCTTACACAAAAAATTTGGAGGTACATAATTGTAAAGACAATAAGGAGTTGGTGTATAACAAAAACCAAGTCCATTTGTGTAGTAATAGGGAAGATAATATCCATTAAATGTTGGTTGATTTGAATTGTATCCATTATAAAATTGTGTTAAAATTGCTGAAGGTCGAACAAGTAAAACTATTAAAAGAATTATTATTTTGAGTAAAGGGTGGAATATTTTCATTTTTTTTAAAAAATAGGGTTTATCGAAAGTGGAGTGTGAAATTTTTCAATTTTAATCCAATAAAAATTTATTTGTTTGTACAACTGGCTCAAAAAAATTTTTTTAAAGGCACGGTTTTTCAGGTTATATTTTTGGCAGTCAATTTATTCGAAAACGATTTTGGTTCATTTAAATTATAAAAAAGAAAATTTTGACTAGCTAAATTAACTCGAAGTGTAGAAATATTAACGTTGACTTATTTCAAAAACCTTATCTATCCTGAAGCTTAAGTGGTGCCTGTTAAAATCCATCAAAGAAAGCCTATACCAATAATACTTACATAATTGGTTTTTCACAAAGAAAAAACAAAAACTAACCGGTTTGAATAAATTATACCATCCTTGACATTTTTGAGAATTTTTGCAGTGCAACATTTCAAGAGGATTGATTGCATTGTTTGATCTTTTAAATATAAAAATTAAATAAAATAATTTTGAGTAACTAAAGTAAATTTGAAAAGATTAAAAAAATAAAAATTAAGTAAAACCAACTAAAAATTAATAAAAAATAAATTTATTTATTTAAAAATTTACGTTAAATATAGCAAAAAATAAAACAAATTTTAACCAAAAATTTTTTCAACAATCATAATCATCAAAATCTTCTGTCTTATCTTCTTTTTCTTCATCATGAAAAGCCCGCTTCCTCGAGTCATTATTTGTTCTTCCCATTAATAAATTGGCAACAAGATCGGGGTTAAAGTTTGTTGATGATTCTGGTTTTTGACGTTTAGGGAAATTTTCGGAAGTTTGAATCTAAATGAAAATTAAAATTTTTTAAATGAGTGTTTATATTTTTTACTTGTGAAAAGTATAGGGAATAATATTAATCTGTTTATCTTATTCCCCTACTAACTAAAAATGAATTAATTTATTACATAATATTCCTTGTTAAAATTAAAAAATTAAAATATGAAGAGCGAAACTAGGAAAGCGTAACTTATTGTCAGCTTTTATCATTATACTCAACCAATCCCAAGGACTGAAAATTTGACTGGCCATAACTCGGCCCAAACTAATTTTGCAAGAAGCAAACAACAATAGTAAATCGAGGGTCTTCTATCGAATGGTACCAAAAAATCTAGCAAATTCGCATTTAGAGTAAACAATGTTCCCATGTAAGAATAAAAAATGAATATTCGTATTTAAAAAGTAACCCTCATAAAAAGAAATTTTGAAAAAAAAGAATTTTACAGATACCCCGAGTATTTTTATATTTTATTAAATGTCAAAAAATATTTAAACAAACATTTTGTTGTCTCAATTCATCATCCTCATCTTCATTATTATTTGAAGTCGAAGGAAGATCGTCATAAATAAAATTAGATTGTAACTGACAAAAACGGTCATTAGGCAGTCGAAGTCCATAATTTTGTCTAATTTGGGGTAAAGGTTGAGAATTCTTTTCTTGTGCCAAATCATTCATTAAAGCAATAGGTGGACGGTCTTTACAATATTTTTCATCTAAAGAAGGGTTGAAAAGAAAATTTTTTTAATAAGAAAAAAAACAAACTGAATGTCTTCAATGCAAAATCAACATCACTTTTTTCAACAAATTTTTTCCCACTAAAATCAGCAACAGATCTAGCCTCTACTAGAACATTTTTTGTAAGAGAATAGGCCATGTCACACATCTACAGAAAAATTTTATTTAAAAAAATTTAAAAGAAAACCTGTAAAAGTAATTGAGGTTGACAGTCTTGAATTCCAGCTTCTTTGCACATTTGATTCATTAATTCCATTAAATGAGGTTGTTTTGTTGAAGTACAATTATCTGACATAATATTGACAAAATTGGGAAATTGTATAATAAAAATCTGAAAGAGTATAATGAAAATTTATGACTCAAATGGTAATGTCTTCCCCTTACATTCAATCAATTATTTTAAGGGCAAAGCCATAACTTTATGGAAAATTTGCTAGTCCTTATCAATTTTGGTACCAATCTCTTTAGCTCGATGAGAGGAATCGTTTAATACTAAATTTTAATTTTTTTAATTTTTTAATTTATTTATTCACTGAAAAGGACCTTATAAGAAGGTCACTAACATTCAGATAAAAATTGTGAAACAATTGTAAAACAAAGCATATAAAAATGATAAAAATAAAACAAAAAGTAAAAAAATACAAGTCACAATAGTGTATAAAACAAAGAGTGTCCACAGACTGTAAGGAAGTTTATATGAGTTGATTACCCAAGTTGTTTAATCTGGGAGAATGTGGACGCTTGTTTGTTGTAGACATTTTTAAGAAAAATTGAAATGCACAGGTGCTTTAAATTGCAAATCTTAAAATTTGAGTTATATAAATATTAGAAAAAAATAATAAATCCAATTGTTTCTCAATGTGTTTTAAAAATGCTTATAAAGTATTAAAAAAACTTATACATTAATGCAGTGAATGCAAAAAATGAGGGAGGGAAAAAACAAGTGGAGATATTACTAAATTATGAAAAGGTCAAAATGTAAAATACAAAATATATATTTTTAAAAGGGAAATGTCAAAATGTAAAATACAAAATATATATTTCTAAAAGGAAAATGTCAAAATATAAACGTCAAATGAACAGTTATGGTATGCCAACACAAACAGTCAAAATTAGTAAGGTTTTATGGATTTTTAGCTAGTAGTATACAAAACAAGTGTTTGAGCTCTCCAAATTTATTAAATATGACCTGAGCGCAATCCAAAAAATCTTTGGGTTTGGTGAGTTTATAATTGAAGCAGGTATTGTATTCCAAAGGTTTACAGCTCTGTTTATGAGCCAATGTTCGGTTTTACTGTTTTTTCGGTGGACCTTAATTTGAAACTTGTGTCTATTTCGACTAGGTCTATCGTTGAGCTCAAATAAATCGTTAAAGCTTAAATGTGTAAATTTAAAGATAATCCTATAAATAGTTGATAGATCATATAATGAGCGTCTTAATGCTAATGATTCGAGATCGAAGAGAATTAATCTTTGAGAGTAACTTTTATAGGTAATCTTACACTTAGATAAAGCGATCCTAGTATACCATTTTTGGATTTTTTCGATTTTTTCCACGAGATACTTAGTTTTTGGACTCCAGATAACTGTGGCATATTCTAGTAATGGCCTAACGTAGGATTTAAAGGCAAGAGCCCATACCTTAGGATTGCTAGTGTGTATGCTATTAAGAACTGAAGAAGCTCTGGCATAGGCTTTCCTGATAATAATATTATAGTGTAAATCGAAGGAAAGGTCATTGGTAAGGGTAATGCCAAGGTCTTTTATTACAGATGTTATTTGTAAAATGTCACCATTGAGTGTATATGTATATTTAGGATTTTTGGAGCCAATATTTAGAACAAATGTTTTTTGCGTAGATATTTCGAGTGCCCAATCGGAACTCCATTGAGAAATTATATTTAAGGCATTTTGTAGTGAATTAGTATTTTCTGAATTTTTAAATACTTGAAAAATCTTAAGATCATCAGCAAATAAACATTTACTAACATTATTGGGAATATAGAAGGTTAAATCATTTATATATATTAAGAATAAAATGGGTCCTAAGATAGATCCTTGGGGAACGCCAGAATATATTTTAAAAGATGTAGAAAATGTTGTGTTAATTTTTACTTTGGCTGTACGATCTGTTAGAAATGATGAGATCCAGTTAAGTAATTTCCCCCTAACTCCTATGTTAAATAATTTATAAATCAAGAATTTGACGGGGACAGAGTCGAAGGCATGCTTAAGATCAATATATACGCAGTCTACATTTTTATTTTCAAGTATAGCTCTATACCAGTGAGAGAATGTAAATATTAGTTGGGTAGTTGTAGAACGCTTTTTTAAGAATCCAAATTGGCTTTCACTAATAATTTTGTTTTCTTCTAAATGGGTCAGTAAACTGTTAAGTATGATACGTTCTAGCACTCTACATATAGCCGATGTAATAGAAATGGGTCTATAGTTTGCTGCAATAGTTTTATCCCCTTTCTTAAAAACAGGTGTGATATGTGAGACTTTCCAAGAATGAGGTAGAATTCCTGAATCCAATGACAATCTAAAAATATCAGATAGGAAAGGTGTAATAGACGAATGGCAATTTTTTAGCAAGGTATAGCTTATACCATCCTCAGAACAGCAGTTATTGTTAGGTAAATTCTTTAATATATTATCGATATCTAATAGACTAAATTCGATATCTTCAAGGGCATTTATGAAGTTACATGGGCTTAATTTAGGAGGATCAAATCTAGGGAGATTAGAAAAAGAATTTGCAAAAACAGAAGAAAATAAATTACATTTGGCCTGATCATCGAAAATAAAAGTATTGTTATGCTCTAAACATGATATAGGAGAATATTTCTGAGTCAGGTTTTTCATATATTTGGTCATGTTTTTACGGTTACTTACTATTGATTTAATTCTTTGTGATTTGTAAGAGTTAACAAGATGTTTAATTGTTTTGGAAACATTAATATATTCTTCTAGGCCACAATCTGATTTTTTAAACTCTGTAAATAGTTTTTTCTTATATTTGATGAGTTTCCTAATATGTGAAGGATAATTAAACGATTTTTGTTTTACGGTTATTGTGCGTAAGGGAGTATATTTTTCCATGAGAGTTGAGACAAGTTCAAGTAAGTATTCGTATTTATCTGATATATAGAATTTTTCATATATACAATTAAAATGAGAGATTAAGTAAGAATTTAATTGTTTTACATTAGTATAATCCCTAAAGCAGATTTTTTGAGGGTTGGGTTTAGCCATGTTAAGGGTAAAAAGAATAGAAAAGTGGTCTGAAGTAGATAAACCTGCACTAACATGGCAAGAACAGATAGAATTAGGATTATTCGTGAGTAGCAGGTCTAGTATAGAACCTTTATTGTGAGTGGGTGATGTAATGACATTATTAAGATTAAAGTTATTGGTAAATTCAAGAAATTCTTTAGCACATTTTGTAAAGGCGGTATTATCATTCCAGTTAATATTATTAGCGTTAAAATTAAAATCGCCTACAATAATAACATTTCCTTCGCAGAGATTTTGAAGGATTTTTAAAAGTTTAATAGTAAGTGAGCTAGTAATTGCTGGTGGTCTATATACTAAAATAAGTCTAATGCTAGCCTTAATAGAATGTATAGAAAGATCTACAGCAATTATCTCGATACCTACAATATTTTTAATGGACAATTGTTTATAAGAGATTCCCTTACGTATGAGCATTGCAACACCACCACCTTTACATTTAAATTTAATGTCACGATTATCTATAAGAATATGGAAATTCCTAGACGAATTTAGTTGATTAAGATGGGCATCATTTTCTTCAAGCCAGGTTTCAGTTAATAAAACAAGGTCTGGATTATAATCTACTATTTGAATGTCTAGTTCATTGATTTTATTACGAACAGATCGACAATTGTAGTATAAACATGTTAAATTTTTAAAGAGTTTAACGGATGAGATATAAGGTTGCGAGGCCATATTTCTTATATTTGGAGATTTTACAGATAAATTACATGAGACTCGATTACTAGTAGTGACTGTTTGTGTATGGCACTGGTCAAATGGAGAAATCCCTAATTGGATTGAAAATTGATATATTAGTGTTTAGAGTTTGTTTAAATTTAGGGATTTCACTCCTTAAAAGTACAGTACCGGCATATATTATATAATCAAGATTAGTGGATTCACGTTTTTGTTTACACAACTCAATCAATTTACTACGCTCATCTAGTTCTTGCTTAGTCAAACTCTTACGAACCACAATGTTTTTAAATTTACCAACCAGTTTTTTCTTATTTCGAAGGGCCTCGGTTACCGCTGCTGAACATGGAAAAAGAATTTTAAGTGGTCTAGGCTTAGAGCCTGGTTGTCGTTGTTTACCAAGGCGGAAAACAGCCGAGGGAAGACAGCGATCGATTTGTAGTTCATTTAAAATTTGTCGAACAACTTTGCTATCACTTTCAGCCCTTGCCATAGGTTGAGTCTCAGTACTTTCTGGAAGGCCAGTAAGTACTAATAAATGTTCACGTTGTCGCTGCTCAAAAGCAGAAGAAAAATCAATATTATTTGTTGTTTGATCAGTCAAAATTTCCGAAGCGACTTGCAACAAACCAGATAGTTGTTTAATTATCTGTTGCTGTTGACTAATAATTGTTTTAGCAAAATCGGGAATTAATGGGTCAGAAGGGGGAGTAAGTAAATCATTGAAATTTAAATTTGAAATTGTGTCGAGTAATTGTTGGCGCTTGGCCGAAGGTGCTTGTGATGGTGAAAATTGATTACCCAAGTTGTTTAAACTGGGAGAATGTGGACGCTTGTTTGTTGTAGACATTTTTAAGAAAAATTGAAATGCACAGGTGCTTTAAATTGCAAATCTTAAAATTTGAGTTATATAAATATTAGAAAAAAATAATAAATCCAATTGTTTCTCAATGTGTTTTAAAAATGCTTATAAAGTATTAAAAAAACTTATACATTAATGCAGTGAATGCAAAAAATGAGGGAGGGAAAAAACAAGTGGAGATATTACTAAATTATGAAAAGGTCAAAATGTAAAATACAAAATATATATTTTTAAAAGGGAAATGTCAAAATGTAAAATACAAAATATATATTTCTAAAAGGAAAATGTCAAAATATAAACGTCAAATGAACAGTTATGGTATGCCAACACAAACAGTCAAAATTAGTAAGGTTTTATGGATTTTTAGCTAGTAGTATACAAAACAAGTGTTTGAGCTCTCCAAATTTATTAAATATGACCTGAGCGCAATCCAAAAAATCTTTGGGTTTGGTGAGTTTATAATTGAAGCAGGTATTGTATTCCAAAGGTTTACAGCTCTGTTTATGAGCCAATGTTCGGTTTTACTGTTTTTTCGGTGGACCTTAATTTGAAACTTGTGTCTATTTCGACTAGGTCTATCGTTGAGCTCAAATAAATCGTTAAAGCTTAAATGTGTAAATTTAAAGATAATCCTATAAATAGTTGATAGATCATATAATGAGCGTCTTAATGCTAATGATTCGAGATCGAAGAGAATTAATCTTTGAGAGTAACTTTTATAGGTAATCTTACACTTAGATAAAGCGATCCTAGTATACCATTTTTGGATTTTTTCGATTTTTTCCACGAGATACTTAGTTTTTGGACTCCAGATAACTGTGGCATATTCTAGTAATGGCCTAACGTAGGATTTAAAGGCAAGAGCCCATACCTTAGGATTGCTAGTGTGTATGCTATTAAGAACTGAAGAAGCTCTGGCATAGGCTTTCCTGATAATAATATTATAGTGTAAATCGAAGGAAAGGTCATTGGTAAGGGTAATGCCAAGGTCTTTTATTACAGATGTTATTTGTAAAATGTCACCATTGAGTGTATATGTATATTTAGGATTTTTGGAGCCAATATTTAGAACAAATGTTTTTTGCGTAGATATTTCGAGTGCCCAATCGGAACTCCATTGAGAAATTATATTTAAGGCATTTTGTAGTGAATTAGTATTTTCTGAATTTTTAAATACTTCAGGATGGGTGTAGGGGTTTTTCTGATTTTTTTGATCGGTCTTGACAATAAGACCGATAAAAGTTGATCTATTGAATTAGGACTACCGTAGTCTCTAATACAAGCACTGGACGTCTATTTTTCAATACCCCTCATTGAGTGGGCTTCTATTAGGGCATGAGCTTCTATTGGAGACGGGCTTCTATTAGGGCATGAGCTTCTATTGGAGACGGGCTTCTATTAGGGCATGAGCTTCTATTGGAGACGGGCTTCTATTAGAGACAATACGGTATACATGATACCCTTCTCTATGAGCTGTTATTTGTTATTTCACACACTATCGAAATACCCCAAAACTATAAGAGGGGGGATGATCGGCTTTCCACTAATATTTTTTCAAAAAAAATTCTTACACAAAAAATTTGGAGGTACATAATTGTAAAGACAATAAGGAGTTGGTGTATAACAAAAACCAAGTCCATTTGTGTAGTAATAGGGAAGATAATATCCATTAAATGTTGGTTGATTTGAATTGTATCCATTATAAAATTGTGTTAAAATTGCTGAAGGTCGAACAAGTAAAACTATTAAAAGAATTATTATTTTGAGTAAAGGGTGGAATATTTTCATTTTTTTTAAAAAATAGGGTTTATCGAAAGTGGAGTGTGAAATTTTTCAATTTTAATCCAATAAAAATTTATTTGTTTGTACAACTGGCTCAAAAAAATTTTTTTAAAGGCACGGTTTTTCAGGTTATATTTTTGGCAGTCAATTTATTCGAAAACGATTTTGGTTCATTTAAATTATAAAAAAGAAAATTTTGACTAGCTAAATTAACTCGAAGTGTAGAAATATTAACGTTGACTTATTTCAAAAACCTTATCTATCCTGAAGCTTAAGTGGTGCCTGTTAAAATCCATCAAAGAAAGCCTATACCAATAATACTTACATAATTGGTTTTTCACAAAGAAAAAACAAAAACTAACCGGTTTGAATAAATTATACCATCCTTGACATTTTTGAGAATTTTTGCAGTGCAACATTTCAAGAGGATTGATTGCATTGTTTGATCTTTTAAATATAAAAATTAAATAAAATAATTTTGAGTAACTAAAGTAAATTTGAAAAGATTAAAAAAATAAAAATTAAGTAAAACCAACTAAAAATTAATAAAAAATAAATTTATTTATTTAAAAATTTACGTTAAATATAGCAAAAAATAAAACAAATTTTAACCAAAAATTTTTTCAACAATCATAATCATCAAAATCTTCTGTCTTATCTTCTTTTTCTTCATCATGAAAAGCCCGCTTCCTCGAGTCATTATTTGTTCTTCCCATTAATAAATTGGCAACAAGATCGGGGTTAAAGTTTGTTGATGATTCTGGTTTTTGACGTTTAGGGAAATTTTCGGAAGTTTGAATCTAAATGAAAATTAAAATTTTTTAAATGAGTGTTTATATTTTTTACTTGTGAAAAGTATAGGGAATAATATTAATCTGTTTATCTTATTCCCCTACTAACTAAAAATGAATTAATTTATTACATAATATTCCTTGTTAAAATTAAAAAATTAAAATATGAAGAGCGAAACTAGGAAAGCGTAACTTATTGTCAGCTTTTATCATTATACTCAACCAATCCCAAGGACTGAAAATTTGACTGGCCATAACTCGGCCCAAACTAATTTTGCAAGAAGCAAACAACAATAGTAAATCGAGGGTCTTCTATCGAATGGTACCAAAAAATCTAGCAAATTCGCATTTAGAGTAAACAATGTTCCCATGTAAGAATAAAAAATGAATATTCGTATTTAAAAAGTAACCCTCATAAAAAGAAATTTTGAAAAAAAAGAATTTTACAGATACCCCGAGTATTTTTATATTTTATTAAATGTCAAAAAATATTTAAACAAACATTTTGTTGTCTCAATTCATCATCCTCATCTTCATTATTATTTGAAGTCGAAGGAAGATCGTCATAAATAAAATTAGATTGTAACTGACAAAAACGGTCATTAGGCAGTCGAAGTCCATAATTTTGTCTAATTTGGGGTAAAGGTTGAGAATTCTTTTCTTGTGCCAAATCATTCATTAAAGCAATAGGTGGACGGTCTTTACAATATTTTTCATCTAAAGAAGGGTTGAAAAGAAAATTTTTTTAATAAGAAAAAAAACAAACTGAATGTCTTCAATGCAAAATCAACATCACTTTTTTCAACAAATTTTTTCCCACTAAAATCAGCAACAGATCTAGCCTCTACTAGAACATTTTTTGTAAGAGAATAGGCCATGTCACACATCTACAGAAAAATTTTATTTAAAAAAATTTAAAAGAAAACCTGTAAAAGTAATTGAGGTTGACAGTCTTGAATTCCAGCTTCTTTGCACATTTGATTCATTAATTCCATTAAATGAGGTTGTTTTGTTGAAGTACAATTATCTGACATAATATTGACAAAATTGGGAAATTGTATAATAAAAATCTGAAAGAGTATAATGAAAATTTATGACTCAAATGGTAATGTCTTCCCCTTACATTCAATCAATTATTTTAAGGGCAAAGCCATAACTTTATGGAAAATTTGCTAGTCCTTATCAATTTTGGTACCAATCTCTTTAGCTCGATGAGAGGAATCGTTTAATACTAAATTTGGTAGATTCGGAAAACTTGAAGCAAGTTATGGCGTTGCGCCGTTGTGGCCGCGCGCCTACTTGGGCTGTACCCTTATTTTAAGAATTTCACCTTGGAGTTTTATGTGGGGATTGATGTTTAGTTTAGTTATTAATCGGAAATTCGTTTTCGGTTCCAACGAGGGGATATCGATAAGGCTCGGATTTTGAATCCGGTGCTGGATTTTTAGGAACCATTAAAAATTTTGTATAATAACTATCGTTTTTGTTAGTTTCGTAGCTGAAAGATAATACAAATCCTTTACTTTCTTTTTAATTTCAGACAAAATTGTTGGTAACTAGAATTCATAATGAGGTATTGAAAATTGATAAATTTCTTTACGAATTGTTTTTAAGTAATCTTCGCTTGCAAAAACGTTTGGCGGCCGCGGTTCTCAAGTGCGGCAAAGGGAAAATTTGGTTGGATCCTAATGAGGTCAATGAAATTTCCAACGCAAATTCTCGTCAGAACGTTCGTCGTTTGGTCAAGGATGGTCTTATTATACGTAAGCCGGGGAAAGTTCATTCGCGTTTTCGAGCTCGTGAACGTTTGGAAGCACGCAGAAAGGTTTTCTTTTTCTATTAACTTTGATATAAATTGTGAAACTTCAGGGTCGTCATATGGGTTTTGGAAAACGACGCGGAACTCGAAATGCTCGTATGCCTGAGAAGGTCTTGTGGATGCGTCGAATGCGTGTGCTTCGTCATCTTTTAAAGCGCTATCGAGCTGCGAAGAAGATTGACAAGCATCTTTACCATGAGCTTTACTTGAAGGCCAAAGGAAACGCATTCAAGAACAAGAGGAATCTGATGGAATATATCTTCAAAAAGAAGACGGAGAACCAGCGTTCTAAACAACTTGCGTATGCTTTTATAGAACTCATGAAGTAGTTCAAACTTTGTACTTTTAGTGAACAAGCTGAGGCTCGCCGAAACAAGAACAAGGAGACGAGAAAGAGGCGTGAAGAACGTTTGATTTTGAAACGCAAGGAATTGCTCCACAAACTTTCTGAGAGCGAGAAGCAGAAGACTCCACAGCTTCAGGAAGAGGTTAATAATTAAAGCTTGGGTAGACGGGGTGGGAACAAGTTTAAGTGGTTTTATCTCTATTTAAAAAAATAAATTAAGGAAGCGAAGGAAGCTTCTCCTTCTCCACCACCACCACCAAAGGCCACCAAGAAGCAGAAACCTCCAGCAGCCGAAGCAAAGAAATCGGAGGAACCTCCAAAACCTAAAGCAGATGAGCCATCCAAGGCTAAACCAAAAGAAGCTGCAAAACCCAAGCAGAAGGAAAGTGGAAAAGAAGGCGGGAGTTCCAAAAAGAAGGGAGGAAAATAAAACGTAAAGTAAAATTGTTGATTGAAAAAAATTGTTAATTTTTCTGGTTAAAGTTAAAATTTGTGGTTTAAATGTTTATATTTTGAATTATAAATTTGAAAGTGTTTCAATTTCATATGTGAGCATTTTAGTGCTTCAATTGACTTTAGGTTCTTTTACTTAAGCATTTTTAAAATATATAAGGTTTAAATTTTGTCTTGTGATGTTTGTAATTCAATTATTTAGCAAATCTTTCACTTTTATCGAAGGTTTGGCTTTCGTTTTTCATAATGCTTTTATCATTCCTCGTATCATTTTCGCATCTAGTTTACAAAAAATGTTCGGAAGGTTAAGATTTCTGTGGATTGATAAACTCTTGTTTTTGAATTTACACTTAATTTTATTTGTTTGGCGTTATGTTGTTTTTATTTACAAATTTACTATAAAAGCAACGAGTCTTAAGCTTTCGTATTTTCCTTGTTACAGAATTATTAGGGGGGTAGGGTCCTTTGTTGGCCTTTTCGCTTTCGTCTTTAATAATGCGGAAGGGGTCATCCTTGTTATTTAGATAACTAATTGTTTAACATTTAATTTTCTAGTAAAATGTCTACTAAAGATTATGCAGATATTTTAGCGCTTATTCGTCAAATAATTCAAAATCAAAACTTGATGATTGCTCAATTGGAAATTCTAATTAATCAACAAAATTTTCAAAATAATGGCTTGGGTTTAATCGAAAAGTGTCAAACACAATTATCAAATCAACAACAAATTAAACCAAAAAATTTAAATTTTAACAAAAAATCTAGAGAAGTATTGAAAGATGAGAATTGGTTGGGTAATACTGATGAATGGATGCAAGTATGAATTTTTAATATTTTGCTTAGTTTTAATTTCATGTTTTTAAAGGTGATGTGCCTTTCTACAATTTTGTCTGCTTTACTTGAATTTGCTGGATTACCTTCTATTCTTGCCAAACTGTTATAACCCAACTTATGACTTTTGATAATATACATACTTTAATTTATTGACCTCCTTTTAAATAGAGAACGGACTGGGAGGGTCATATGAGAATAAATATCGATATCTCGGAAAAATATCACGAGAAATATCGATCTCGATAACCGAGATTTTTGTTCGAGATTTCGTCTCGGTCCGGTCTCTACTTTTGAAAATCCCAAACCACCTTATAACATTTTGACAACTTTTAAAATTGTTTTGTTAAGCAAATTGTTTATTTACTGATATTTACCTATTTATTTTATCACATTGCTATTTTCCTGAAGTCGTCGCGCTCTTGCGTATAAAATTTAATGAATTTTTTCCTTGCCAATCAATGATTACGTTTTAAATGTTGAAATATTTTGTAATGTTTTTTAACATAATGCTTTTTATCATTTTTTTAAAGTTTTGCTAAAAAATTTTTCAGTTTTTTTTTCAAAATGACTACAGCTGATCAATTAGCTGAAGATCTTGAACCTAATACATCGGCGAGGGATCATGACGAGTCAGCAGAATTTCAAGAACCGAATGAATTTATTGAAAATCTCCAAAAAGATCTTACAAAATGGATGCAGGGATTTCGCCATTTCAAACGTTTATTTGATCGTGATCAATCCAAATTAACTCCAATAGAAAAGTCTTTAAATGAATTACAAGTGGCATTGCGACACTTGGAACAAAACATTGAAATACCAGAACTGTGCCTTCAGATCAACCCTCACATTCAACAAATTGTGGATGCTGCCAAATCTCAAAATCGAAAACCCAAACCAGGTTAACTTTAAGAATTTTTATTTATTTTCTTAAATATTTTAGAAGATCTCGGGACACTTGGACAAGACCCTGAATTCTTGGCCTCACTTTCAAATGGTGTTGTAGAATGGATAAAAGCGATTCAAAAGGTTACAAATATGGATCGAGATCCATCATCTGGTACTGCATTACAAGAAGCAACTTTTTGGATTAATTTGGAGAAAGCGCTGAACAAAATCACAACATTACACGATTCCATTGAAGTTATTACAACTCTTGATGTGTTAAAGGCAGGGAAACGTTTTCATGTTACAACTTCTTTTGAATCTGATACTGGTTTGTTTTGAATTATTCTTTTAAACTGATTGTCTAAATTGAAATAGGTTTAAAAGAGAAATTGACAACTGCCATTGATTATAATGTTTTGATGAAGGATTTGCCGTTAAGTGAACTTTTGGGTGCTTCTGATTTGGATTCTTTACGTCAGGCAGTTTTGAACATTTTCAACGTCTTCAAGAAATTACGCAATACAAAATATCCTGTTAAACGTGCAATGCAATTTTTCAATACAATTTCTGCAGATCTTTGTGAACAGATGATTCAGGTTGTATTATGTTGTTGCTGTCTTTTAATTTTTTAATTTTAAGATTCTCAAACCTCGTTTACTTATGCATGCTCCTATTTCTGAACTTGACGAAGTTATGGCTGTTTGTTCAAAAATTTGGTTTCAATGGGATGAGGAATCTGACAAAATTCAAGGAATGTTCCGTGATATTGCAAAGCGACAACGTTCTGATGTGAAATTTCAGCATAGAACTCAATATCGTCACAAAGATTTAGAAAATAGATTGAATGAACTTAACACTTTTCGGTATTTTAATTTTTCTTTTTAATGATATTTTTTGATTTTAAGACGACAGCATGAACAGTTAAGCAATGTTATTTCTCGTGTTTTACGTTTTAAAGGAGCAAATTCACTTGGGAATATTACTGGAAAACAAACAAATCCCGAGAAGGAGGTTTTTTAGATTTGTATTTTATTTTAAACTTTTTTTTTGTTTTAAGGTTATCAAGGCATATGAGGCTATCAAGGAAGTTAATTATTTGGATTTGAGTCATTCCGGTCAGCAAGCTTGGCAAAGTTCGATGCAATATTACAAAAATCATATTGTTGGAATTGAAACTCAGGTTGATTTTTTTGTTCTCCTTCCTTTAATTGTTCTTTTTGTTTTAGTTAGCCTCACATCTTCGTGATCAACTTGGTAGCTGTAAAAGCGCTGATGATATGTTTTCAATCTTTTCTCGTTACAATGCTCTTTTTGTTCGTCCTCATATTCAAACTGCTATTAGAGAATACCAAGCTGTTTTAATTGATCGTGTTCGTGAAGATATTCGAATTCTACAAGAAACTATTATCGACCCAAAAAAGATGGAATTGGCAATTTTCGTTGTGGAAGGTTATGATATTCCTGAATTTTCTGCTAAAGTTATGTGGCTCCGTCAAAATGAGTTGCAGCTTAATATGAATATGCAAAGAATTGCTGATGTGTTGGGAACTCAATGGGTTAATCATCTTGAAGGTTTTTTTACATTCAAAACCATTAAAGTTTTAATCCTTTTCTAAGGAAAAGAATTGAAAAGGGAATGTGATTTACTTAAAAAACAACTCGATACTTCAGTAATGTTCAAAGAATGGTCTGATAGAGTCCTTACCAAATGCAAAACAACCAATGATAAACTTTTTTGTGTTGAAAAACAACAACGTGATGGGAAAGTTATTTGTCGTCTTCGTGTTAATTATTCGGCTGATTCTATTCGCATTGCTAAAGAAGTAATAATTTTTGGATTTCTTTTTTTCAATTTAGTTTTCTTTTTTAGGTAAGAAACTTAAAAAATATGGGCTTTCGCATTCCATTCAAAATTATGAGTTATTCTGTTGGAATAAGTCAATATAATCCTTATGCAATTTCATTAATGGAATCTGTTCGGCTTTATGAATCTACAAATGAAATTATTTTAACTCGTCCGTCTGTCGAAAATTTGGTTGCAGGCCATAGACTTATAATACATGATTTGCTTTGTGAGGTCTGTTTTCTTTTTTTGTGTTAATTTTCTTAAAACGTTCCTTTTTAGGGTTACAAAACTGATTGGAGCAATTTTAAACTTGAATCATATGTTTGTAAATTTGGGGAGGCTGTGAACAACTTTCTCGAAAAAGTTACAGATTTGATTGAATATCTTGATAAGATCGATGTTGAACTATCCGCATTGGATAAATGTCAATACAATGAAGAAACAATTTCACAAATTATTGGAGCTATTCAAAAATCTATTGATCAAATGGCTTTAAATGATTATTCTAATTTGCATAAATGGATTGAAGAACTTGATAAAACTGTAAGAAAATATAACTTTTTTACCTTTATATTTGAATTTTTAATTTTAGTTGGAGGCAAAGCTTGCTCGTCGATTAGAAGAAGCAATTCATGTTTGGACATTAGTTTTGCAACAAAATCGTGATGAATTGGAAGATGAGAGGGAAGCTAACATTTTACCCAAAATAAATACAATAACTTTGGAGATTCGTATTGTCTCTCAATTTATTACTGTTGTTCCGTCTCTTGAAAAGGCTAAATCTGATCTTTTTGACCAATTTTATCACTGGCATTCAATAATAACTGCACAACCAAGAATCTCTTCTTCTCGTTTTCAAGTATTTTTATTTTTTTATTTATTTAATTATAAATTTTAGACACTTCAACAAAATCAAGCTTTTTCCACTTATAAATGTGTTCTTTTAAAACTTCCAAAAAAGCAACAAAGACTTTTCGAGGCATACAAAGCAATTGATGATGTTCTGCTTAAAACAAATGACTATGTTAATCATTGGACTCGTTATCAAGCTCTTTGGGACCTGCAACAAGATATTCTTTTTGAAAGACTTGGATTTGAATTAACTAATTGGATGAAAGTATTTTTAAAATTTTGTTAACTTTAACTTCAAATTTTAGGTAATCTTGGAAATCAAAAAGTCTCGTTCGATGGTTGATTCGCCAGAATCTCAACATAAAATATTCCCTTTCTCTGTTGATTACTCTCGTGTTCAGTCAAAAATTGCTATGAAATATGATTATTGGCAAAAAGAAGTTTTGTCTAAATTTGGAAATTTTTTGGGTTTATTTTCACTTTTTATTTGTTTTTGAAATATACCATTGTTTAGGAACTTCAATGCATGACTTTTTTTCTTATATCTCTACTGCACGTTCTGAGCTCGAATCCCAAAGTATTGATTCAACCAATACAAGTGACACTGTTGCATTAATTACACAAGTACAAAATTTGAAAAAGCATATCATTCCCTTCAAAGAGAAAGTTTGTTTTTATATTTTTTCAATCTTTATTTTTTAATATTTTAAGGTTAGCAGTTATTGTACGGGCCAAAAACTTTTAAACAATCATCGTTTTACATTTCCTCCGTCTTGGCTTTATGCTGAAAATGTTGAGGGTGAGTGGTCAGCATTAATGGATGTTTTGGAAAGGAAGGATACTGCGATTCAAACACAGGTTTCTCTCCTAAATTTTAGCCACCTAGATATTTTTTTTATCAGATTACAAATCTTCAAACAAGAATTCATGAAGAGGATAAACTTTTAGAAAAACACATTAATGATCTTATTAGTGAATGGAACAAATCTAGACCTGTAAAAGGAGCAATTCGTCCTAAAGATGCTTTGGCCATTTTGACTAATTTCGAAGATAAGTTTAAACGACTTAAAGATGAACAAGAAAATATTGTGAAGGCCAAAAACGCGCTGGAGATTAGTGAATCTGTTGTTAGTATAAACCAACAATCAGCTTCAAAATTGGAGCTTGCAATTGAGGAACTTGAGGATTTATCATGTATTTTTTCATTTTTTTCTTAAAATGCTTTTTATGTTTAAGGCGTTTGGAAATCTTTATTGCCTATCTACAATAATTTGGACGAATTAAAGGAAATTCCCTGGCTCTCTATTCAACCTAGAAAATTACGTCAAAATTTGGAGGAACAACTTGGTAAACTTAGAAATCTTCCCTCTCACTATAAACAATATGATGCATATGCCCATGTTAAAGGTCTTTTGCAGAATTACTTGAAGGTTGTTTATTTGCTTTAAATATAATTTTTCATACTTTACTTTCAATTCACATCAGATGAACCTTCTTATTATGGAATTAAAATCTGAGGCTTTAAAGGATCGTCATTGGAGAAGTAATTTTTCTTTTTCAATCTTTTGTATTGTTTTTATTATTTTTAGCATTAATGAAGGAGATGGGCGTTAATTGGGTTCTTTCCGAATTAACATTGGGAAAAGTTTGGAGCGTTGATCTTCAGAGACATGAACATGCTGTACGTGAGGTCTTACTCACAGCTCAAGGAGAACTTGCACTTGAAGAATTTATTAGACAAGTCAAAGACTATTGGACTGATTATACTCTTGATTTGGTTGGTTATCAGCAAAAGACTAGATTAATTCGTGGATGGGATGATTTATTCAACAAATTGAAAGAACACATGAATAGTTTAAATCAAATGAAACTGTCTTCCTACTACAAACAATTTGAGGAAGATGCTTTATCTTGGGAGGATAAACTTAATAGAATTAATGCTTTATTTGATGTTTGGATTGATGTACAAAGAAGATGGGTTTATTTGGAAGGTCTTTTTACTGGATCAGCGGATATTGCTCACTTGCTTCCATCTGAAACTAGTCGATTTAATCAAGTCTCAACAGAATTTCTTGGCTTAATGCGAAAGGTCATTATAATTAAAATTTACCGACAATAAATTATTTATTCAGGTTTCACAATCACCACGTATTCTCGAAGTTGTTCATATACAAGGAGCTCAAAAAATACTTGAACGTTTGGCAGATTTACTCTCAAAAATACAAAAAGCACTTGGTGAATATTTGGAACGTGAAAGAAATTCTTTTCCTCGATTTTATTTTGTTGGCGATGAAGATTTATTAGAAATTCTTGGCAATTCAAAGGATTTACTCCGTGTACAAAAGCATTTCAAAAAGATGTTTTCAGGTTTAGTATTTTATAATTATTTTTTTCCTGAAAAAAATATTTTAGGAATTGTGGCAGTTGAACATGATACAGAGAAAAACTTGATAAAAGCAATTTCTTCTCGAGAAGGTGAAACTGTTTTGCTTACTACTCCAATTGATTTGATTAAAAATTTCAAAATTAATGATTGGCTTCGATTGATGGAGCGTGAAATGCAAGCTACACTTGCAGAAATGCTTTCTATTTCTTTAAATAAATTTTTCTTATATGATGTTCAAAAAATAAAAATGGAAGAATACATTAATTGGATTGAAGAATATCCGGTAGAATTTTTTTTTTCTAAACTTCAAAAATTTACTATTCTTAAAGTCACAAATCGTTAATCTTGCAATGGATGTTTGGTGGACGAATGCTATTGAAATGTGTTTAAAAAATGGTGAAAATTTGTCTAAAGTTGCCGGTTTAGTTGAGAAATTACTTTCTTTGTTATCTAATAGCGTTCTCTGTGATCAACCTCGTATTACAAGATTGAAAATTATAAATTTGGTACTAATATTATTTTGATTTTTCTAAAATACTATTTTTTAGATTACTGCATTCATTCACAAGAAGGGAATTATAAGGGATCTTCTTAAAAATGAGGTCAAAACAATTAATGATTACAACTGGCTAAAGGTTATTAGAAGATACATTATTGTTTTTATTAGTTTTTTTAGAACTTACGTGTTTACTTCGAAGCAAATACAAAAAAATGCGTCATTAAAATGTCGAATGCTGTCTTCTATTATGGATTTGAATATTTGGGAATTCAAGAAAAACTTGTTCAAACTCCTTTAACTGACCGTTGCTATCTTACCATGACTCAAGCTTTGCATTTTCGATTTGGAGGAAGCCCGTTTGGACCGGCTGGTACTGGAAAAACTGAATCGGTTAAAGCACTTGGTCATCAACTTGGATGTTTTGTTCTTGTTTTTAATTGTGATGAAACTTTTGATTTTCAAGTTAATTTTTTTATATTTTATTTTCTTAATTTTTTATATTAGGCTGTTGGTCGTATTCTTGTTGGTCTTTGCCAAGTTGGTGCTTGGGGTTGTTTTGACGAGTTTAATAGATTGGAGGAACGCATGCTTTCTGCAGTCTCTCAACAGATCCAAGCAATTCAAGAAACTATAAGGAATGGTGGTAACATGAAGGTTTATTCAAATTATTTTACCAAAGTTAAACATTGAATTTAAGGTTGATCTCATTGGAAAAAATTTAACCGTCAATGAAAACATGGCTATTTTTATCACTATGAATCCTGGATATTCTGGTCGTTCAAATCTGCCAGATAATTTGAAACAGCTTTTCCGTTCATTTGCAATGACTGCTCCAGACAGTGGGCTTATTGCTGAAGTTATGCTTTCATCGCAAGGATTCCAATCTGCAGAAATTCTTTCAAACAAAATTGTTCTCCTATTTACGTGAGTTTTCATTTATATTTTATACTAGAAATTTCATAAAAATTTTAAGTCTTTGCAAAGAACAACTTTCCAGCCAATGTCACTATGATTTTGGTCTTCGGGCACTTAAGAATGTCTTGGTTTCTGCTGGAAACATTAAGCGTGAAGCGATCCAAAATACCAATGAAAGCAATATGGAAGCCGATGCTTCTTCCTTGCAAATTTCTGAGCAGCAAATTCTTATTCAATCTGTTTGTGAAACACTTACTCCAAAATTAGTGTCAGAAGATATTACTTTGTTACAATCACTTTTACATGATGTTTTCCCAGAAGTTGATTATCAACAAAAGTCAATGGAAACGTAAATAATTTTTAAATGACTTCCTAGAATATATTTTCTTTCAGTTTGCGCGATGAAATTATTCGAATTGCTACTGAAGAACACTACTGCTGTTCAACAGATATTGGTGAGAAAGGATCGCTCTGGATGGAGAAAGTTCTGCAAGTCTACCAAATAACAAACCTCAATCACGGTTTGATGCTTGTTGGTTCTAGTGGTTCGGGAAAATCATCGGCATGGAAAATCTTACTTAAATCATTGGAGAAGTTAGAGAATGTAGAGGGTGTTTCACATGTTATTGATGCAAAAGCAATGAGTAAGGATGCACTTTATGGTGTTTTGGATCCCAATACAAGAGAGTGGACTGATGGACTTTTCACACATATCATTAGAAAGTTAGTGGTGTTAAATATATATTTTTTATTTTGATTTTAAGGATTGTCGATAATGTTCGCGGTGAAGCTAGCCGACGACAATGGATTATTTTCGATGGAGATGTTGATCCAGAATGGGTCGAGAATCTTAACTCCGTTCTTGACGACAATAAACTTCTTACCTTACCAAACGGAGAACGTCTTGCTATCCCACCAAATGTAAGCTATTTATTTTTTACTTCTGTCTAATAGTGACATTTTTCTTACAATTAGAAGCTTCGTCTATATTTTGTTCATTTTAGGTCCGTATAATTTTCGAAGTGGCTGATTTGAAATATGCAACTATGGCTACTGTTTCGCGGTGTGGAATGGTCTGGTTCAGTGAGGATGTAGTTACTTCTGATATGCTCTTTGAACGTTATCATCTTCAACTTCGAAATATTCCTTTATTTACTGAAAATCCTTCCAATTCATTAAAACTTCAAGAAATTTGTGCTGATCTATTATTTGATCATATGAAGGGAGGTGGGCTTATTCCTCTTGCTTTGAACTTTACAATCGAGCAACTCGATCATATAATGTATCCATCAAAACAACGACTTTTAATGTCATTTTTCTCAATGATGAATTTCTCAATAAAACAATTATTGCAGTATGATGCCGATCATCCTGATTTTCCACCAACTGTAAAACTTCTTATTTTTATAAATAATGCATTTAATCAAATAATTTTTAGACTGAACAAGTTGAAAATTTCATTGGACGCTCGATGCTTATTAATCTCATTTGGTCATTTAGCGGCGATGGCAATTGGAAATCTCGAAAAGCATTAAGTGACTTTGTTCGAAGCTCAACAACAATTCAATTACCTCAAAATGAATCGGTTTTATTTTTTTGTAATTCTATTAATTTTTATTTTTTTACTAGTTACCGCTAATTGATTTCTATGTTCCGCCGACTGGTGATTGGACGCCTTGGTCTGATAAAGTCCCTCAAATTGAAATTCAATCAGATAAAATTGTGGATACTTCAACTGTTATACCAACAATGGACACTGTTCGCCATGAATCACTTTTAAATACTTGGCTGAATGAAAGGAAACCTCTCGTTTTGTGTGGTCCTCCTGGATCTGGTAAAACGATGACATTACTTTCTGCACTTCGGTATTATAATAAACCTGTTGTACTTGTTCATCATAAAATTTTAGGTCGTTCCCTGATATGGATGTAATTAATGTCAACTTTTCTTCTTCCACCACTCCTGAACTTCTTCTTAAAAACTTTGATCATTATTGTGAATATCGCCGAACTCCAAATGGTGTTGTTCTCTCACCTATTCAAATTACACGTTGGCTTGTTATATTCTGTGACGAAATAAATTTACCCCAACTTGATAAATATGGAACACAACGAGTTATTTCATTTATGCGACAGTTAGTTGAGCAGGTCACTTTTTCTTATTTGAATATTATTCTTTTTACGTTCTAATTTATAGAATGGTTTCTACCGAACAAGTGACAAATCTTGGGTCTCATTGGAGCGTATTCAGTTTGTTGGTGCATGTAACCCACCAACCGATCCTGGACGAAATCCGCTTTCATCAAGATTTCTTCGACATGTTCCAGTTATTTATGTTGACTATCCTGGCGAAACATCATTGATTCAAATTTATGGAACATTTGCTCGTGCAATGCTTCGACCAATCACACAATTACATGGCAAAGATGTTCCTCTAACAGATGCGATTGTTGAATTTTATCAGCGAAGCCAAGTAATTTTTTTGCATCAACTTGACACCTATTAATCTATTTAAATTAAAGGAACATTTTACACAAGACGATCAACCACATTATGTTTATTCTCCTCGTGAATTGACACGTTGGGTACGAGGAATCAATGAAGCTATTGCACCAATGGATGGTATTACTACAAATGATTTAGTTCGTCTCTGGGCTCATGAAGCACTGCGTCTTTTCCAAGATCGACTTGTTTATGATGAAGAAAGAAAATGGACTGAAGATTTAGTTGATGAAATCGCTGGGAAATACTTTGCTGGATCGTGTGATTTACGTGAAGCGCTTGAACGTCCAATACTTTATTCCTCTTGGCTTAAAAAGGTTTTAACTAACAATAAATATTTTTAAACCATTAACATTTTAGAAATATTCTCCTGTTTCACAAAAAGAACTCGCCGATCACGTGGTTCATCGTCTAAAGCAATATAATGAAGAGGAAATAGACGTTGGTATTGTCTTATATGATCAAATGCTTGACCATCTTCTTCGAATTGATCGCGTATTTCGTCAACCTCAAGGACATTTGCTTTTAATTGGCGTCTCCGGTTCTGGTAAAACAACACTTTCACGATTTGTTGCTTGGATGAATGGTTATTCTGTTGTGCAGGTTTGGCTATTTTTGTTCTTAAATTAACATTTTCATAATTCAGCTCAAAGTTCATTCGAAATACAAGGGTTCCGATTTTGATGAAGATGTTCGCTTAGTTTTGCGCAGAGCAGGCTGTAAAGGCGAAAAAATTTGCTTCATTATGGATGAGTCAAACATGTTGGAAACTGGCTTTTTGGAACGACTTAATACACTATTAGCAAATGGCGAGGTTCCTGGACTTTTTGAGGGTGATGATTACAACACACTCCTTAATCAAATCAAAGAAGGAGCTCAACGTCAAGGACAGATGCCAGACTCGCCAGAGGAATTATATAAATGGTTTACACAACAGGTTGATAAATAAAATTGTATTAGCAAATAAAAATGAAAAATCTTAAGATTGTTCAAAACCTTCATATTGTCTTTACAATGAACCCATCTGGCGATGGACTTCGTGCTCGTGCATCAACATCGCCTGCTCTTTTTAATCGTTGCGTTTTAAATTGGTTTGGAGACTGGTCAAATGCATCTTTGTATCAAGTTGGCGATCAACTTACTTCTATGTTCGAAATTGACAAATCTGACTATGTTCCACCCGCCGCAATGGAACACTGTTGTGATCGTTTACCTACTGAAATTTATTATCGGGATGCTGTTGTTAACTCCTTTGTTCACATTCACAACGAGGTTCAAAGGACGAATGATGTTGAGTCGCGGAAAGGGCATCGTGTCATGGCTGTAACACCTCGACATTATCTTGATTTCATCAAACACTTCACAACATTGTTCAAAAGGAAACGTGAAGTAATTAACTAGTTCCTTTTTTTAGCTACAATTTTTATTTTAGGAATTGACGGAGGAAAAAATTCACCTTGAAAATGGTTTGAAAAAGATTCAAGAAACTGAGAAAGAAGTTACCGAATTAAAATCTTCATTGAGTCAGAAAAGTGAAGAATTACGAACAAAACAAAAACAAGCTAATGAAAAGTTGCAACAAATGTTGGCTGATCAAAGGGAAGCTGAAAATGAGAAGAAGAAATCTGAAACTTTACAAGAACAAATTCGTAACGAGAAGAAAATGATTGAAATAAAGAAAGCTGAGGTTGAAAAAGAACTTGCTGATGTGAGATTTTTTCGTTCTAAATCAAGTTACCATTTATTTTTAAAGGTATTACCTGCTGTTGAAGAGGCTAAAAGTGCCGTTTCGGGTATAAAGAAACAACAACTTGTTGAGGTTCGATCAATGGCTTCGCCACCTAAAGCTGTTCAACTTGCTGTGGAAGCCATTTGTTTGTTGCTAGGCGAAAAAGTTAGCAGCTGGAGAGACATTCGTGGAATTTTGGTCAAAGAAGATTTTATTCCAAGAATTGTTCAATTCAATACAGAAGCAATTACTCCAGAAATTACAGAGAAAATGAAACCATTTGTTAACAATCCAGATTGGGAGTATGAAAAGGTTGCTGATTTTCTTTATACATTATATTCATCAATTTATTCTAAAGGTTCTTCGTGCCAGTCAAGCATGTGGTCCACTCGTAAAATGGTCTAAAGCACAGCTTTCTTATGCCAAAATGTTAAATAAAGTGGAGCCGCTAAACAATGAACTTTCGCGTCTTCAACAGGATGCAAGTCAAAAAGCACATGCGGGTGGAGAAGTTAAAAAGAAGATTGAAGAACTGGAGGAAAGAATCCAAAAACTTAAGGTTTTTTTTAAATATATTTCTCTAAAATGAATAAAATTTAAGGATGAATATGCCCAACTTATAGCAGAAGCAGAAAACATCAAGCAAAATCTTGCTGCTGTTCAAAAGAAAGTTGATAGAAGCACTCAACTACTTTCTTCACTTCGAGTAGAATGTGACCGTTGGCAGGCTAGCCGTGAAGGATTTAGTCAACAAAATGCGACTCTTGTTGGTGATGTTCTTCTTTCTGCTGCATTCCTCTCTTACTCTGGCTATTATGACCAATATTTACGAGACAAATTATTCCATAAATGGATGAACATTTTGCAAACAGCCGATGTTGTCTTTCGTCATGAACTTGCTCGTATTGAATACCTTTCAACTGCTGATGAGCGACAACAATGGTATACAAATGGAATGCCAAAGGATGAACTTTGCACAGAAAATGCAATAATGCTTCATAACTTTAACCGCTTCCCTCTTATCATTGATCCAAATGGTCAATCAATTGATTACATCTGCAAGGAATTTTCTTCTAACAATAGAGATCAAAAAATAACTGTTCAGAAAACGAGTTTTAATGATAATTCCTTCAGGTTGTTTTATAATTTTTCTAAAATTAAATTGAGATTTTAATTTTAAGAAAAACACTTGAGTCAGCATTACGTTTCGGGACTACATTGTTAGTTCAAGATGTTGAATCTTACGATCCAATTCTAAATCCAGTCTTGAACAGAGAAGTCAAGAAAGCAAGTGGTCGTGTACTTATTACAATTGGAGATCAAGACATTGATTTATCACCTGCCTTCAAAATATTTCTTTTTACAAGAGATTCTTCGGTATTCTATTTACTTTTTTTCTTAAAATACTTTTTTATTTTAAAGGTCGAATTTCCTTCTGATGTTTGCTCTCGTGTCACTTTCGTCAACTTTACTATTACTAAAACAAGTTTGGAGTTACAATGTCTCAACCAAGTGCTTCACAGCGAACGTCCAGATATTGAAGAAAAGCGAAATAATTTACTAAAATTACAAGGAGAATTTGCTGTTAAACTTAGGCAGTTGGAGAAGGCTTTGTTGAATGCTCTCAATGATTCAAAAGGAAAAATTCTTGATGATGACTCAGTTATTGCAACGTTGGAAAAACTTAAAAACGAAGCAAAAGAAGTACAAAAGAAGTCTTCCGAAACTGATGAAGTCATAAAAGAGGTTTTTGTTTTTGATGTTCATTAGGTTTTTATTCTTTAATTTTAGGTTGATCGCGTTTCTCAAGAATACAACAAATTGGCAACTGCTTGTTCTTACATTTACATGATGTTGCATCAATTGGAAGAAATTCATCTTCTTTACAATTATTCGCTCGATTTTCTTTTGGATATATTCACAAATGCATTGAAATCGCCGCGATTGTCTGGAGTGAAAGATCATCATACAAGACTTTCAATTATTCTTCAGGATTTGTTTTCGGTAAATTTTTATTCAAAAGACAAAAACAATTTTATTTTTCTAGTTGACATATTCACGTGTCTCTCATGGCATGATGCACATTGATAAAATTTTGTTGGCACTTCTTTTGTTACGAATTTATTTGCGTTGTACCAGCTCAAACAAATTTGAAGAAGAATTTGATTATTTGCTTCTCTATTCTTCCAAGCTACAACTTAAAAGTGCAACAAATCAAAATTTAAAACAAATTGTCATTCCACCATTAAATGAACAACAAATTGCTTCTCTTATTTCACTTTCAAGATTGCCAGCATTTAAGGAATGTATTGATAAATTTAAAACATCTGTTACAACTGATGATTTGACTGAATGGCTTCGATCTGATCAACCAGAAAATTCTGTTCCTGAAATATGGACAACTAAAGAGCTTGGAAATCGTTAGTTTTTTTTAAATATTTTTATAACATTCTTTTTAAAACTTTGCAGCAATTACAAAAGCTTTAAACGAGTTTATTGTCATTTACACGTTGAGACCAGATCGTTTGCTTGCTTCTGCACATTTGCTTATTTGTGCAACCTTTGGCAATGAGTTTATGCTTCAAGATAAAGTGCTAAATCTTCGAGAAGTTATTGAGAATGAGGTTGTTTTTTGATTATAAATTGATTTTTTATAATTTTTTAAATTCAGATTAAAAGCAAAGTTCCTGTACTTTTATGTTCGGCTGTTGGTTATGATGTTTCTGGACGCGTAGAAGATTTGGCTGTAGAAATGAATAATAAAGATATGATTTCAATTGCAATTGGGTCTTCTGAAGGATTTGATCAAGCTGACAAAGCACTTGATTCTTCTAGCAGAAATGGACGTTGGATGTTGCTGAAAAATGTTCATTTGGCAACTGATTGGCTTACACATTTGGAAAAGAAATTGCACAATTTGAAGCCGCATAATAATTTCCGATTATTTTTAACTGCTGAAATTAACTCCAAATTACCTGTTTCAATGATTCAGGTTTTTAAAATTGCGCCGATTAAATAATGTTTATTATTTTTAGGCTTCTCGTGTTCTAGTATTTGAGCCTTCTACCGGTCTAAAAGCAAACTTATTGCGTTCAATTTCGTCAATATCTCCTCAGAAAATTGCTAAGAATCCTGCTGAACGTTCAAGACTTTACTTTTTGTTGTGTTGGTTCCATGCAATAGTTCAAGAACGTTTGAGATATCAACCACTTGGATGGGCAAATTCATATGAATTTTCTGATGCAGATCTTCGTGTTGCTTGTGATACTTTGGATCAATCGGTTGATGAAATTGCTCAGGTATTTTTATCAGTAGAAGTATTCTCAAGTTAACATTTTTATAGGGACGAAGTAATGTCAAACCATCCAAACTTCCTTGGTTGGCTTTACGTTCTTTGTTGTCACAATGTATTTATGGTGGAAAAATTGATAACCGATTTGATCAGGTTTAATTCGTGATTCATAGTGTATTTTTTATTTTCCTCTTATAGAATTTGTTGGAAACTTTCTTAAATAAATTATTCACTCAATGCCTTTTTGATTCCAATTTTGTATTAATCGAAGATATTGATGGAAATTCTACTCCGTTAGTTGTGCCAGATGAAACTTCAACAAAGGATAGTTTAATCAATTGGGTTCATCAAATAAAAGCAGCTCAAATGCCGAGTTGGATTGGTCTTCCAAATAATGCAGAAAAAGTTCTTTTGACGGAACGAGGTTTTATTTTTTATACAAAGACTTTAAACAAAAATTTTTTTAATTTGAAGGTCAAGAATTGCTTCGTAAAATGCTTAAAATGTCAGATGATGAGCTCGCTTATGACGAAATTGACAGCTCTTTACAAAATAAAGTAGCGCCTTCTTGGATGGTTGTTCTTAAAGAGCATTGTCAAGCTTGGTTGGCAGAATTTCCAAAGGTTTACTAACTGACTGTTTTTAATTTTGATAAAAATTTTTAGGAGATTTGCAAATTGCGTCGCACAAAAGAAAATGTTAAGGATCCAATTTTCCGGTTCTTTGAGCGTGAAATTAATTTGGGCTCTCGTTTGCTCAATGAGGTTATTTCTTTTTTTGAAATATAGATTTACATTATTTATTTTAGATTCGTAAAGATTTAATTGAATTGCTTGAAATATGTGATGGCAAACATAAACAGAACAATCACACTCGTGAATTAATTGCTGCACTCGTAAAAAGCAAACAAGTGCCCCAGAGTTGGAAACAATATACAACTCCTCGTGATGTGATTGCTCATGAATGGATGAATGATTTGAAAGAACGTGTTAAACAATTGGATCGACTTTCCCGTTCTAACAATTTGAAAGCAGAAAGTATTTGGCTTGGAGGAATGTTTTTCCCAGAAGCTTACATTACTGCAACACGACAATTTGTAGCACAAACTAATGGTTGGTCGTTAGAACAGTTAAATATGCATGTACGTTCTGTTGGTAAAGGTGTTGATCAACAGAAACAACAGCAAGGACCAACAAGTTTTTCACTTACAGGTTTGTTTTAAACACTAAAATTTGAAAAAAAAATTAATTTTTTAGGCCTCCGAGCAGTTGGAATTAATTGTGAATCTCCAAATAAAATAAAGTTGACAGATTGTATTCACTCAGAAGTTGACAAACTTCAATTTGTTTGGACATTGGAGAAGCAAAAGGAGAAGGAAGTTGTTTCTGTTCCGGTTTATTTATATTCAAATCGTGCACAGTTCCTTTTTGAATTATATTTTGTTCCCGTTAATTTTGATAAGGCATTGCTTAGTCAGCGTGGTGTGGCGCTCTTGACAAATTCATCATTTTAAATTTATTTATTTTTTTTGTTTGTTTAATTTTGTTTATGTAATAATTTGAATGTTTTTTCTACTTTTGTTTTAAATTGCTTTTTTTTGTAAATTTTATTTGCTTTTAATGATGATAAATATTTACTTTAATGATTTGTTTTAAACTTTTTATGAGATGTAAAAAAGTACAAGTATCGGATATAATAATTTCAATCCACATTTTTTTTGTATTTCAACGTTTTCGAACAAAACTTACAATAGAAAGCTCTAAACTTGCGCGCAGTTTTATTTTTTAGCTGAGTTTTCTTTTTCCTGACCACTATCCCATAAATTGTAATGGGATGAATATTGAAAGTCACGATTGGCTGTCTTAGAAATTTATGATTTTTACAAAACGATCGGATCTGATTATCGTTTTGGGACAGGGAACGGGACATCGCTTAAGGTTGATCTTATTAACAAACGCATTGTTGTCGGCGGTATGACAATTGTCAAATCCGGAAATGATGTCCACTTTTGTCGTCCGCAATTGTATGCGCAATTGTCGCAACAACCCTAGTGACAACTCATCTATTGACAAAACGTCTTTTTAGCGAAATGAGCTTGTCATAATGACATTTCATGTCAAAACGTCGATTTCAAAATCACTATCCCATACCATTTCATATAAAAGCAAAGAAATTACCGTATAAAAAATATTCATTATTGATTGCATTGACTTTTTGTTACGTCATTTGGTTTATGTTGTATTCATAATTTTCTTATAAAATATTATTTTTTGTTGTAACTTAAATTCTTTTATTAGTTAACTTTTAGAAATTAGCTTTTTTACAATCTTTAAAAAAAATTATAATGGCTGAAACAGCAGATAACAACACTACTGCCGCTACCGGTGAAACTACTCAACCGTCGGCTGAATACATCAAGATTAAAGTTGTTGGCCAAGTTTGTAGTTTACTTCTAATAACTAAAATTCAATGTTTTCATTTTTAGGACTCCAATGAAGTCCATTTCCGAGTCAAGTTTGGGACCAGCATGGGAAAACTGAAGAAGGCGTACGCTGAGCGTACGGGCGTTGCGGTTAGTTTGTTGATAACTAGACAGCAACAATCCCTTTTTTCAGGTCAATGCGCTTCGCTTTTTGTTTGATGGTAGGCGCGTCAATGACGATGATACTCCAAAGAGCTTGGAAATGGAGGAGGATGATGTCATTGAGGTTTATCTTTGTGATATCTATTCAATTAACTTTTTTTTCTCTTTTTTAGGTCTATCAGGAACAGTTGGGTGGCATGTGTTTGATGTACATCTGAAGGTCTTTTATGGTTATTTGGCAGTATCTCAATCTTGGCTTGGACTTTTTTGTTTCATTTGATGTTTTCGATTATTTGACGTAAAATATGACATGATTTTATCACCAATCTTTTCTCTAAATAAACGATCACTTTTGTTTCAATTTGTTTTATTTTTACACAATTGTTTTTGACAATTAATTATTTATTGAGTTACATTTGTTCTTGTGGTTTTTGATGACTTAGGTGTTGGTCTAAGCAATAATCGTTAGGTTCAAGACCCGAGATTTTTGGGAGCATTTAATTCGGTCATCTTGTTATCATAGATTAACGTGGATTAGGGAATCGATAAACTAGTTTTTGTTTAATGCTTTATAGTATAAGGAATTGGAGTTCCTGCTTAACTCTCTAAATTAAAGTTATCGCTTTTAGATTTGAAAATTACTTTTATCTTAATTTCTGTTATTCAAACACATGTCTAATTGGAAAGGAGGTGGTGGTGGAGGGCGAAGTGGTGGTGGAGGGGGAGGATATAGCCAAGGAGGAGGGCGTTCTGGTGGTAGCGGAGGAGGTCGTCCCGGTGGTGGTGGCGGAGGCCGTGGAGGTGGCGGCGGTTATGACGGTGGAAGATCTGGTGGTGGGGGCGGTGGAGGTCGTGGTGGCGGAGGATATGACCGTTCTGGTGGTGGAGGTGGTGGAGGATTCAGAGGGGGAGGTGGCGGCGGCTCTGGTGGATATGACAGTGGAAGATCTGGAGGTGGGGGAAGAGGAGGACCAGTCGCACCTCGCCCTATGCGAAACTTTCAAGTTGCAAAAGTAAATTTATTTTCTTGTCTTCTCACCATTTTAAATATATTTTTAAGTTATCAGAAGCTGAAAATCCGTCAAACTTTAAAGGAGCCTTGGGTCGACGAACTGATGTTGTAGTTAATTATTTTAAATTAAAATTCAACACAAAAATGCGTATTTACAAATATCGTGTGGACTTTTTTCACCAATTGGAGGACAAACGCAAAGAAATTTCTACCACAAACAAGTTCATTTTTAAATTTAATTTTTTTGATATTTTCCCGTTTAGAATGGCTCTCCGTGAAAAGTTTTGGAGCTTTGTTTCGGCAAACGAAGCATATTTTAAGGGACGTAACAATTTGGTTTATGATGATTCTCATTTGTGTTATACTAGGAAAGAGTTGCCTGTCCAGTCTGGAACTGTTGGGGAAGTTACGATTGAAACCGATGAAGGACGAAGGGTTTGTGATTATTATGATTAATTAAAGAAGTTGGGCTTAACTTAAAAAAGTTGGGCTTAACTTGCTTTCGAACTTGACTTTTGAAACCATTAAGGGCGTAGCCAGGTATGGCTTCGAGTTATTGCTACTGGTTTTTGCCCTAAATTTTGCTTAAATTAGGAATTTGCTAGGAAAATGTATCAAAAACTTGTTTAATCTGGTCCCTAGTCTAACTAGTTTGTATCTAGAAACTAGTCTTTACCTTTAATTTGTTAAAAAACATTCAGGATGGAAACATGACCACAACTGTTATGGTAATTAAAGCAACGGGAATTATTTCAATCAAACCACAAGAAACTTACGAAGATGATGCTTTTCGCGTTTTAAATTTGATAATTACCCAACAAGCTCGTTGTCCAATTGGTGCTCTTGACAGAACTATTCATTGTGAAGTTAGTCGTCTCTACATTAAACCACCAAATTTGTATCATGAACCTTTGGATCTGGGCGGATTTGAAATGCTTCGTGGATTATATGCTTTTGCAAAGAGGGGGTTAGCTCCGCCAAAGGGAAATGTTGGAAATGGTTTTGTTAATTTTGATGGTTTGTTTCTTTACTCAACAAATTAATGAATAATCTTTTTCGCTATTTTTTAGTAGCCCATTCTGCCTTCTACAAAGTTGGATGTGATATTCTTCAATTCTATGCTTTTGCAAAGACGGGACGATTCATGAATGCAAGTGAAATTGAGCGACTTAATGATTATGGAATGAATCAATCGCAGCGAAATGAATTGAGAACTCTCTTAAGTGGTTAGTTTTCTAAGTTGGTTCTTCGGTTGGGTTTTAGGTATTGTGTGTGCGCTTCTTGAATGGTTCGAAAATCTTTTCTTGACTTGTATATCCTTTTAAATCTGAAAGCTGGATTCTAATGAAATTTTCATCAATCTTATTTCAGGACTTAAAATGAAAAAGAAACGCATTGCTGAAAATTTTGTTGAAAGTGAAGCTTCTTTCTGTGATGTTGTCGACAAATCTCCAGATGCTTACAAATTTGAATGTGAAGAACTTGGAAGGACAGTTTCTGTGACTGAATATTATGCTGCTAAATACAACTACCAAGTTAAATTTCGTTCAATGCCTCTTATTAAAATTATGCCGAGAGAGAGAAATTTGGTTTTGCCAATTGAAGTTCTTAAAGTTTCGGATAAATTACAACGTTTACGTCGAAAATTGCCTGATGCATTGCAAGCTATGACAAATCAGGTTTTTTTTCTTCTTTTTTTTTATAATTTTTTTTTGATTTTTAAAGTATACGTCAACCCCTCCTCGTCAACGTTTTTCTGATATTGACCAGATGGCTCGTGTTGAATGTAATTTTGATCAAAACCCAGTTATGAGAGAATTTGAAGTTGCTATAAATACAGAATTTCTTGAAATTGGTGCTCGTGTTTTAAATCCTCCAAGATGCGAATTTTCGGTTAATTTTTAAATTTTTTCTTAAATTTTATCTTTTAAGAAATCATTTCGTGATATTATGGGAATCAAGGCCGTGGAAAAGCCTAATCTATTTGGAAGGCCAGTCAATATTATTTTTGATTTGGTTATTGTTGATGGATGTATTAGATTTGACAGATATCGGTTAGTTTTTATTCATAAAATTTTATATATTTAAAATGTGACATTTGATCCCAGTGGCTTTTTTAATAAAATTAAATTTTCAAAATTGAATGTGTTCACAATTTAACGTTTTTTTAATTTTTAGTGCAGCATGGGAGGCATTGGTTCAGTCGTGTTCAAATAGAGGAATTACTGTGCATCCAGATCCTGCGGATGTTTCTGAATTTAACACACGCCACAAGGATCAACTCGCTAATTTAATCGCTTCTCGTAGAGAAGCATCAAAAAATTGGGGTCAAGGTGTTATGCCTGTTATTATTGTTGCGATGCCGGATAATCGCTGGATCTATCGTTTGTTTTGTTTAATTTTTAAATTATTCTCTTAAATATTTTTCTTTTTCAGAATCTTTCAAAGGAATTTGTGAACTTCGTTTTGGAATGCGCTCTCAAATGATCTCTCAAAAAACTTGGAACAAACTTCAAAATGAAGCTGGGAGAGGCGGTCCAATGTCTAGTGCTGTTGCTAGAAATATTTTTTTGAAAATTAATGCAAAATGTGGAGGGGTTAATTGCAAAATTGATGCAAATGCTACAGAGTATTTTAAAAAAAATATTTTTTTAATTAATAAATTTATTTTTAAGAAAATGGGGGACTTTTGTCAAAAGAGAAACACCAACACTTTTTATTGGTATTGATGTAACTCATCCAGCGCCTGGTGATACGCTTTCTCCTTCAATTTCTGCCTTGGTTGGAAATATTGATTTGAATGCTACTCGGTAATTAATTTGGAGTTTTTTTTAATTTTTGGGGATTGAAAGAGTTGTACTTATTTTCGAATTTTATTCCAATTTTTTTAAAAGTATTTCACACCTATTTTTTAGTTTTACCGCGACTGTTCGTGCACAACATCACCGGACTGAATGGATTGAAGATATGGGAGAAATGTTTTATGAACGACTTGTACATTTTCAGAAGGTTTAAAAATTTAAAATTTTCTTTTTAAGACAAAAATTAATTTTAGGGTTCAAAACTTTTCCACGGAACTGAATTACGACCTTCTAAAATAATTGTCTTTCGTGATGGAGTGTCTGAATCTCAATTTGAAGGAGTTATGGAATTTGAAGTTTCATCAATTCGAAGGGCTATTGACAAATATTTTGAAGGAGTTCAAAAACCAAGACTTACAGTTGTTGTCGTGCAGAAGCGACATAATACACGATTCTTTGATAAAAATGATAATGATGAGAAAAAGTATTTAAATTTTAAATTAATTTTTTTTTATTTTTATTTTATAGCAAAGGAAATCTTCAACCTGGAACTGTTATTGATGGACATATCACAAGTTATTCAAAAGAATTTTATTTGTGTTCACAGAAGGGAATGCTGGTAAAAGAAATTTTAATTTTTCGAAAGAATTTTTGGGAAATATTGACTGTTTAAGGGATCTTCAGACAAACTTCCCCACGAAAACTTCCTCAAATTCTTTTATAAATTTTATTTATTAAGGGAACTTCTCGTCCTTCACATTATTTTATTTTAATGGATGAAAACAATTTTTCTGCTGATGAATTGGAGACTTGTTCAAACAATTTGTGTTATTTATTTGCACGTGCTCCAATGCCTGTATCTATTCCTGCTCCAGTTTATTATGCTCATTTGGCGTGTTTTAGAGCTAGACATCACTATGCTGCTGCGGATGATGAATTGCCTGTTGGGTAAAATTTTTAGATTTTTTTGGTAAAAAATTTTTAAATAATTTTTAAGCAAAAATGGGCAGCCTTTACCTAAAGATAAACTGCAATCTGGTGATAAAATTTTACAGCAACCTTCAGAGGCTGTTATAGTTGAACAGGGATTGAAGCCGAGTATGTATTTTTGTTAGAAGAATATTAAATAAATAGAGGCATGAGTTTTAAAGGAAAATGTGTAAAGTTATTTTAAATTAAATTTCGACTTATCGGTTATATTAATTGACTCTTAATGTTGAACTTCATATGTTTAGATACACCTTTCTAATTTCACTTTAATTTATTAAGATACTTTTTCTTTCAATTGCTTGACTATTGGGTATGATGGGGAGTCCCCCCTATAAGATACAATTTCTTTCAGCTTCAAGGGTTTATCTTTATAATGAGGTTCAACTAATATATTACTTCTCTTTAAATTTCTTTAATTTTTTCTTTTAAAAATTTTTTTCTTGCTAAAAATATTAAAATAAAAATAAACGTTAAAATATTTTATTCGTTCTGTTTTTCACTAATATCTTCAATAGAATTATAATTAAGCCATAATTGATGTAAAATATCAGAAGTTTGTATATATCCAACATTTGAATTAATCATTCTCAAAATAACAATATCATCAATTTTTAAAAATTCTCTAATAAATTTTCTGACATCTTGAATTGTTGGGAAATGATCGTGTAACTGAAATTTGAGGGGGAGGGATTAAAAAATAATTTTTTTAAATTGCCTTGAGTGCATCAACAATCATTTCTTCATTACTTTTCATAGAAAATATTCTGTATATCCACAAAGAAATATTTAAGGGTAAAATAAAAAGTAAAAGGAAAAACCAGAGCCATAAAAATATAAAAATCTTTTCGGCGAACCTTTAAAAGGGATTTTTTGGGGAATTTTTTAATAGAAAAATATATTTACATATTAATCATAAGAACACATTGAACTGTGTGTTCCCTGTATTGGCCAATATCTCGAGTTTGTAAATCACAGAAAGTAACCTGAAAATTATTAAGAATTTTGAGTTTATTATTTCTTAAAATGTGTCAGTAAGGGAACATAGTTTACTGTAACTGCGAATTTGGTATATTTTCTGGTATCAATCGATAGAGGACCATGGACTTACTATTGTGAAGTGATGTCCGTTTTCTTGCAAAATCAATTAGGGCCGAGTTATGGTCATTCAAAGTTTCAGTCCGTAGGGGAGTGATTAAAGCATAAGGAAAGGAGAGAAGCGAGTTATTTCCTTAATTCAGAAATTTTTCCCTCAGAAATTTTTTTAAAAATATCTAAATTTAAATAAATCAAAAAATATACCCTAGGAAAGAATCCATTATTTCTCCAGTCGACCTATTTAAAAATTAATTTATTTTTAATTTTAAAAAATAAATCAAACCCCATCAACAACAATTTGCCATAAAATATTAAATCCCCAAAATAAATCCCACGTTCCCAAAAATAAATTAATTAAAATTAATTGAATTAAAATTGATAAAAACATTAAAATTTTCATTAACAAATAAATTGCAGTTAAATAATAATTGGAAGATTGGGCTAAAGAGAGAGAGATAATTAAAATAGAAGAGACTTTTCTCTAACCTCTAGCATTTGTATGGGCAATTAAATGTCCAGCAATTCTTTTAGATTTATTCTTATATTCCAAACTTTTTTTAGTTTCTTTATAGGCTATTTTAGCCAAATCGTTAATTTTTAATTCTAATAGAAAAAAAATTATTTTTTAATTTATACATTAATTAACCACTAAAAGAACACAAAATTTTAAAAATCATTTTTGGAGCAAAACACAGCAATGCTTGCAATGCTAGAATGTAAGGGATCCATTGGTAGTAACGAAGTTCGTATTTGCGACGAGCTTGTCTGTTCTCTGGTGAGAGCCTGACAAATAATTGTTTTTATTTGACCAATTAACTGTTTTTTAATTTAAAAATTTATTTTAACGCAAAGTACAAAACGCCCACTAACGTGAAAATCTAAAAATGTCCAATAGGGTAAAATTTTCAAAATGTCAAAATTTCAAAATGTCCAGTTTCTTTAAATTTTTAAGAATGCCCACTTAAGAATAATTTGATAATTAAATAAAAACAATTCTCACAATTTGCTGCTCTGATTCTGTGCAATATAATAAGTATTTTCCACAAAACAATAATTTTCTATATAAGATTCCCAAGCTCCCTTTCATAGAAAATACAAAAATTTTATTTAAAAATTTAAAAGAAACAGTATATTCTGCGGGTAACCAACATTGTAGGGGGTCACCAACATATTGTTTTGCCATAATTAGAACCTTTAAGAAATTTTTTCTTTAAATTTTTTAAAGTTTATAAGATTTTGGGGGGAAAATTCAAATTCTGGGCAATTTTTAGAAGAAAATTCTTTTAATTCCCCTCAACAAAAATTACCGCAAAGAATCCAACAATATAAACAGTGGTAGCATATATGCATCTATCTACAGAATCGTCATCATATTCTTTTTTTACTTTTGAAATTAATTGTCTTAATTTATTATCCATTTTTCTTCTTTAATTGAAATTAAATTGAGTTAAAATTAAGTTAATTAGAAAATCACTTCTTAAATAAGGTTTTCGGATCCGGATCTCCGAAGATTTCCAACTATCCGACAACCTTATTCTTAAATATTCCCTAATTAAATAGTACAAGGAAAGAGAAAAGTTTTTTTTAATTGTTTCTCTTTTGAGGAGGGTCAACAAACGACATTTTTGCTTGAGAATTTTATTTGAAATTAAGGGTTAAATACAAACAAAAAGGATTTTTAAATCACAATGATTTTTTGCAATTTATTTTAATATTTATTTTAAATTTTTTTTCTTGATAAAAAAAGGAATTAATCAATGAAAAGTATTCCTAAAGAAAAAAAAATTAAATTTTATAGTTGTTTGATAAGAGATTATTTGTTTATTTTTTAAATATTTTTCTTGAAAACTCCCCCCTCTCTTTCATTTAAATTCCTTAAAAGAATCTTTAAATTTTTCAAAAAAAATTTACAAAAATATTTTTTAAATAAAATTTACTCAAAAAATTTTTATTTTTTAAATTTGTTTTGTAAATATATAAGTGAAGTTAAATAAATCAAAAAAAGAAAGAAAAAGAAAATAAAAGGGTTAAAATGAAAAACCAAAAAATAAATAATTTTACAAAAAAAATAATTTAAATTTTTAACGAATAATTCTTCCATTACTTGCAACACCAACGTGCCCATTCAAAGCATATTGAAGTTGTTTACGAGCATTTGCTGTTACATTTTCTTGTGATTGTTTACGCATAGATTCATCTACTTTCCAAACATGCCAAATACGAAGAACTTCGTCCTTTTTTTTAAACAAAAATTAATTTTTGTTTAACTCAAGAAAATTAGAAATGGACCCATATTTTCTCCATTGTTTAAAAAAATAATACTAGGGGATATTCTATTATAGAATTTTTGGGGTAATCCTTAAAAATTGACCTTCCTTTTTCCTTTTTATTTTCCTTGACCATTAAAAAAAATTTTTTCACCCCTCTTTTACTCTTATTCTTCCTAACATAAAATTGACAGAGAAATAAAAAGGAAAAAATTGGAGGAAACTTCAAAAACCAATTTTTGTTTTAATTGTTCTACAGCTTCTGCGTTCTGTGAAAGAATGAGAATCAGTAGACACTTAAACAAATTCCCGGAGAATATTTAGAAAATTTTTAATTTTTTATAAAAAATAAATTCTTTAAACAAAATAAAAATTATTACCTGACTTGCAGTCATAACATATTCTCCACAAGGGCTTTGACAAAGACTTAAAGCCCTCCCTCCTTGACCATTATTTAATTCAGCTGTAGGCTCAAATTTTTTAATTTTATTTGGCTCATGATGCCAAACACGAACGCCAGCTTTTGGGGCTCCATGGCCAGTAATCATTTCGGAATGAAGTTTATTGAAAAGAATTCCGGTTATCTTTTAAAAATTAAATTTTAAAGAAATTTTTTAAAAAAACCTGGCTTTGTGTATCCAACGTAAAATAAGGCGAGCCATCGTTAAGATCCCAGAAACGAATTGTGTGGTCACGCGTTCCTCCCCCAGTGGCTACCAAATTGGAAGGACCGAGGCCTATTTGAGGTACCTAAAAATTGAAAAATTTTTTAGAAAAAAATTATTTTGTCAACAAACATATTCAATAGCTTTAACCGCTGCAATGTGATCATCAAATCGGTAAAGAGGAGGCTAAAAAAATTTTTTTCATTTTTTTTCAAAAAATTAAAAAATACCGCATTAAGATTAGATAATTGTGTCTTCTCCCAAACATGTACTAAACAATCAGAACCTCCACTTGTAAGAAAGTGTTCGTCTGGACTCCATTTAAGACCACAAACTTCGCTGGAGTGAGAAGAGAAGACACTAGAAAAAAGGGTATTTGAAGTTTTAGTCAAAAAAGGTTCTTTTAACATGTTAAAATCAGAAAATAAAAATAATTTTTATTTAAAAAGGATTCGAACCCTGTCGACGAAAACAGAAGAACCTCCACTTATCCTACACCCCAAACAACTCTCCTATATCTAGTGCAAAAGGTTAATCGGCGGCTGGGAGCGAACCAGAATGTTAAGTAGACCGGACTGATGTGTTATCCATTACACCACGCCGCCTACTGAACGGCCTAAGGAATTAAATAGCTATATGTTTTACAAGTTTTGTAAATTACGGATTTAATTTTTTATTTAAATCAACCTCTTTTTGTTAAATTTCAAAATAAGTACGGACAAATAATTTTTTGAAAAATTTAATTTAAAAAAATTAAAAAAAAAAACAAACCTAATCAAAGATTTAGGCATCCTAACATCATGATGATAAATTTTTCCATTTCTAGAGCCACAACTAAGTTCTCCCTTTCCTGTCCAACAAGCACATGCTAAACGCATTCCTTCAGTTCTTATTGTTCGAAGAACATTTTTACTTATTGAATCGATCAACTTAAAAATTAAAAAGCCTCATTTATTGGTAAATTTTATTTTAATGAATTAAGGGGACAATTAATCCATGTGTTAGCAAAAATATCTAAAGGCATGGTGAAAATCTTGTAAAATATTTAGATGTTTTGACAGATAAGAGAAATCAACGATTCACATAATATAAATTTTAGTTGCGGTTTTTAACTCCTATGTATCAAAGAGTAGAGAGGCAAATAACACTTTTCTATTTTCTTTGGACTATTTACACTTAACCTGCTCATTTAACCTTGAAACCCAAAATATAAACTCACAATGAGCTTAATTGACACCCTTGAACAAATCCGAGTAATTCAAAATATAAAAACCCCAAAAATCAATTTCTCAAAAATTTAAAATATTTATAAACCTTTAAAGTCCCATCAGAAAATCCAATAGCAATATACTGCCCTTCCTTCGACCATTTTGCAACTGTTGGATTAGCCTCCAAATTCTCAAAATCTTTCAATTCATCCACCGTCCCAGTTGCCGCATTCCACTGGAAAATTTTATTCCCCAAAGTGACAGCCACAACATTTGCTTTACTCCAATCAATTAAATTTGTATCTAAAAAATAAAATTTAAAAATATTTTTTTTAATTTTCAAACAAAAATCGTCCAATAAACTCGGAGCATCCAACATTCTTTCAGGTTCTTTAACTATATAACGTCTTGAACGTTTTATACAAGTTGATGATGGTTGTATACAATGAAAGAGAACATTTGTCTGTTGGGCACGATGGCCTAAAAAATTTTTAAATAAAAAATTGAGAAAGTGTAATCTAATGGATTAGATTTTATAATGGCAGAGAATGGTTAAAATCCGGGATTCGGGCTTTAATGAGTAAAATCTCTCGAAAATTAATTTTGGTATGATTTTTAATTATGGTCCAAAAGTGGATAGTAGAAGAGATCGAGCTGGGTCTCGATCAAGGCCTGGGTTTCTCCTGTTTTTTACTTCGTGGGTTTTTCCTGGACAACATGCCCAGGATCCGGCACTGGTCAATAAATCAAACCCCAGGCTTTTAAAAAATCTCGATCTCTTTAAAAAATCTAGACTAGTTTTCCCATAAAAAAGATGAAAGAGAATTCCATATGCATAAATAAGCATCAAGGAATGTCGTCGAATAAATTATTATTAAATCTCAAAGTTTAATCTTACAAAAAAAATAACCTTATAAAGAGCTTTTTAATTATATAAAAAATTACCAAATCGAGCAATCGGAGCAAGGCCTTTTCTAAATACAAAAAACTAGAAAAACAAAACAAAAATTTCAAAGAAAACCTAAATGCACAAACTCTATCTCCCTCAATTCCATTATTTAAATTATTGTCTGATTTAACTCTCATCATTTGTCTTTTTGCTTGTTGTTCCAATTTTGTAGCCGGGCTGGTCGGGCAAGACATTGACGTATCCAAACACGTTGCGTTTTCATCATCCTTTAAAGAAATTTACGAAAAAATCAAGGTAATAGTTAAGTTTGTGTTTCCTCTTTTTCTTAATGTGTACATAATGGTCAGACTTCTACCCTATATGAAAACAAGGGCCCCTTGGCTTTTTTCCATCATTTTTTTCCTGTTCATTCCTCAATGCTTCACCTTTTTCCTTATTTTACAAAATTCCCTCTTTTTGCCATCAACATATCAGCAATCAAAAAATGATTTTTGGATTTTCTAAGATCCAAAAACTAAAAAAACACGAAAATCTGTTACCTTTAATGACAGTTTTCGAATATTTCGGTTTCGCATATTTTATGCAAAAAATTTAAACCTTTTAGATTGATGATATTCCAAATAAGATTGGCGGATCCGGATCCGAAAGAAGCGGATATCCGGAAATTTTTGGTTCGGATCCGGATATCCGAAAATTTCCAACTATCTGCCAACCTTAATTCCAACGGCAGAGAGGTAACTTTGGAAAATAAGAAAAAACGGAAAACACCCCCTTAACAATTACCCCAAAACCAATTTAAAAAACAACAAAAAAAAAACCAATAATTTAGAAGTTAAAAGATGAGTAGCCAATTCCAATTGTTCTTCACTTCTAAGACAAACATAGCGATCCCCTTCATTTACTTTTCCTTTTATATAGTTTGGATTACGCGAAGGTGTTGTACTGATTTTGTGAACAGCCGAGAGAACATTAGCCCCTCCTTTCCAATCCGGCGTGCGGCTTGTCATTCTTCTTAGTTTTAAAATTATTTTTTGATGAGTAATTGTGTTGGTTGTGTAATGGATTAGTTGTTTAATTGCTAGTAATATTTATGTTAAATCTACAAAAAATAAATTTTAATTAATTAAACAACTTTCTTGAAAATAATTAGGCAAAGGTGGGATAAATAAGAGTTTAAATCAGTCAAGAAGTAGACAAAAACAACTGGGTAGGAAAGTACAAACAATTAACAAAAGGTAAAAAACAAAAGTAGGATAAAAAAATTAATAAAACAGCGTCGCTCTAGCGTAAATTTAAACTAAAATTTTACACAAAAAACATTATGCCAAAAGATTTTTTTCTATTTATTTCTACTTTCTTTCTCTAACCGTCTCTCTTTTTTGCATATTCTATCTTTTCCGATTCGAGATTAAAATTTAAAATTTCATTTCCTGTGAACAGCTTGTTTTAATCTGTTTTAAGATTTAAAAAATGTCAAGAAAATTTATGTTTGACTGAAACTAAAAATTCTTCTGATTCATCCTCAAATGGAAATGGACATAAAACTGCCAAAAATTCTACAAATAAAAATCAAAATATAGAATTTTCTGGTTGGCTGTATAAATGGACAAATTTTTAACTGATTCCTTGGGAAATTTAAAATATTACAGGTTTTTTGTTGTTTAATTTCTTTCTGAAAAACTTGAAAATTTTAAAAGAAATAGACCAGAGCCCTTCTAAAAATTAAAAAATGCCTCCTTCTTAAAAGCTTCACTTTTAAAATTTTTAAAAATAAATACAGAGAATAACCGAAGATTTGGAATATTCTTATTTGTTGGATAGAGCTTCAGAAAAGTTGGATATATCAGAAAGACTTGCATATACAGCAGCATTTGCAATTAGTGTTTATTCAGCTACAGCTAAAAGAACAACAAAACCTTTTAATCCTTTGTTGGGGGAAACTTTTGAATTTGACAGAAGGGCAGATTTGGGTTGGAGGTCTTTAACTGAACAAGTAAATTTTTGAGGTTTAAAAATTGGGGGAAAAATAAATTTTTTGGGACAAAATGTCACCCGTTGCTTGATTAATACATTTCTTGATTTTATTTTTTAAAGATTAATTTATTTATGAAAAATGGCCGTAGAATTTGTTCTTCTGAAATAAATTTTTTAATTTTTAGCAAGCGAATTGAATCGGAAAATTCTTTAAAAGAATTTCAAAAATGGCAAAATGAATATACAGAAAAGAAGGCAGAAGTCGATGAAATGTTGGAAATTATTGCTGAATTTAATAACAAAAATATTGAAAAAGAAGAGAAGAAATTTAACAAGAAAAATATTAATAGAGGTTCTAATGATTCAGTTAGCCCTGATTCTCCACCTGAACAAATGGTTGAATCTGGAGAATTGGTATATATTTTATTTAAGTAATTTTCCCATTTTTCTGTCCCTCTCCGATTTGCTTATTTTAATATTTTTATTATCACCACTTTACTGTGAGCCACCACCAAATTTCAAAATTTAAGATTGGAACGAAATACAGGGTGCGGCAAATTTTCCGCCCCTTTTGTTTTGGCCATAACTCAGTTCAAACTTAACAAAAATTAATAATTCTTTTTTTATTTTATTCACAACTCTCTGAGAAAATTTTTGGTATCAAAAATGAGAAATTTAGTTCACATATGGTAAAGTTAAGCCGGTCCGAACTTCAAAATGAATCAAAAAACATTTTTTTGTGCCAAATTTTAATTGATCATAACTTCGTCCAGGATCATTCAATCACAATGATATTGTACCAATCGACTTATCTCGTTCAGGCGCATCGAAACAGCTTATAATTTCGTTTTTGAAAATTTTACCAAAAATTTTTATTTTTACCATAATTATTTTAATTTACCATTCAGAAGGCCGTAACTCATTAGATTTTTGTCTTAGCCCCCTAATTTTGGTGTCATTCAAATCAGATTGAAGAGCTGATTCGAAAGATATAAACATTTCTAATATCAAAATCTCAGCCTTGAAGCTAGGTCAATTTTTATCCGAAAAATTTTGCTCAAACTTTGAGAGAAGTTTACTCAGAGTAAATTTGAAATTTAAAGATCATTTTAATTCCAAAAATTTTCTCAGACAGTTGTGAATAAAATAAAAAAATAATTATTAATTTTTGTTAAGTTTGAACCGAGTTATGGCCAAAACAAAAGGGGCGGAAAATTTGCCGCACCCTGTATATTCATACCAAATTTTTAAAGATTATTTGCATAGTCTTTTCCCTCCCAATAGTCAATCAAAAGACTTGAAATTTTTCAGTTTTTACATTTTTATTAATTGAGAAAATGATTCTTCTTACTACCCATGTTTAAATACCAAAAATTAATCCTTTTTGTTTGTAGCAAAATATAAAAGGCATTGGGAAGGAAGAATAGAAAAAGTCTGACCATTCTGTCTGACCATATAGGAAAGAACTTGGGGGGAAAAAAAAGGGGGCTCGGTAACTGCACTAGTATTACCCATAGTTATTCCCTTCCGGGAAAGAGGCTCGTTAATATAAAATTCTTGCTCCTTTTTTTAATTTTCCTGTCCTTTTTCTAGGATTTTTATTTTCACAATTTTAATTTTACATTTTAGGATGTAGACAGTGTTCTAAATTATTTACAAATAATTGAAGAAAAGGAGAAAAAAGTAGAATATAGTCAAAATGAACGTGAATTGGAATTGAGAAGAGTTGAGGATGAAAGAAGAGAATTGGTACATAAACATAAAGAATTGGAACAATCTTTGAAAAGAAGTAAATAATGAATTAAATGGAAAATTGGAAAATAAATTGTTTCATGAAGAAAGAAAATTGGAAGAGGTTTTTTTAAGAATTTGTTTTCAAATAATTTTTTTAATTTTTAGCAGTTAATTACAGCAAAATCTTCATTAAGTCCATTAAATTTAAGTGCCGGTGGAGGTGTTAGTAGCGATTTAAATATGAGTGGAAATTCTTCTGATCGTGATTTTATTCCTTTAAATGGACCTGAAGGAGGAGATGAGGGCGGTGGTCAGGTTGAGCGAAGTATAGTCCCAAGCCTGTGGTCTGAAATTGAGGCTTCGGAGCCTGTTGATGAGTGAGTAGAGTTTTTTTTTATTATTTTTTGGGATTAATAGTCAGATTTCACACCGATGTGTCCGATATCAGGCCCATACCCAGGATTTTTTTTTGAGGGGCAAGGGGTGAAAATTTTTCTGCTTCGAATTTTTAGCGCCGAGGGCGTCAAATCTTTTTAGCATTATTTGACTATAAAAAAATTGATTCTTTCAGATTAGTCAACCTCGAGCGAAAGGCCAGTATGCGTCGACGTAGAAGTGCTGCTCGAGAATCTCCCTTCCTAGGAGATATTGTTCACATATCAAGCTTTGGACGTGAAGAACGTTTCAATACTTCAAAATATTCTTCTGTTTCTTCTACAGCTGCTCCACGTCAAAGAATGCGTTCTCGTTCAGCTGGAAGGCAATCTGCTTGTCTTACAGGTGTTTCAGCGACAAATCCTCTCTACAATACTACAAGTTCAACTACAAAGACAAAAATAACAGAAAAAATAAAGGAAAAGGTTTGAAAATAAATTTTTAATTTTTTATAACACTTTTGTGATATTTAAGATTAAATTACTTTATCTAAGTTTTTTAGATCATTCCCCTCCCAATTTCTTCCCTTTTCTTTATTTATGGAGGCGGGGAATGGGAAATTCCACTATCGTAACAGACATAGTTTAGTTTACACACCCTTTTCCCCTTCATTTTTAAAAAAGGCTAAACTTCGCAAGGCAAACTTTTTCAACACAAACTTTTTTCCTCCCTTTATTTCTGGCATCTTTAACGAAATAATTTAAAGGATTAATTTCTATTCAAAAAATTCACAAAATGAAGGGGGATTTTATTTAGGGCATTTTTAGTGTATATAAATTGTAAGAAAATTTGATAAGTAAAAATCATTCCTAAAATATGGGATGTTTTTCATTATTAAATTAAAGGGGAATTGTGCAGCTATTTAGTGTAGGGGATATTTATTGAATTATTTCTAGTTTAATTAGCTAGAAGATGGTTTTTTTAAATAGAAATTTGCAATTTATTTTTCGATCATTTATTATATTTACTTTTTGTTTTGTTATAATTTTTGTTATAATTTTACCAAATCTTTTTTTTTTCAATTTTTAAATGGTTTGAAATTAACCAAAAAATTTATCATAATTTTTTATTTTTTTTTTCTAAATTAATTTTTAAAAAAGGACAATTTTTTGACTTGTCTTAAAAAACACCAATTTTTGGATCTAAAAATGGATGCAGCAAATCATTTTTTGTCTAACGACACAAAACCCCCCAAAACTTCTTTAATTCTAAATTCAAATCAATTGGACGAATTAACAAATCAATTAAAAATTTTAAGTATTGATGATTTGTCCATAAACAAAATTGTGGAAAATTTAAAAACTATTAAAACGGAGGTGAGTTTTGACAAATTTTTTTGTTTTTAAATCCCCAAAAAACTTGTTTAGCCACATGTGTTTGTTGAATTACAAGATTTTATTCAAAAAAATGGATTGTTTGGTTTTGTGTTAAATCAAATGACCAATTGTACTTTTGACTTGAACAAATTGGTATGTTCAATTTAAAAAATATCTGGGGTTTTTGAAAGCTTACCGAATCTTAATATTCTTTGTTTTAGTGTTTTGGAATATTTATTCCAACTTTGTTACAGTATTATCCAAAAAATTTTCAATCCAAAATTTTTTAACCAAAAAATTTTTTAAAAAATTGGCTGCTAAATTCTTATTTAAGAACAAGGCCAACAAAAGTAAACAAGTTTTGGAAGAGATTATTAAAATAAACGAACATATCAAATGCAACAAAAAGGCTTTAGTCGGGACTAGCGGACAGATGAAGCAATTTGTTCTGGCGGAGCAGGAGAAATTAATGAACTGCAAGGCTCGATTACTCTACGCTATGCAGCGTTTACATGATCAGGCTATAGCGAGGGCTGATGGATTAATTCGGGTACTTTTTTCTCTAAATAATTGCAAATAACTATAATTTCAACAGAATACCTAACTACTTTGATTTAAATTTGGAGCAGTCTTCAAAAAGAACGAGGATGAACGATGAAAAATAAAATAATTCAATAATCCTTTAAGTATTTTTTAAATTAAAATTAAGTAATTGATAAAATTAATTTTTCGGTTTTGTGGTGTTTTAAGAATTTTTCTCGTTTTGCCTCATTCTCTGATGTAGTGGTATAGTTCTGTCAGTAAAAGTTGTGTCATCTCGACAATATAAGTCGAATAGTACCACTACCTTTAAATTGATTCTCGACTGCGTTAGGTCCCGAAAAATTGGAGTAAGGCATTCATCACAACAAAGAACGTTGTTTTGATGCAAAAATCAGCTTTTCTTCTTGCACTTTCCGATGTACAGCATTGCTGTGCCTTTCTTGTGAAAAACCCTTCTTCTCATCGAGCTAAAGAGATTGGCGTCAAAATTCATCAGGGATAGGACATTTTCCAGCAAGTTATGCTTTGCGCCGTTGAATTTACAAGCAAGGGAACGGATTGGTATTGTGGGCAGAACTGGGACTGGTATGATTAATTTTACCAAATTTAATAAGTTTTTAATTTCCAAGTTAGGGTTTGATCACTCTTGCTATTGTGATTAGCTAATTCCAGATGATTAGAATAATTCCAATTGTTATTTGTTTTTCTAGAAAATAATCTCCGTTTATTTCCTGTAAATTTAGAATAAAATTTAACTCAAAAAACATTATGCCAAAATAATAAATGAATGCCAAATTGGTTAATTTTTAAATTTACCTACGTGGTATTTTTTCTTAATCATATGTTTTTCAATTTTTTTTGTTTCTAAAAATAAATTTTTAAGGTAAATTTTTTAAAAAAATGCCAAAAAGAGGTTCTAGTTTTTATTTGACTGAAACTAAAAATTCTTCTGATTCTTCATCAAATGGAAATGGACATAATTCAACAAGTAAAAATCAAAATATTGAATTTTCTGGTTGGCTATATAAATGGACAAATTATGTAAAGGGGTATAGAAAACGTTGGTTTTTAATTGATTCTATGGGAAATTTGAAATATTACAGGTTTTTTTGTTTAAAATTTTTTTATAAATTTTTTAAAAGAAACTCGAATGATGTGAATGGACCTTCTCGTGGATCGATAAAAATGGAAGAGGCTAGTGTTCGCAGTGATCAACATGATGGACTTAATATGGTATAAATTGGATATTTTATAATCTTTTTTATCTCATTCAATCCAGCAATTTCTTCGGATCGAGGCACGTAGCCAGTGTAAAGGTTTTGCGTCTTTAACTCCGAAAATATTGAATTGAACACTTTCAAAATGACCTCTCCCTTGAAAATTTATTTGAGAACTAAAATTAAAAAAGCCTCGAATAATTTGACTAAAATTTGAGTTGAAAAATTTGGTACTTGTGGGTTATCCCCCGGACTTTTTTGTGGACTATTTTTGCGGACACAATTGACAAAATGGTAAGAGTTTCTCTTCCCTCGCTAAGGATTAAATTTGATGTGTACATTTATTTTAAAAGAAAATTATGCCTTTATGTGAAAAAGAAAATATATAAAAGAAAAATTATTCCAATGACCAATATTTTCAAGCAATCATGATTTCCTCAAAAACGTCTTTTCCCCCAATCATTTTTTCCACATAAACTCGGCAAAATAACTTTCCAAATGATGACGTGCTGTGCCACGATGCTTTTTATTCCTCCATTTAGCACTAAAGCATTCATTTGTTTCACGGCAGATCCCACCAAAAACCCACTGTTGGGGCAAAACACGCCCTTGATTGTAAAAAACACGCCCTTGATTTACTTATATTTTATATACTACATTTAATCTTGTTTGATTGGTTGACAAGTGCATAGGAGAGAGGGAAGAGAAACTCTTACCATTTTGTACAATTGTGTCCGCAAAAATAGTCCGCAAAAAAGTCCGGGGGATAACCCACAAGTACCAAAAATTTTTTATTTGATTCGATTTTGTCAAATTGGTTAGACTTAAATTTTGAAAAATTTGATCCTCTTAATAAAATGATTCTAATTTATCAAAAGAATTCTTGGAATAATTTTTTAACTTTATTCTTTACAGATTATAACAGTTCCATTTTCACCAAATTTACATTTGAGAGCAATTAATGACGTAAATTCAAAATTTTTTTTAATTAAAAGTTTCTAATTTTTTCTAGTTGGACCGTTCAAAATGGTTAAAAGCTTTGGAAAATGCCAAACATTTTGCAATTAAAAGAGTTTCTTCTTTAGAAGATGATGAGAACGAAACAGAAAAATTTTTGAGTAAAACACTTGAATTGAAGGAATATCCACTTGGAGATTTTGAAGGAATGAATAAAGAATTGAATGAATTGGCTGCTAAATTTTGTATAAAATTTTTAAAAATATTTTCTTTGAGAGAAATTTTAATTTTTAGCAAACGAGTTGGAAGGGTTTTTGCATTTTGCTGTTGGACATTTAAATGCTGCAGATGCCAAAAAGTGTGTGGCTAAAGCTAATTCTGTGAAAATTTTGAGAGACGGGACTTTGAAGGTTTCTTTGAAATTTTTAAGAAATTTTTGTAAAACGGCCCCAGGATTTTTTTCGGGGGGAGGGGGCAAGGGATAAGATTTTGACTTTTAGTGCCGCAGGCGAAATCTTCGAGAATTTTAGAAGGCCGTAGGCCAAAAAATCACTTTTTTTTGCCCAATCCCTTCCCAAATTTTTCCCTTTCTCCATTTCGTCTGCGGGTGGGAAGCCCCTCCTACACCCCTGGCTACGGGCCTGGTCAAGACTCATTTCGATCAATTTTTAAGTTAACCGATCAATTATTGACAAAATACAAAAAAGAATGCGAATCTCTTTGCCGTCTAGCCCACTCACAAAATGAAAAACACCAAGAATTACAAAGGCAATATGAAATTTTGGCTAGACAACATCAACAACTTGAAGGGGAAGCTTTGAGACTTTCTGCTAGAGTGGCTGATGAAAGTAGTAAAAATACTGGAGGATCGCTTTGTAGGTTTTTTTGGGAATTTAAAAAAATTTTTTTTTTATTTTTATGATTCTTTTCGGGTTTAAAATATTTTAAAAATAAAGGGACACTAAGAGGATTCGAAACCCAGAACTCCCTCTCAGGTGGAGTCAAGAGCGTTATCCACTATACCAAGGGTAAAGGGTGACCGATTTTTAAGAAATTTTTTCACTCAAAATCAATAATATTTCTCTTTTTTTTATTTACGTAAATTAATAAAAAACGTGGATTTAAATTTAAAAAAAGATGAAAGGAAATTCTTTTCCTTGCTAATCTTTCTTTTCTTACAAAATATTTTTTTCCTTCCCATTTTTAATTTTTTTTCTTTATTAGCGGTCTTTTCCTTTTAATATATCCAAAGTTTGCAAGTTTTATCAGCAAATAAAAAATTATTTTCTCAAACATGGACGGATTATAAATATAAAAGTAAACAAAAAAGGGGCGACATTATTTTGGAGACAGAAAATCAAAACAAACTTTTTTTAAAATATTAAATTCGATATTCTTTCCATTTTCTCATGAAAAAAAATCAAATAATTTTTTCTATTTTTATGGTAATTTCGCTAGAAAATTCTTTTTTTTTGATAAACCTGCAAAATCTTTGGACTCCTAAATATTTTCTTGATCGTCTTTTTTGGGAGCGGGCCAATGTACTGAAGAGCTTTAATTTCGTTCAAAATTGTCGAATCCAGGACGCCCAGGTATTCAGCTCGTTGAAGTGCTGCGAACCATGTCAGGACGGCCCGAATTCTATTACTTTGAACGAAGGTATAGCTCTGCGGTACCTTGGGGTCTAATTAATTTCATTCACAATTAAAAAAAATTTAAAATAATTTCCTTTTTTAAAGCATATATGACAGCATTAGGAGGACCAACACCCCCATTATTAAAAAATCAGACAGAGGAAGAAGAAGAAGATCAATTTCAAGATGCAACAGATACTTTACCTGAAGAAGAAAAAAATAAATTTGATTTTTTTGAAGAAAATTTTGAGGGAGGGGGAAGTGAAGGAAATGGAGGGGGTGGAGGTGGTGGATGGTCAGAAAAATCATCTTCTTTTTGTTTTGATGAAGAAGAAATTGAAATGGTTAATAAAGGAGGAAATGTTGCTGTTGTTAATAATTCAACAAAAAATAAATTAAATGAAGTTGTTGGTAATTCTTCTTTAAAAAGTCAAAATAATAATTTGGATTTGTCTAAATGTAAAATTATTTTGCCTGTAAGTTTATTTTAAAAATTAAAAAAAAATATTTTAAAAATTATTAAAATTTATTTGAGAAATTATTTTCTTGTTAAAAAATTTTTTTTGTATTATCGTTTTTAAAAATAAAACGGCCCTAAACGGGTTCGAACCCCACACCCTTCCCATAGTGTAGTCAGTAGCACTATCCACTCGACTACCTGGGAGGAAGTTATTTCTTGGGTATTTTTATGATTATAGGAAATTTTTGGATTTTTTAGAGAGCAGTGAGTGTTTTTCTAGCGAATTATTTTTTAAAAATTTTTATATTATTAATTTTTTCCTTTTACAATTACATATTTTAATAAATTCAAAATTGACTAAAAAATTTTTTTTCTAAAGGATCAACAAAATTTAACAACTTATCAAGAAAATACTCAACCAATAGTTGTTTCGAATTTACCAATTCCAAAAAGACGCTCAAAAATTCCTCCTAAACCAGAATCATATGGATTGAATCTTTGGTCAATAATGAAAAATTGTATTGGGAAAGAATTGACTAGAATTCCTTTACCTGCAAGTTTTTTCTTTAAAATTACAAAAAATCTTTGCTTCGGGGGTTAAAAATTAATTATTGTAACGAGTGGTAATTAAGTAATAAATAGGGCTGATCAGTTAAAATTTAAAAAAAATTTGATTGAAACAGGTGAATTAAGGTGGGTTTAAATTAATTTTAAATTGAAGGGTAACTTTATTGTGGTAGTATCTTCGAATGAATAGCTATTTTGGAGTACTGGTTTATGAGTTTAATGAATCTTAAGTCTAATGAAGGTTTTGACCTCTAAAGATTATTACTCATAATTTTTCTCAATGGACTCATGATCTATACCAAGTCCATTATTTTATAATTTCCAGAAAAATTTCCGTATTTAAATTCCAAACTTTTCTTTTTAAAGGTAAACTTTAACGAGCCCCTTTCAATGTTACAAAGAATAACCGAAGATTTGGAATATTCTTATTTGTTGGATAGAGCTTCAGAAAAATTGGATATATCGGAAAGACTTGCATATACAGCAGCATTTGCAATTAGTGTTTATTCGGCTACAGCTAAAAGAACAACAAAACCTTTTAATCCTTTGTTGGGGGAAACTTTTGAATTTGACAGAAGGGCAGATTTGGGTTGGAGGTCTTTAACTGAACAAGTAAATATTTGACATTTAAAAATTGGGGGGAAAATAAATTTTTTGGGACAAAATGTCACCTGTTGTTTTATTGCTTTTTAATTTATTTATGAAAAATGGCCGTAGAATTTGATTTTAAATTGTCCAATAACTCACAAAAAATTTTTCTGTTTAATTTAACTTAAATTTAGAGGACCTTTTTCCTTTTCAATTTTGGACTAAATTTTTTGTTTTAAACTGAGCTCTATTTCCTTTAAATTTTCTAAAGGTTAAAGAAAATTTTTTCAAATTTTAAACCAACTTTTATAATGTTTCAAGGTTTCTCACCACCCTCCAGCTGCAGCAATGCACACAGAAGGTGTTAATTGGGAATTAAGTCAAGAATTTATGGTGCTTTTCTCTTTTAAAATTTAAAAATAATTTTAATTTCTCTAAAAAGGTTGCTTCTCGTTTTCGTGGAAAATATATGTCTGTAATACCTACGGGATATACTCAAATTAAATTTAAAGATGGAAAGGCTAATTTTATTTTTCAAAAAGTTTTTTAAAGAATTTAAAGAAAACAAAAATTTAAATTAAAAAAAGGTAACAACAACTGTACATAATATAATTGTCGGGAAACTTTGGATTGATAATCATGGGACGATGGTGAGGGAATTTTTAAAGATAAATGTATTTAACAAATTGGACCCTGGGGATTGAAAGAAATTTTATTTTATAATTAGAGCGGTTCTTAGATAGAGCGATTTTTGACCCCTTGAGTATTTTGGCTTAATCTCACTAAAGTCCTAGCTCTTAGTCATGCATTCAAGCAGAGTTTTTCGTAGTAATGGGATGCTAAATGCATTTATATATTCAATTGTATCGAAATAACTACATGAACCCCTCCCCCTCAAAAAAGACCTTTTTTAAACCTTGTTCTAATAAAGTTTGTCAACAGAAATCATTGGGGATGAGAATCTTTAATCTTTTCCCTCCAAAAGTTTAGAGCTTGTTCCCCCCCCCCCCTTTTATCTAATACATACACCATAAAATAAATACATTTTTTAATCAAAAAATATTTTTATTTTTTCCTTTAAAGAATATTGTCAATCATGTTAGTGGAGAACGTGCAAATATTAAATTTCATTCATACAGTTATTTTTCTTCTGATCAACCTAGAAAGGTTTAAAAAAATTAAATTAAAATTTTTATTTTTTTAAGGTTGAAGGAATTATTTTAGACAAAAAAGGAAATGCTCGTTTTTATATTTTTGGTTATTGGGATAGCTATTTAAATATTGCTTTAATTAATAATCAAAAAAATCAGCAGGGAAAGGTTTTGATTGAAACTGGGGAGCCAAAAAGGATTTGGACTGTTAAAGAGCCTTTGTATGTTTTTTGTGGATTTTTAAAGAGCTATTCGAGTATCTAAAATAATTTAAAAAATTTTATTGGGGAAACGACTAAGGATTCTGGCACGAAAAGTGTTTTCTCTCTCGGTTTCGGAACTTGTCCTTTGTTCATTTTTATATTTTTGGGTTATTTTTCGAAATTTTTTGATATTTTAAATTTTTTGGAGCCCTTTTTGAATTTTTGGAACCGCCAGGAAATGTTTACTTGGAACCGTTGAAATTTTTATAACGTAAAAATACTAATGGGATGGGGTTACCTTTACTTATTAAGATACCGTATTTACTCTATTAATTCCCCCGCGGAATTATTTTTTATCCGTGGCATGGGGAATTATTCGAGGGAGAGGAATTGATCGAGAAATCGGTATCTTATTATAGGCTATCTTTATCTCCTGTGAATAAAAAATTTTGATCGATAACTATAAATCCCTTATTTGTTTTATCCAATCTCTAATTGCCTAATTTATTTTTATTTTTGGGGAATTTGAAATGCTTTGACTTTAAATTGCTTAAAATTAAACTTAAAAATATTTTTAAGGGGAGATTCTTCAATGTTTAACTTCACAAAATTAGCTATAGAAATGAATGAACCAGATGACCAAGTAGCCCCAACAGACTCTCGTTTTCGTCCAGATCAGCGTTTAATGGAAAATGGGGATTGGGATGGGGCTAATGATCGTAAAAATGAATTGGAGGATAAACAAAGGAAGGCTAGACGTAAAGCTGAGGCCGAGGCTGAAAGGGCGATTGCTAATAGTAAGAAGGATTAATTAATTAACCTCAAACAATTCCCCTTATTTACAGATCAACAACCTCCAGAATACCAAGCTTGTTGGTTCCAAAAAGTACAAGATACAAATACCGGTTCAGTAATTCACACAATTCGAGGTAATGAATATTGGGAATGTAAAGAGAAAAAGGATTGGTCTAGATGTCCAAATATTTATTAAAAATAAAAATTTTATATATATTTAAATTGCCATAGAAGATTGCAATATATATTTATAAATATTTTAGAATATCATTCAGTCAAATCTCGTTTTAGTTTATGCCCTTAGGGGGTGAAAAAATTTAAAACTGAGTTTGGAAGTATTACTTAAAAACATCTCTTTTTCTAACCCGCAACCAAAACAACATTAAAACCCGTAAATTAAACTGACACATTATATGTAGTATAGTGTCCATTTTATAAATAACCTTAGAAGCATTTATTACCATTATATTCTCTAAGGATAGCTATTGGGTTGGCCAGACTGTAGCCCAGACCCTTATCAAGCCACACTAGTGTGTTTCTCTTATGGGGCACATATAAACGACTGGATCAACTGTGGAATTTAACTAACGAGATTTGACTGTATCTGATAAAGGGTTGGATTTATTCTTATTTATTTTTAGAAATTCTGATTTTTATTTCCCTCAATCGGAGCTGGCCGGAAATGTTTTTAATTTATTATTTCCGGTTATTTTTAAATATATTTTTCCGGAAAGTTTTCGATTTTTGATTTTTTCTGGTGGTTTTAATTTTATTTTTAAATGCTTCCAGAAAATGTTGTTTTCCGAAAAATCTATTAAATATAATTAAATTAGAATTGAAAAAAATTCAAAAAATAAATCCAATCCTTTTTAAAATAAAATAAATAATTCTATTTAAAAAAAGTGCAAATTGGCTGTAAATTTAGAAAAATACTAAATATTATTTCTTTTAAAAATACTCTTCTTTATTTACGCAACTTTTTCTTTGTTTTTAAGCTTTTAGAGAGTTGCTAGTTTTCAAAAAAAATTCTTTTTAATTTTATCCTAATAGCAACTCTTTTTATTTAACATTTAAAAGAGACATATCTAAAAATATTTTTTGTGGTTGTTTTTTTGGGGGAATTTAAATAAATTATTTTTTTAATAATAATAATTAATTCTTGTCTGGCCATAAGCCTTTTTTATTCAAATAAAATTATTAGAATATGAATAAATTAACAAATTTAGATATATTTTTTAAAGTTGGAAATTAATTATTTTTAAGAATAATTTCCAATTTTAAAAATGTTTAGAGAAGATTAAAAGGGATCGGGAAATATTTTTTTGATGTTCTCATTATTTTCAAAATTACCTTCACACTACCTTTGTTGTGTTTCCCATTGTTTCCCGATTTCTTCATTTGGTTCCTTTTACACTACCCCCCCCCCCCATTTTCAACGGGAAATGTCGGGTTTCTGATAGGTTTTCCGAAAATTTTTTAGGATTGGGGGTCTGCAAGAAAAGGGCAGGATCTCGTCTAATCCGACCCTTCATGCTGACCTTAAATGTAGTATTTTAATTTCCCAATCCCTTTCTATAAACATTGTTTGTGGGTATTTTAATGGGAAATGACAGAAAATAAAGACAAAATAAATATATTTTTACCTAAAAATTAAAAAAATCCTTTCAAATTATCCCCCCTCACTTCACTCAACTCTATTCCCTCGTCCATTTCCCCTTTCTTCGCCTTATTGTAGCTCCTCCCAATTTACAACATAGCCAACACGTTAAGGTTAATCCAGCTACCAATAAATTAAATAAAGAAATAAATGCAAGCAATATCCATTTTTGTTTTTCTGTTTGAGGCAGTAAATTTGTTAAAATATTATTTGTTGATGTATTTTTGGAAGGATTTTGTTGGCATTCTTCTGTTAATTCTTTAAATTGCTCGTCTATTATCTATTAAATTTTAAAGGGAATTTTTAATAAATTTTTAAATTTTGGAGACGTTTCGGCGCGAAGTATTTTTGGCGTCGTTAAACAAAATAACCTTTCAAATGGACCTAAAATTCTTGAAATTTTATTAAAATGTCCCTTATAATATTTTCTAATTTCTCTATAAATTTCAGAATTTCTGATTTTTTATTTCCAGAGTTGTGACTAAAGAATCACAGTCTAACTAAAAAAATTTGACTTTTTTGGGCCATAACCTGCCTCATATTTAACCCAAAATTTTAAAATTTTTAAGCAAGTTAGTTAACCCTATTGAGGTTATTTTTACAAAATATCAGAATTTTAGGGCTTTATTTGACTATATTTTTATAAGACCGCGCCCAACATCTCCCGCGCCGAAACGTGTTTTTTAAAATTTTCAATTAAATTTTAACCATCATCGGTTTAGTAAAAACATCCATAGTTTCAGGATTTGAACGTCTCGATTTTTTAGTAAAAACTTTAGATTTAGATCGACGTCTACTAATTGTTTGTAATTCATTTAAATGTCTAGGTTTAGTCTCTGGGCAGTTTGGGGGAGAAATTCCTGCACAGCCTCCATCCAATTTTAAGCACAGGGTTACTTGACATTGAAATTGAAGTACAGGCTTGTCTGCATACTAAAAATAGATATTTAAAAATTAATGGAATCTCATTATAAGTTATCCTCTTAGGGATAAAAATCAGTATCCTATAATTCGGTGTATGTTAAATAGAGGGCATCTTAAATTCGACTTTTTTTAGCCATAAAGAGGGTACCGCTTAGACAGCACTCCCATCCAGTGTTTTTGAAAAACACCTCTTAAATTGAGTATTGGGCGTACATTATAGTTAATATTGGGCGTACATATTTAATATTGGGCGTACATTATAGTGGGGGGTTTGACTGTATTTTTAGACGGGGATTATATAAGAGATACAAACCGTAAATGCTGAAATAATGTCCCTCTCTCAAATAAATTACCCCCTCCAGCGAGAGGTTGAAACAATAATTACCCTAGGTAATTATTTTAGCAAATACGGTATGTGAGAGAAAAAAAAAAAAAACACCTCTTAAATTGAGTATTGGTGAGAGGAATAATTTTAAAATGTGAGAGAGGAATAATTTTAAAATTAATTTAAAAAATATTTTTGTTTACTTTAAATACGTGATACTCTTTTGTAGCTAAATGTAAACTTGTGTCATAATCTGGTGTTCTCAACAAAACCTACAAAAAAAGACATTTTTTCTTCAAAATTTCTCCAAAAAATTACGGCATCCAATCCGCACCCATTTTCATCCAAAATATCCACTCTATCCCCAAATCCATTATCTACATAACAAGAATGTACAAGCATTCCAAAAGTATCCTGTCCTCCTTCTTCTATACATTCCCAACGGTGATAGACTGGTTGGCCTTGAAAATTATTTTTTTTTAATTTAATTTTATTTTTCCACCCTTTTAAACTACCCAAAATTGCAAACTGTACAATTGGCCCTTCTGCAGAATCTTTTCTTAAAGTATATTCACATCTAGGCATTTGAAATACATTTTGGCGGAATTGTGTAGTTATTTGGCTTAAAATTATATTTTTAAATTAGATTCTCTTTAAAAATTTAGGGGAAAAAATAAATTTTTAAATTCCTTCCCCGGAAAGCTAGAGTCGAATTAATTAATTAATTGGAAATTTTGAAATTAAGCGTTTCCTCCCTTACAATATGTTGAAAAATCCTTCTGAAACACCTTAAACTTCCAATACCCCATATTCCACGATATCCCTTTTAAATTCACTTAAACCCTTCAAATCCGTTGATATTTCCCTATATCTATTACGAAAAAATTTTAAATGAAAATTCCGAATTCCCGTGGAATTCCGGTAACTTTTAGAATTATAATGAAGGGATATCTTAATTAGAGGGGGTCTTGGAAATTTGTCTTTGAAACCCTCTCCACTCCCGGTAGCCAACCAAACTTAAAAAATACATATCTTTAAATCGAGCATGCAAAGCGAGAATAAAAATTTTTTATTTAAAATTTCCCCTACCTAACTTCCATGGGAACAGTCACAGACTTTTCCGCTTCCATATAAAAACATTTAATATTAACCATTTGGTCTACTTTTGTCATAAAACTTTTAAAATAAATTTAAATTAATTAAAATATAAGCATACACAGAATGGAACATAAAAACAACCTTTAAATTAGTTTTTTATTTTTTTAAATTCTCTAAAAATACTTACAGTCATTTCAACAAATATTCCTTTTGGACTTAACTGGAAAATTTGAATTTTTTAAATTAATTTTTTTATTCAGTTTCTAACCGATCTATATCTGTGGACATCACAATTAGTAAATGGAACGGTTATTCCAATACTTCTAAAAAATATTTTATTTCAGAAAAAATTTTAAAAATTTTCCAAAGATACAGTAGTCGACAAAAAGATAGGGACAACTTTTTACTTCAATTATTTGAGTATATCAACAAATAATAATCAGCCAAATCTTATACTCATTAAATAGAGCATTAAATGGAGTATTTAATCAGCCAAAAAATTTTTCCTGAAATTGATCTTTAGCTGAGAAAATTGGTGATTTTCATTTCACTTGCGTCTGTCCTTATCTTTTTGTCGACTACTGTATTTTAAAAATATTTTAAAGAATTAAAAAAATTTTTTTGAAATTTCAAAAAAAATTTTTCAAAGATTTCAAAAATATTTCCTCCTCTCCCTACCTCGAATCAGGAAAATTCTCAGGTCCAGCACGGCATTCTGGCTGATTAAAATGATTCTGAACAAACACGTATCCTTCAAAAGGCTTTTTAGTAGATGCCCTAACACCTATTTTGTCTGAAGCACAGATTATATCGGGGGTTCCAGGTCCTTTAAACAAAAGAAAAAATTTTTTTCTGAATAAATTCCCTCTCCAAACTAAAATCTGTCCGGCACATTTCCCAAGTCAATGCATCAGCTAAAGCTCTATCTAATTGGTCGAATGATTCTACTGTAAATACTCTAAGCACGTTTCCTGTCATTTGGTGTAGTTGTTGAACGTTTACAAGGTTACTAACTCCTATAGCGTAGACTAGAACGTGGGCATCCCTCAATCGTTGAGCTAAAAATTAATTTTTTTAATGAACTCTGGTAATTTTTGGACTATCTGATATCTCTTTAGAAGGGTTTAACTAGGGTTCAACCCCCGTTCGTTCAACCCCCGTTTCCCGGGGTAGGGACTTCCCTGCCCGGGGAACGGGGGAGGGGAAGTCTCCCCCCAGACCCCCCGTTCCCCGCCCCGCGGTTCGAATTCCCCGCAACCCCCGTTCCCCGTAAAATATTTCCCCGCCACGTAAAATTGAACCCAACTTAAAACCCTTCTACTAATTTCTATTCCATAATTACCACAATGGTCAAAAATGCAAGGTTACCCATCTCGCCTCAAATTGAAAAATACTGACCTGCCTCGGCTACTTCGTCCTGTGATTGTCCATCAGTTAAGACAATAACTACTTTAGGCACAGAACCCCCTCTAGCTCCTTGAAAAGCTGTATCTAATGTAAACTGCAATGCTTGGCCTGTATTTGTAGCACCCCCAATAAATTTAATTTTTTGCAACGCTACTTCTAACTGGAATTAATTTTGAAAATTGTTAAAAATTTAACAAAAAATTATTCTATTTAACAGGAAAAAATTGAGATTTTGAACACGAACCCTAACCATCTCTTTACCAAACCTAACACACTAACCACTCAACCACCAATCTCACTAAACATAATTTAAAGAAATACCCTTAATAATTAATTTTTATTTTCTCCTTAATTTTTCTTCTCTTGGAAATAAAAATTTAAAAAATATTTCCAATATTAAAAAAAATATTTTTCAAAATTTCTTTTAAATTTCTTTAAAAATATTAAATTTCCAATCACCAACTTGTTGTAAATTAGTATATTGATTTAACGCAATTTCCAGTTGTGGTTGTTCAGAAAATTGAATAATAGCCAAATGAGAACCGCTAACAGATATATTTAATAATTGGGCTAATTGTCTAGCAAATTGTGTTTGTAATCTAAATGTTGAATCCCCAACTGAGCCAGATCCATCTAATAACAATACAACATCTACTGTACTGTTTTGTCCACATTCTTTATTTAAATTTGAATTTTAATTTAATTGTTTTTTTTTAAATTTTGTTTTTTAATTATTAAAAAAAATATTTTTTTAATTTTTTAGAAAGTCGAAAATGTTAATTAAATAATTTTATTGTCAATAGAACTCGAAAAATGAAAAAAGGAGCCGAACGGATCCGAACCCTGGCCGATCCGTTACCGAACCTAACACACTAACCATTCGGCCAAATACTTAATTAACCGTTTTCTTTAAATAAGCCTTTTCTAATTAATTAAATTTTAATTTAATTTTAATTGTTTTTACTTCAAATTACAAGATCTATTTTTATAAATAGTTACCTAATTATGTAATTGATTAAATAAAATAACAAAAAAAAAATAAAAAAAGGAATGCGGAAATGAAAATAAAAAATAAATTATTTTCCTCTTTTATAAAGCCAGTTTTTTTTTAATTTTTAAATACCTTTAACTAATTCAGAATCAATTAATCCATTATCTATTGGAATACAAAAAAATAAATTTGGAATTAAATTAATTAAAATAAATACAAAAAATAATTTTATTTGTATAATTAAAGGCTTTTTTCTTTTTATTAGTCTGTTTAGTTGATTTAACATTTCTAGAAAAATTTTTTTAAATTATTTAAATTAATACAGTCAGTCCTAGTTTTAAGTACCTTACAAATTAGGGGGTGAAATAATTATATGTAAAATTGGGGGTTTTATTTATTTTTTGGGGGATCACTCAGACAGCTCCAAAATAGGGGAGGGATAACTCCAATGGACAATCGAATTTTAAAATATTTTTTTATTAAATCGAGTAGTGTCCGATATAGAGAGGAGTGTTTATCTAATGTTATTGAGGCTAGATTATACAAATTTAAAAAAATATTTAAAAAACAGGGTTTGAGGGAGGATTAAATAAATAAATTTTTAAATATTAAATATAATTTTTTAAAATATTATTAAAGAAAAAAGGTTAAGGACGGAATATTGACGATTTTTAACGCGACCCTAACTAATCTTAGAAAATCCGCTTTAGCGTAAAAATTGATTGAATCCTCTCCTCCTTTCACTATAATAATATGATTAAGCTTATCTTTTTATCACTTTTTTTTTATTTTTCCCAGCCAGGATTTTCGTGTCTTTTTATTTCTCGAGTATTGCGCTGCACTTTGTGGTAAGGAAATATATGGCTAGAGGCTATTTTGGTGATATCAAAACAAGCAGATAGAGAGAAGAGAGAAGTAAAAGTTGTGGAGAAAAATAAATAAAAATTTATATTTTTTAAAAGAATTGATAGCTAAAAAAGAAATAAAAAAATGACAGAAGTCCGCGCAGAGAGGAGAGGAGAGACTGTCCCGTCCGATCTCCCCTTCCTCTAAAAAAAGATAAAAATCCTTAAAAAGAGAAAAGGAATTTTGTTGTTATTCAAAAAGCGAGAATATTAATTAATAAAAATATTTTTTGTTTTAATATACATATAAAATAAAAACAGGCCAATGCCGAGGTCGCAAAGGAGAAATTTGCGAAAGAGGGATTATGATAAATGGAATATAATTAAAAGAGAAAATATTAAATTACAATTGTAAAATAAAATAAACTTTGTTTTTATTAAATAGCTTATATACTATCAAGCAAGTTTATTTATTATTTCAAGTTTATTTTTCATAATTGTAATTTTCCCTAAAAAGTTTATTTTTCTTCAACCTTGTCCTTACAAACAAGTTTTTTAAATTCAAGTTTATTTTCTGATTTTACAATTTCCTTAATTACCATTTATTTTACAAATTTTTCTCTGTCAAGTTTATTTTAGTATCATAGTTACTATAAAAAGTTTCATTAAGTTTATTATACAAATTATTTTTACAAACTTTTTTCTGATTTTCCCGTCAATTTTATTTTGTTCAAACTTGCTTTCACAAACTAAGTTTATTTTTTCGATTCAAGTTTATTTTCTTTATTTCTTACAATTTGTGTTTTCTCAATTAATATTTATTTTACAATTTTCTTTTTCTCTGTTAAGTTTATTTTGATATTTTTATTGTTGTATTTCCTTAAGAAAAATTTATTTTTCTTTCTCTATTACAACCTTAATTATTATCAAAATGTTTGTAATCCAAGTTTTATTTAACCATTCAATAATATTTTAATACAATAAAAGAGACAAAATAAAATACCAGAAAACATCAAAAGTTAATTTTTAATTGTAAAAAACATTTGTTTGTTTGTTTGTGTAATTTTTTGTTTTTATATTAACAAATAAATATTTCTTAACCAATATTTTGACGCATAACTTTATTAACATCCATTAACAATTTGTCCATCAATGCCCTCAAATCTTCAATTGCATCATCCACAATAATATTCTTTAAAAAATAAAATTGAATTGGTTAAAAAAAGGAATTTTCCGATATAAAATACACAAGAGAACCCCCCTTCTCCTTATAAAAATTATTTTATAATTAGAGTTCAAAAGTTGACATTTTTTGAAAAAATTAAATTATTAGAATGGTCTGGATTAGAGATCGAGATTTTTGAAAACACTGGGCCTGTTGCTGGGTTTGATTCATTGACCTGGGCAGGATCCTGGTAGTACAGGAAAACCCAGGAAGGTCAAAGAATCCCTTGGCCGGATCCTGGGCCAAGGAAAAACCCCAGGCCTTGGTCCAGACTCAGCTCGATCTCTAGTCTTGAAAGCCTAAGCTTTTGTTCAATTAAAAAATTTTCTGATTTTCTGGGAGAAAGATTCCCCAATTGCTATAACTGTCGAATTATCTTTTAGCTATGCGCTTGGATTGTCAAAAATTCCCCAAATTAATAAAAAAAATTAAAAAAAAAACAAACTTGTCGACAACTATAAATATAAGCCATGATTTGCAACTGTTCATCAACCGTAAATTCACTTTCATCCTGTTTGCCGATTTTTACCAAATCACAATCTGGCCTGTGGTTGCGATGTTCTTCCCTTAAAATTTGATTTTTAACAAAAAATAAAAATTCAAAACCAAGGATCATCTTCAGCATCCCACAAAAGTTCGTGCTGACAAACATAACAACGTGCACAATCGGCATTTGGTTTAATTTCGCTGCAATAAAAGCCAGCTCTAGCCATCTAAAAATATTTAAGGATTAAATAGTAGAAAAGCCTGAAAAATTAGGATTTCAAAAATATTTGAATATAAAAGTCTACTAGAGATCGAGCCGGGCTTGGACAAAAATTTGTATTTTCCCTATACCCAGAGTTCAGGCCCATGCATTTTTTGACCTTCCTGGGTTGGACCAGGGCCTGGGTTTTTCTTATACATAGAGGTTTCATATTTCATATACACATTTTTGACCTTCCTGGGCCAAAAATGGATCAAACTACAGGCCCAGGTCAATAAACAAAGCCCCTAAGTCAAGAAAAGGCCCAGGCTTTTCGAAAATCTCGATCTCTACAGTCAAAGGATCCCAAAAATATTTTAATAATTTTATTATTTAAGTGTCATAAAATTTTAGATCATGATCCTCAACAATCCTTAACTGTGACATATTTTATGCCTAGACAAGATTTTAGACTTTTTGTCACCAAAAACCACAAATCTGATCGAAGAAACAAAATTACAGAGAAATCTGTCTTACAGAGAAATCTGTCTTAACTAATGTACAACACGATGCTGGAGACCAAAGGAATTTCCGGACCCTAAAGTAGACCTAAAGGATTCCCTGATTCCAAAGTCAATTTTTAAGGATTACCAAAATTTAGAAAATTTCCAAAAAATAAATTTCAAAACAAACTCGTTCAGAAGTACATTGCGCATTCTCATCATTGTCATAAGCCCAAACACCTTCAAAAGTGGCCAAACGTTTTGAGTAAAGAGCCATTTCCAAATTGACAAATTCCAAAAAAGAATCGAGATTGACTGGTTCGGCTTGATTTTCAGCATTTTTTGTTGTAAGCGTTTTATCCATTTTTTCCTTTCTAAAAGAAGCGAAAGATTTTTTTGAGAACTTAAACGATTAAAAATAAATTAGACAATTTTAAAAATATAAAATCAATAAAAACAAATATCTCTAACTTTAAAAATAAAGCACTCTCTAAATTAAAATTTAAATTAAAATTTGGCGCCAAAAAAGAAAATCGTTGCAGAAAACAGAGACAAAGCGAATAAAAAATTTTTAAAATGTGGAATGGATAAAATCGAAAATTTAATTTTCGGATTGGAATTCGATACCAAAGTTGTAGCAAATATATGAGCAAGACAAGACGTATTAGTCACGAAAAAACTTTTCTCTTCAGTCTTGAAAACCCTGCCTTATTTTTAGTGATGGCTAAATCGATTTTGCCGGACCCGGATTCCGGGTTGTAACTTGAACCGGACCAGATCCGGCCGGATTTTTCAGATTAATCCGGACCGGTTTTAGTTCGGAAATCTAAAAAAACCCGGATTTGGGACACGGACTCCGGAAAAATCCGGCCCGATCCAGTCCGGTCACTAGTTATTTTACAGAAGAATCATTAACAAGATTTAGGATTTTTGAAAATTTTTGTATTTTTTTCTTAAAAAATTTTTATGAAAAATAAAAAAAAACATTTAAAAATAACAAATTCCAAAAATCGGTACTTTATTAATATCCCGCCCCCCACCCCTATTTGAGTCTCAGATTATTTTTCCTTTTTTTGCTGTCAATCATTTATTCCCCTCCTTTTTTAATACCAATCATTTTCTTCCCTCGAATATTATAAGTAAAAGACAAGTTAAAAACTTAAGATATTTGAGGAGTACAGCCCAAAAAGGCGCGCAGCCATAATGGCGCAAAGTCATAACCTTCTGTAATATTTTTGGCCCTTGTCATTTTTGTTATCAATCTCTTTAGCTCGATGAAAGGAATCGTTTAATATTAATTTTTGTAAGGTTCGAAAACCATGAAGCAAGTTATGGCTTTGCGCCTTTATGGCCGCGCGCCCTTTTGGGTGTCTTATATTTGAGGGAAGAGAATTATTAACATTAAAAAAGGAGGGAAAATAAATGATTGACAGGTAAAATGGAAAATTAATCTGAGACTCAAATAGGGGTGGGGGGCGGGATATTAATAAAGAACCCAAAAATCATATTATTTTTCCACATTACTACTATTCTTAACTAAAGCATGAAAATGAGAGGTTTTCTCTGCCGCCAATTTTTCGGGGGTGTCAAATTCTACTAATTTTCCTGCTGAAAGTACCATAATACGATCATAGTCCATAACTGTGCTTATACGATGGGCAATTGTTAAAATTGTAGATCGCTGAATTTTATCAGTTTTTTATATTTTTAAGACCCGTTGGTTTGAGTAAAAACCCTGAGGGTCTTTTGGTAAGTAACAATTGAAAAGAGAGACAGAATTAATTCAAAAATCACCCCAAATTCAGAGTGTAATCGATTCGAAAAAATTCGGGGTCGAAATGTCATTTTTGCCGTTTGACCTTTAGTCCACCGATCCTTTCGAGAATAATTTTTTAATTTAAAATTTTACACTAAATTCAGTCCTTATCGCCCTTTGTATAAGTTCATCAGTTTGAGAATCAATAGAAGCTGTAGCTTCATCCAAAACTATAAGAGGACTACGTCGAAGTATTGCACGTGCCATACAAAGTAATTGTCTTTGACCAACACTTGAAAAAAAAATATTTTTTTAAAATAATTTCCACTCTCAATTACCTAATATTTTCTCCACTTTCAGCAATTTCATAAAATAATTTTTTTGGTTGTGCTTCAACAAATTGTTTTAAATGGACTTGTTCTAAAGCTGTCCATAATTCGTGGTCTTTATAAACATTAAATGGATCCAAATTAAAACGTAAGGTGCCAGAAAAGAGAACTGGATCTTGTGGAATTATCTGAGAAAAATATAAAATATAAATCCACTAAGAAGGTACCCATCAAGGAACAGTCTGGTTATCCGAAATCCGACCCGATACTCGAAATAGACTTTCTCAACCCGAACCATACCTGCTTCCCTTCCCTCAACTAAAGAAGTAATTTTTGTTTGGAACAGTTCATTCCTTACCTCATCCCCCCTGCCCATCTTTCCCTAATGAATGTAATTATTAACTCAAATATTTGAATTTATCCTCATTAAATAAAGGTACCTAACAAGCATAATCAGATTAATTTTATCTTATTTCTTGCTCTCAAAAATTAATTTAATTTCTCACCGTTATTCTCGATCTAAGCTCTTGAAGACCAACTTTAGCAATATTTACTCCATCAATTAAAATACGCCCTTCAGCTGCTTCAATTATCCGAAAAAGTGCTAAAGCAAAAGAAGTCTTTCCTGCACCGGTTCTGCCAACAATTCCGACCTATTTTATTTAATTTTCTAACTTTTTCCTAAATTTTACTTTTTCTCCAGGTCTAATCTCTGCAGTAATTCCACGTAAAGAAAGATCCAATTCAGGTCTGTATCTACACGAATATTTTTGGAAATGAACAGCTCCACGACTAGGCCAATCTGATGGGGGTTCTCTGCCTTTAGAACTTTTCCAGGATGCCTAAATGAACACTTTTTTTATAAAAATAAATTAAAATCTCTATCTTATCCACACTCAAAAAATTTTGAGTTGAGGATATTTGTGAATTTGGAGGTGACAACTCAGAAATCCCATTGAACGAAAAATGTTAAGAAAGCTTAAGTAAAATTTGGAGTCGAGTGAGTAAGATAAATGGGGGATTAAAGAAAGGTTCCATAAAGTTTAAAGGCTTCCAAAAAGACTTCCACTCTTCCCATAACTTAATGCATCGAATAACTAAAAGGGGAAGAAGAACAACTGAGAGGGAAGTTTAAGATAAAAGTATGGGTCAAAACATAATGGGATAAGTAAAGGAACTTTGTAAATATTCGAAAGGATAGGTAAAGATAACAAAAAATGATTGGATAGCTAGATAAACAGAATGGGATAACTGGGATTAGTAAGATAGAGAACCTGGGATAACAAGAATGAATGATAGGATAAGTCATAAATATTCGAATCTTAAACAAAAATCACCTCCTGAGGACAATCTCTATATTCCAAAATTCTTTCCACCGAAACAATACTCATTTCTGCATCATTAATATTTCTAACCAAAAATCCAAGAATTACAGTTATCTAGTTAAAGGAAAAATATTTTTTAAATTCCTAAAAAACAAACAAACATCTAAACTTTTAGAAATAGCTAATCCAATAAGTCCAGCTGTAGCAGTCCCCCAATCACGAGAAAATACAGCCATTACAGAACAAAAAAGAATTAACAAATTTCCAATAAGTTCAAGTCGAACAGATAACCAACGATTGGCAATTAGTGAAAAATATCTTTAAAAATTTAATTTTATTCCTAACCGAAATTAGTGTTAAAAGGTGGGGATTAGGATATAGTAAAAGAGAATGTGAAAACAATGCCCCAGTGGCCCAATCAGTAGAGAACAATTGTATTAATGAACGTGTTGTCTTGATTTCCGAAAGCGGGAATTTATATATTTTATGTAAGCACGTTCCCTGATTTGCACGTGGTGAGAGAAATCGTCTAGCATTGAATTCATTGCCTGCATAGTACTACTAAACTTTCATTGCGCGCTCCCTTTAAAAGTTTAGCTCCAGGCAGTCATTCCCTCTACCCCCGCCTGTCAGCCTCGCTTATTAAATTGAAGGTGCCTGACACTGTTTATTCGATAAATCAGAAACTCTCATTCTCATAATTATATCCCAAATACCTGCATCCAACTTGAATATCCAATTTAGAACAAAAATGATTAAAAAAAGTTTGGACAACTCCATAAGCACGTATTGAGGTTGTTCCGTTAATTGTTTCAGCAAATAAATTGTATAAAGGTGAACGAGTGACAGATGTTAATCGTTGAAGTTGTCGGGATGTTGGGATAAAATAATGCTTTAAAATTAAAAATAGAGTGTCATAGGGTACAGTCAAACTCTCTATACTATATAAAAAACCTCTCTATACTATACACCCAGTATTAGATACCCTCTATTTAATGAACATTCTTTTTAGAATTTGATTACCCTGAATGGGGGAAGGTGCCCAAGCAATACCTTCTATTTAATAGACTTCTCATTATAAGAGACTATTTTTTCTGGATTAAGGGGGGTTCCTTTTAGTGAAGTCCGCCGTGTTTCAAAAAATTAAAAAAAATTCCTTACCAAAATTAATAAATAAAACAAAACTGTCGGAACAATTAAAACAATAAAAATAGGCATTGATAACGAAATAAGAATAAATACTTGAAGTACCATTAATAAACTAAATCCAAGCATTCTAAATGTACTGGCTAAACGAAGATCGACAACATCAAATTCCTTAAATTAAAAATTAAATTTTGGGAAGAGGAAGTATTTAAGAATAAAAAAGAGCTTGGAAATTGGAATTTGGAACAAGAAAAAATTTTTTTTTAATTTTATAAATCATCTTAGAAATTTTCCAAGAAACGCGGATAAACCTGTCCACCAGAAGTGGGCCGGAAACGACAAAGGTGCCAGAACTTGGAACTGTCGGAAATAGGAAATGGTTTCAAAGTCGGAACTTGGAAATTTTTCCAAAATTTCGGAAACTGCAAGGAAAAAAACGTTGGAAATCGGAATTCCTACCAACCTCTGCTGTCCATATTAGAAATTAAAGAGGTTATAAAATTCCAACCCCACCCCTTTCCCCATTCTCCTCTTTACCTTTCCAAATCTATTTAATATTCTCCCTAAAGGCGTTGTATCAAAAAATGATATTGGAGCATGCAAAACTCTGTCTAGTAGAGGTCCATGTAAACGAATACTGGCTGATACAGCACCGATGATTTGTAAAATATTTGACAATCCAAGTGAAAGAACTTTAAAGATAAATATAATAATTTTAGGTTAAACTTTCCGGAAGGTACAAAAATATAGGTAAGTAATACAAAATAAAATTAATAGACAGAATAACCGGAAGTATTATTACCCTGTCTATTTGTTTTCTAAATGATTTAATTGGTATGTAAAATAAACTTTCCGGAAAGCGCATATTAAATTCCAATTGTAAGTAGACTACAACTAAACTTAACGGAAAACACGCCCCTATTAAACTCTAATTTAAAATTTCTAAACAATTCACCTACCAATTCCAAGTCCTACAAGTACATAAATAAAGAAACGAACACCAACAGACATTTTTGGTTCTTTTAAAGTTATATTAGAATTATCATCTGACCTTCAAAAAAATATTTTTTTTAAATTTAAAATTAAAAATAAACAAATCCCTTACCAACTAGTTAACCACAAACTTTGCACAATATTAAGTACAAATTGACTAAAAAGAAAGAAAATAAATCCAATAAATATTGGCCATCTCATTGCTGCAAAATAGGCTAAATAAATTGAAGGGCTAACTCTTCCCTAAAAATTAATTTTTTTAAATTAATATATTCACGTTATTTACCGCTTCCGCTTCCTCTTTCTCGATAAGTTTACCTCCAACTTTGTTTTCTACTATTGTTTTTGTTGGTTTTCTCTCATTAATTGAAATTCTTGATTTCTTAAAATGTAAAATAAACTTTCCGTAAAGAATATTAAATTACAATTGTAATAGACAAATAGTTAACGGAATTCCGGAAAACACAATATAATCTAATAAGTTCTACTTTCCGGAAAATAATATACTAAATTACAATTGTAAATAGAAAACTTTCCGGAAAACACAATTTAATTTAATGAGTTCCGAAAAACTTTCCGGAAAGCATTTAAATTACAATTGTAATTACCGGAAAACACAATATACTAATCTAATAGGTTCTACTTTCCGGAAAATAATATAATAAATTACAATTGTAATGGTTTATTCTCTTAATTTACAATTGTAATTTAACTGCTTTCCGGTGTTTATTTTTACAATTATTTTACACATAAACATTCCGGAAAACCATAAATGTTTTTACCTTCAAAGAGCTTCGACTACTTTGTGTACGTCTTCTCAAAGTATTAGTAAAAGAACCAGCAGAATGAACACTCATTAAACTCATAGCTAAACTACCGTCAGTCACATCATCTGTATAACGTGGAAGAGGAGAAGAAGGGGTTTCTTCTCCTTTCCAAGTACTCGAATCATCAGAATCGCTTTCATTATTTTCAGTTTGTTCTTCTAAAAATTTTAAAATATTCTTGAAAAAAAATATTTTTTTGCCTTTATTTTCATCTTCTTTTTCATTTTCCTTTTCCTTCTCTTCCAAATGTGCAATTAATTGTGCTGTTTTAGGCTCATTTAATAATTCCTCATATGTGCCCTGCCCAAGTATTTGTCCATCTAAATAAATAGATTATTAAAGTTTCCGGAAAATATAAAAATTTAATGTAATATAAAATAAACCTTCCGGAAGTAACTAAATATTACAATTGTAATTAGACTGTTTCCGGAAAGAAATAAAAGTTTCCGGAAATACGAATAATAAAGCACAAAACCATTCCGGAAAATACAAATAATTATTGAAGTTTTCGGAGAGTATAAAAATCTATTGTAATATAAAATAAACTTTCCGGAAGTAAATTACTAAATTACAATTGTAAAAATAAATATTAAATTACAATTGTAATTAGACTGTTTCCGGAAGAAAATAAAGTTTCCGGAAATATGAATAATAAAACACAAAATGTTTACACATATAAAAGTAACCATTCCGGAATTCATATTTCCGGAATAATTATTAAAATTTCCGGAAAGTATTTCAGGAGTATTTCAGGTTTCCGGTTTCAGGAAAACCGGAAAACTTTTCAGAAAACTCCTCACCTTCCATCACAACAATCCAATCAGTCTCAGCCAAATAAGCCAAAGAATGTGTAACTAATACTCTTGTACTTCCTTTAGTCAAACTTTCAGGGCCTATTGCTAAGTCGAATAAATGTCTTCCTACTATAGCATCAACAGCAGAGAGAACGTCATCAAGTAAATAAATATCTGCTTGGTGGTATAAAGCTCTAGCTAGATTTACCTTTAAAAGATTTTTTTCTAGACTATCAAAAAAATTTTTTTTACCCTAGCTTTTTGCCCTCCCGAAAGATTAATTCCACGTTCACCAATTTCAGTTTGATCACCTTCAGGTAAAACAGCAAAGTCTGATTTAAGAGCACACGCATCAACTACACGGGCATATAATTCTTCATTTGGTTTTTCACCATCATCCAGATTAGAGAAGAGAATATTCTCACGAACTGTTCTATTTAATACCCACGGCTGAAAATCAGAAAATGTTTAAAAGACAGATGTATTTTAGAAAAATACGTATTTTTTTTTTTTTGTATTTTCCGGAAAAACAAGCGATTAAGTACGTAAAATGTATTTTCCGGAAGGAAACATTTAGCAATAATATTTTTCCGGAAAATATAAAGAGCAATGTATTTTCCGGAAAATGTAAAGAATAATGTATTTTCCGGAAAGACAAGCAAGTACTATTGTAAGATGTATTTTTCCGGAAGGAAATATTAAGCAAAAACATTTTTCCGGAAAATATAAAGAGCAATGTATTTTCCGGAAAATATTAAAATTAAATTTATTTTCCAGAAATGTTTCTTCTATTTTAATTTACCTGTTGCGGCACATAAGCCGCACGCCCACGAAGGCCCACAAATCCGTAAACCTTTAAAAATACATTTTTATTTTGTATTTTCTATTAAAAACACAAACTTTATTCATTTCTCCCAGTAAAGCATGTAAAAGGGAAGTTTTCCCAGCCCCAACTCTTCCAACAACAGCAACCAACAAACCTCGACGTAAATGAAGTTCGAGGTTATTTAAAGAGTAGGGAATACAAATATTTGTTGTTGATCCACGTATTAAATGTTGGTGACCGGGAGGGAGGTGAGAATGTGTTTTTACTAATTTTTTTGTTTTTGTTTTCCAATCAAAAGAGGCAAATTCAACATCTATTGCTCTTTCATCTAAATAAGGAGGGAGGGTTTTAGAGGAAAAGAAATTTTTTTAAGGATTTAAAGGTGATTTAAGAATAGGAAGAGATAACAAGTTAAAATTTTAGATTAGTATTATTCTTTGTCAAGATTCCTTAGAGTTTTGTCTAGGAATTTCATTTAAAATTTAAAAAAGCAGGAAAAAGATGTTTAAAGTTTTATCATTTTAAAGCCCTTTCAATTAAGAAATATTTTTAAAAATAATACAATCGGACCTCACATTTTAGAATGAAAAAATACTACACGCTGGGGCTAAAAATATTGCAGCTTATTGAGCTGTATCTTAAATAGAGGGGTATCGCCTAGACATTTCCCCTTTCTAATGAAACGGGGTCAGAGAAATCAGGAACCAACTCTAAACGAATTGAGGTCTACTAATGAGTGTACCCGACAAAGAGATGCCCGACTGTATTTAAAACTCTCACATTGTGGATCCAAATCCCTTTCAACAGCTTCAGGATCAATTTCACCAGCTACCAAAAAATGTTTTAGTCTTCGATTTGAAACAGCCGTTTGTACTAATTGTCCAATTAATTCGGCCAAAACCATCATCGGAATGCGTAATTGAGAAAATAAAGTTAAAGATACAAAAGCAACTTCTGGGGTTAGAATATTGTGGATTGAATCAGAGAAAATATAGAGAGCAAAAGTTATTATTGATACCTGAAAAGTTTTGGGAATTAAGACGGAAGGAAAGGAGGGAATAGGTGAGAAAAGACAGAATGTGGTCGCCTGTCTCACCTAGGCCGTGAAACCAAAAATTCTGAATTTTCTGGACAATTGAGGTTTATAGCGGTGTAAAATATTTTCCGGTTATAGGACCTGTTATTTGAACTTACAATATGTATGACTTTCCCTCCAATTAGCCCCTAAAATCAAAAAATTACAAAGTAAGGAGAAGTCAAATTAAGAACATCAGAACAAGTACGAAGCAAGGCAGCTTTCCGAATTAATTTAACTTCGTGTTCACGTATCTCGTCAATTACTTGTTTCATTGGCACTTCCCAAGCATAAAGTTTAACGGCTCGAATGCCAGTAAGAACCTGAGGGAATAATACAGTTAAAGCTCAACATAAGATACCCCCATGTCTATTGTAAGGAAGAGAAAGATCCAGCTGGCTAGCATTTAAAACGCTCACTAGGCGGGAGTTTAAGATCTAATAAAAGTAGTACCCCCAAAAAGTAGTAGTACCCCCAATCATGGCCAACAAATTTAAAAAGGTGAAAGCAGCGTCCCGGTAGCTCAGTTGGTAGAGCACCTGTATGTGGTGAGCGAAAGCGCCTAGCAATAACTGACAGGAGGTTGCAGGATCGAAGCCTGCCCGTGGTTAAACTTTTACCTCGCTCTTATTCTAAGAAAGAACATTATAAAGGTAGCTCTTAAATTTGTCTAGTAATGGGTGTATCTTATAATGAGATCAGACTGTAATTAATTTACTTCATTAAGCATTCGAAGTCTAGCATCTTTAAGTGTCATCTGCTCCATCTGTGGAATTTTTGAAAATTTTTTTCAAAAATTTCGAAAAAAATTTCTTTCACCTGCCATATTTTTGTACGTCTAACAACACACAAATTACAAGGAATTAAAGCAATCATAAAAAGAACACCTCCAATAACGGACCAACCCATAACTTGATAAAGAACAAAGAGAGAGAGAACAACTTGAAGAGGGCTAGACCAAATTTGTTGTAATAAAGGAATTACTTGGTAAAAACGATCAACATCAATTGCCATTAAATTTACCTTTTTTTAAATTAATTTTTAAATTTTTTTTTAAATTTCTTTCACAATTTCCCCGCTAGTTCTTCCATGACGCGCACTGCTGGATAAACGAAGGGTCTGAAAATTGGTAGAGACTATAGTCAAATGAGAGAAAAATGTCTGCTCCGGTTTTTGTCTCTCATTAAAGACAAACAAGAAAATCCGGAATTAGAGAAAATAGAGAACATTTTCCGGAAAAGGTTTATGAAAATCTTTTCCGGAAAGAGCCTACAGAAATAAAAATACAAACAAAACATTTTCCGGAATGATTGCAAACAGAATCTGGAAGAGAATAAAAAATACACCAGAACCTTTGCATAAACAGCAGAGGTCAAAACAGATTGAACTTTACAACCAACACTGTTCATCATGTTAAAACTAAAAAATTAAAATTTTTTTAAATTTCCAAAAAAACCCAAACTAATTATTTTGTAGAAGAGATCGCATTTCTGATGCCAGAAAAAGCCCTCCAGCTAATAAAAATCCCCACCAATTAGGCAAACTTATATCCTCAGTAAACGAAATTAATTGGCTTTAAAAAAAGAAAAAAGTTATAGAGATAAAAAGGCAATTCCGGAAAGGTCAGAAAAATAATAGAAATAATTCCGGAAGGTTACGTAAACTAAAAAGAAAATTCCGGAAAGATGAAGAATTATATAGAGAAACAATTTCGGAAAGAGAGAAATTAAAAGGGCAATTCCGGAAGGTTAGAGAACCAAAAAAGAATTCCGGAAAGGGAGAAAATAATATAGTCAATTCCGGAAAGCTAGAGAATAAAAAAGACAATTCCGGAACATTTATAGAAATAATAGAGAATAATTCCGGAATTGTCTATATTATTTGTTCAAATAACAGAGAAAAAATTCCGGAAAGTTAGACAAATTAAAAATTACCCTAAAAGTAAGGGTGTTGTAATTTGTAATAAATCGCTAAATAATTTGGCAATCATCGCCCCAATAATTTCCCATCTAAATAAATTCCATAAACAATTAATTATTGAGGGAGGCTTTTTGTTTTTTAATTTTTGTTGTTTTTCTTTGTAAGTTGGTAATAAAGGGGTTCGTTCATTATAATTTTGAATATTTTCTTTGATTTGTTTTGATGGGCCGTTAAGTTGGGAAGTTGAATAATGGAAGTCTAAAGAGGGGAAAATTTTCTTTGAAAATTAATAACTCCCCACCACCACTCTTCCCATTTTGTTGTTTTGCCCTTTCTTTGCACCACCTTCGGAAAAGTCTTTTAGCACCCATTTCCGGAAGCAACCGGAAAACATCCTTTTCAACTATAGGTCTTTTATGGCCGATTTTAACTAGAGGGTCAAACCAAATAAATAATTGGTTGTTGAGAAAGGAAACTTTTTCTTCTGGTGATTGGTTTGACTGGAAAATTAAAACCGAAATTTTTTTAAATTAGCTATAGCCTGGGCCTCATCTCGGGGATGAAAATATTGTAGCTTATAAGGAGGTAGGCGTATCTTAAATAGACAGAGAAGGCTTGAGTCTGATGTTCCCTAGATCGATGGGGATTTGGGACTGTAAGGTTAAATAGTGAAGCGGTGCTGGTGGCCAACCAACTTTTTGAAAACATCTCTTAAATAGAGGTTATCTAATATAGGGAGTATCTTAGTCCACTACAGATGAAATTAGGTATATGATTTTCTAATAAAATTCTTAAACAAAAAATTAAACATTAATTACATGTCCAGTTGGAATAGTCGAAAAACAATTAAGAATAAATTGAAAAAAACATAAAGGCCACCACACAAGTTTGGCTATACAAGTAGACAACTTTAAAAAAATATTTTTTAATTAAAAAAAATTTTTTTCTTACAAAATAAAATTCATTTCCAAAACAATAATTAATTAAATTAAAAAGTTCAGGTAAGCCAGTCAAAACAAAAAATAGCCAAACACAAAATATTGGCCCTGGAGGGGCTAAAGAAAGGCGAAGAAATTGTTCGGTGAAATAAAAAAGAAAAGCCTGGAAAATAATTTTTAAAAATTAAAAGAATATTTTACCAAAGTAATTAAATGTGTTAGAGGATAAAACAATTCAACTAAAGGAATTGGTTTGTTTTGCCAAAGTAATTCATAACTGGCTATTACAAAGAGAAATAAACGAGAACCAGCCAAAACTGCTATCAACACCTTTAAATTGTATTTTTCAGTAAAATACAAAAATATATTCTGAAGTGTTTTTAATTTTCCGGAAAACACATACCCTTTAAATTCATTCAGAAAATCAGATCGAAACAAAATTGTATTTTTTAGTAAAATACAAAGATATTCTGTTTTTAAATTTCCGGAAAACACAAATTTTCTAAATTAATTCAGAAAACCAGAATTTTTCCGGAAACAGAATAATGCACTTTTCAATGGTAAAATACAAATAATTCTGATTTTTTCCGGAAAATACAAATCTTTTAAATTCTCATAAAATCAGAACCTTTCCGGAAACAAAATATAATGTATTTTAGGTGGTAAAACACAAATATGTATATTCTGAAATGTTTTTCCGGAAAACACAACAAACACAAATAGGTTTTTTAATGTCACATTAAAAAATCAGAATAATAAAATAACCATAATGTATTTTCCGGAAAGATATTTTTAAAATTATTTAATATCAGAAACTACTGTTGTGTATTTTCCGGAAATAATTTTAAAAAATTCCGGAAAACACAAAATATTTTTTTAAATACAAACTTTTTTAATTAATTCAATTTCACTATGAGGTGCCCTCCCAATTTCTTCTTCTTCCTCCTCCTCCTCTTTAGTTGCTTTATATTCAATTTTAGCATTAGATAAGGTAATCCACAAAATAGGCAAAGAAATAAGTAAAAGTAATGGGGCTAGTTGATCCAAAATTGCGTGTTGGAGGCAATTACTGATTGAAGGGAATGTTGAGTTTGGAGAATAAGTCTAGAAAAATACAAGGAAAATACAAACACAGATACAGGGGCGTTGGAGAGGAGATGGGGACACCGCAGATTCCCAACTTTTGCCTTTAAAAGGGACGAGGTTATAAAATTCTGAGCTTTCAGGGATTACGTTGCTATCAGAAATCCAATTCCCCGAAATTTTTAAGACTATCAAAAAATCTACCAAAAGCGGATCAGCACAAAAACTTGTAGTAGACCACAAAGATTCGTCATAAATGTCGTCAGAATAATCATATTCATTATTAAAAGAATTATCCGAAGTTAAAGACATTTTACAAAATTAATAATAACCTCTCTTGTAAAATTAATTTAACATGTATCAAATAAAAAAAATAAAAAAATTTAAGGTCGAATGTAAAATAAAAACAAACAACACCGAATTGATAAGAAGCAAACACAATAATCCCTCCCTTCTAATAATTTTTTAATAGAAAACATAAAAAAAGATAAACTAATGACAACATTTTTAAACAGGTACATATTTTGTGCTTAAAACACAAACTATTGAAAAACCAGAATATTTTCAGAATTTTTTTCAGAATACTTATACAAAATACATTCTCTCTTTCCGGAAAACGGTGTGGGGGTGTTTTGTGTTTTTTTGTTTGTATTTTGTGTTTCAAAAATAATTTTATAAATTTTCCGGAAAACACAATTAAATTTGCTTCTGTATTTTTCTATTATTTTTTGTATACGCTCTCTTTCCGGAAAACAGTGTATATTTAATTCTGTGTATTTTGTGTTTCAAAAATAATTTTATAAATTTTCCGGAAAACACAATTACATTTGCTTCTGTATTTTTCTATTATTTTTTGTATACGCTCTCTTTCCGGAAAACAGTGTATATTTAATTCTGTGTATTTTGTGTTTCAAAAATAATTTTATAAATTTTCCGGAAAACACAATTAAATTTGCTTCTGTATTTTTCTATTATTTTTTGTATACGCTCTCTTTCCGGAAAACAGTGTATATTTAATTCTGTGTATTTTGTGTTTCAAAAATAATTTTATAAATTTTCCGGAAAACACAATTAAATTTGCTTCTGTATTTTTCTATTATTTTTTGTATACGCTCTCTTTCCGGAAAACAGTGTATATTTAATTCTGTGTATTTTGTGTTTCAAAAATAATTTTATAAATTTTCCGGAAAACACAATTACATTTGCTTCTGTATTTTTCTATTATTTTTTGTGTGTTATTTCTTTTAAGTTATCTTCTCTAAATTTACATTGCTAAAACAGAACTCCAATATAATCATTTTTTATGATAACTTTGAAATTGTTGCTTAATGACTGGAAATCATTTTATTTTTCTTTGGAATTTTTTGCTTAAAGTTATGAAATAATTTTCAAATTGAAAGATACCAAAAAAAACTCAAATTTAAATTAGTGAATTAGTATTCACTAAAATTTACTTAAATGAAAAAAAGCTAATTTTTATATTCCAAAAAACATTTCCAAGTGGACAATAAATTGACTAAATGAGTGAACAATAAAATTCAAAAATTTAAAATAAAATAATTAACTTAACAATTTTCTTGTTGATCAAAGAAACGGATTTTTTGTGCTACCAGATCCCAATTCATCAATACTTTCAATATAAGTGCGTCGATTGTTTCGGCAAGAATAACTGCATTTTTGCGAACCACATTTCTTACACTAAAAAAATATTTTTTCTTAGATCTTGGAAGTATATTCAGATAATTTTAAATCAGAAGACTCCCCTTCCCACCCTCAAAAAACCTTAAAGGCTTTCTAGTTCTGTTACAATCAACACCCCCAAAACAACCTAAAACTCTTAACTACCCCAAATAAAACTCGTTAAAATACCCACAGGGTAATTACAACCAGAACATTCCAAATCGAGACAATCGCAAAGATCAACAGCTCCCCGACTTGTAGTTAAATGGCCTTTTTGATTGTGGAAGAGTTTGCCTGTATAATTGCTTGATTTGTTGGTATTCCTTGATGATTCTAAATAAAATTTTCTAAATTGTAAATTAATGGAACTAAATGGGAGTTGACTAAAAGTAAAAATGTCAAGGAAAGTCGAATTATGTCAAAATTGTCTAGCTCAGACTTTCATGAATTCAGTTATTCTAATAAATATAAGGTAGACTGGGCTAGGGACAGTTTTAATTTTTGGAATATTTAAAGGTACAGCGCCACTTTGGCGCAAGGCTAAAAATCAAATTCACTCTAAAATAAGTTACTACCTAGCGTGCAGCTATGCTCTGTAACTAGACGAATGAACTTTCTACTTTCGCAAGATGTTGTCCAAACCCTGCCTTTACAATCATTACGTCTGTCAACACACACCCAAAATATAATCTGTCCATCGGAGCTTCCTTTATTTTTTCTATAGCAAAACCCTTGGTGAAAATATTTTTCGCTCGTTTTTAGTAAGTTGTTAAGAGACGAATTTAAATCTTTAATAAGACAAAGATGAGAATCTGATATTTATAGGAAAAAATAAATGGTGCCCAACAACTCTTATGCCTTAAATTGAAAGAATTGTGACTTGTGTTGTCCTTGCGTCAAAGTGTCCGTTTTTAGTTATTAAGGGTTTTAAAATGTTTTCAATAGCTCTCCTGAATTTTCAAATAGAGAACTATTCTCTATCCATCGGGGAATAAGAGTTACCTAATATGATCAGGAGCTCTTATTGAGGAGTAATTCGAGGGAAAGAATGTCTGACCATTATGAGTCCGCAAAAATAATCTGCACAGAGCAGGTTAGTATCAGAGCTGTTTCGAAATTTCGATTTTCGAGGTTTTTTTCCTTCCGATTTCCGAAGATTTTAACACCTCTAGTTAGGATGACCGACAATAAAAATTCTAAAAAAAACCTTCATTAGTCGTTCTATTCCTGTTTTTGTTCCGTTTAGGCCTATTAGTTGCATATTCTGTCAATCCATCAGTTGACAGAGATTCCACAAGCTGTCTTCCAGGGTTATTAAACTGCAATTCTTTGAATATTTTTTGCGTACGACGAAGACGTTGAAGGTCAACAAGTTCTTCAGAAACTGCTTGAGTTGAACAGCCTGCTTCGGAAGCAGAAGCAATTTGCTGAGAAAACTGAAAAATTTTAATAATAGAAAAAAAATTAATTGCTCGATTCAGAAGCTAAGGAATAATCGAGAAGAATTCTAGATAAAGAAGCCAGAAAATCGACAATTATTCACCCTTACGGTTTCAAAATTTTTAAAAATAATTTTTAACTTAAAAATCCACTAAAATTTCAAAACCTCAATTAACGTCCTTGCATCTGTACTTAATTCATCGTCTTCCAATTCTGGATGAAAGCTGTCATCTTCATCATCCTCCGTCCTTTCCAAAACATCTCTATTATTATCATCCTCATTACTTTCTGTTAATTGGGAAGTATTTAAACTAAAATGTTCGCTTCTAGAAGGTGAGCTTGACATTTAACTAAAATAAATTTTTTGGTAAAAATAAAAGAAAAATTTATCAAACCCAAAGCCTTCCCCAAAAATATTTTTAAAATTTCAAAAATATTTTCATTTTGTCAATTTTAATTTTAAGCCATTTCGTCACACAGAAGAAAATTTCTCATTTGGTCACACACAAAATTTTATTTTAAGCTCTTGTTTGATTTTCTTATTTTATTTCTATTTAATTATAGAAAATGGTTTATTAATGTCAACATGAAGATTCTAAAACGTGGCCTTCAAAAAGATGCTTCAGGTTTTGTAAGATTAATTTGCGAGGAAGATGAGGATATGTGGCACGTTTTTAATCTTATTAGGTTTTTTTTGTTTAAATTTGGATTTTTTTAAATTTATTTTTTTTAGAATTGGTGATGTTGTTAGAAGTTCAACTATGAGGAAAATAACCAATGAAACGGCAACTGGGTCAAAAACTAGTCAACGGGTTCAAATGTAAGTGTTGAATTAACGTTTGGGGTAATATTGAACCGGACAGACCCACTGTTTTCCTCAATTTGGGGAGGAAAAATGGGAAATAAAATATCAAAAATAATTTTTTTTGTTTGCTTGTAGGCAAAAATTAGAAAGGAAATTTGGATGGAAGAAAGGAAAAAGTTTGACCATTTTGCAAAAATATAGGGGAAGAATTGGGGAGGAAAAAAGGGGGCCTGTCCGGTTCAATATTACCACGATTGGTATTTTGATGGGTTTTGGTCTAACTTTTTTTGTCCTTCCTAGGATTTCATTGTTCTTTTCCTCCATACACACGCATTTCCTTTCCTCCTTATTTATTGTTAGAAGGACTAAATCGTCTGATTTGTTTTTAAATTTATTTATTTTTTAATTTTTCAAAGAATTCCCCATTTTTAAAGATTTGGGGGTAATTATTCTGTTAGTATTCCCCCTTCTTTTTTCTGACCATTTTTTCATTTCTGTTTTATTTTTCATGACAAACCTTAAAAGTTTACCTTAATTTCTTATTTTATTCTTTAATTTGTAAAAATAATTAATTTTTCAAAATTTTAGGACATTAACCATTTCGGTCGAAACAATCGATTTTGATGCAACTGTATGTTCCTTACACTTGAAAGGTTTGAGAAAATTTTTCTTTTTTTTTTCTCCTAAAATTTTTTAAATTTTTAAAGGCAAAAACATCCAAGAAAATCAACATGTTCGTCTTGGTGCTTACCACACCTTAGATTTAGCTTTAAACAGAGTTTTTACTTTGGAAAAACAATGTTGGGATGCAATTGATTTACATAGGCTAGAACTTTGTGCCGATGTTGCTAATAAAGCTGATGTTGCTGGAATTGTAAAAAAATTATTTTTTTTTGTTTTTTTGGAAGACTAGGGGGTTTTTAAAAAAATTTTCAAATTATTTTTTAGAAGATCCTAAAAAATATCTGTTTCCGATAATTTAAATTTTTATGCAGAAATTAACGGAGATTTTTTCCGATTTCTAGATTTAACTAAGGTTATCCCAAGCCCCCGATGTCTGTAGTTTACCAACTAGGCCATACCTAATTAAGATGTTTTCCTTTCTTCAACTAGTTGTGAATATCCCAAGAATAATTTTTAATCAAAATATAAATTTTTTAATTTTAAGAATATTATTTTCAACTCATTTGTTGATACAATTCGCTGCATTTGGTTCAATAACCCTTCTGTTGACACTTACTGCCATAAAACTATTAGTTCTGTTGCAAATGAAAATTCATCATTTAGTCTTGGCACTCAAAATGTTTTTTAAATAATTTATTTTTTTATTTTTAAAAAATTTTTCCATTCATAAAGTATACAGGATTTAAGGAATATTACAAAATAAAAAAAATAGGATTTAAAGACAAGATTGAAAAAATAGGAAAAAAATCCTGGAATCAAAAATCGACAGTTTAAATTTTATGATATTTACTAGGGTTAGACAATCGGTTTTGAAACCGTAATTTTTGTGACCTAAAATTAACCATTTTTTTGAAATTTTAAAAACCGGAAATATATGAAAATGAGTGATTTTCAATAAAATCCCCCAAAAATAAAACCGGTATCTGACTAAAATTAAAAATCGAATTGGAATTAACCGAGAACGGGGGGGGTTAATAATTGGTAGTATTTGGTACCCTAATATTTCTTATTTTCTATTCGTTTAAATATAATATCTTCCATAAAATCATGAAGATCTTTGTGCCATAATTAACTATTTTTAAATTTATTTACTAAATAGGATCCTCATGAATGTTTGCTCTGGTTATTAAACAAACTTGATCGAGAGTTTTTGGATTTTTTGGAGAGTTATGAATACACAAAATACAAGTATTCGGAAAGAAACGCATATGGATCTTGCAGAGAAAAAATATATTCAGTGTATGAGAAAAGCAAGGAAAATAAAAAATCTACTTTTTTGAAATTATTTGAGTAAGTTTTTCAAAATAATTTTGTATTTTTGATTTCGAAATATAACCAAAAATTACCAATTAAAGTCGAAACAATCAAGCAGATGAAAAATATTTTTTATTCCGGATTCTTGGACTCAATCTCTAGTCGTCAATCACATATTCCGATTATTTAAACATTTCTATTAATTTGAGAAATGAAGATTTTTCACGATTAAATAGTTTCAAGCTTTAAATACAAATGTTTATTAATTTTATAAAATTTTATTTTTAAACTTTCCAGAGGCCAATTTAAAAAAACAATTAAATGTACTGCTCCAAATTGTGATTATGTTAAAATATCAGAAGAACCATTTCTGTCTGTTCCACTTAAATTTTCTTCGTAAATTTACTTCCATAAATTATTTTTTAGATATATTTCAGGCCATTTAAAGCTACTGTAAAATTTATTAGTATGAATCCAACACGTAAAATCACTCGTTTTCATTTTGATATTTCTGAATCTTATATAAATGTTAAAAATATAATGAAACAAATAGAGAAAGTTGTTAATATCTCGTCAGAAAATGTATTGTTTTTAAAGTTTTTAATATGTATATTTTCTAATAAAATTTTAAACCGTCTAATAAATTAAACATAATTCTATTGAAACAGGCGTAGAGGCCTTCGGATATCCGGACATTTTTCTTATATTGATTCTCAACCATATGAGAGGCATTACAGATTGGTATAGATCCAGGTCCAGTCTGGATTTTTCCTTGATCCAGAGTCCAGATCCAGGCATTTTTTGGTCGTCCTGAATTTTTCTGATCTGGATTTTTCGTGGACCCAGATCAAGAATTCAGATCCAGGATTTTAGAAAATACCGATCTCTAAGGGGCATAGGTATCTTTTATGTAGACCCAGTTTTGTAACTGAGGTATAATGACAGAAATAAAAAAGTGACTGTAAATATGTTTTTGATCATATTTATGTATACTGTAGACTAAAATCTAAATTTATAATTTAAAATAGAACAAATTTTATATTTTTAGATGGTTGCATGCAAAATTAAACAAAATGGTCAATTATATTTATATCCAGAGGATTCATGCTCTTATAGTGAAAATGATTTAATTATTCTTCAAATACCTGGAGAAATTAAGGAACAACTTCTACAAAATAATTTAATAATTTCTGTTGTTTATTTTGTATTTGGAAGTGTTCCAAATGGAAAAATGTAAAATTAAAAAAATATAAAATCTGAAAAATTTTTTTTGCAGCTTCGGAGAGCCTTACATTACAATTTTAAATAGAGATTTAGGTTGTGGGCATTTAAGCTTTGAAATAATGAAGGAGGGAGCTTTTCTTCTTCCTGAACTTTTCTACAAGATGAATGCTGGTTTTACACTTTTTTTGCAAAATTCTGATGGAGCTTATGCTAGAATTGACCCTATAATTGAGAAACCACTTTTTAATGAATATGTTAACAGGTTAAGTTTATTAACCACATAAAATTATCGAAAAATATCAGAATAACTATAAAAAAATCTTATCTTGACGAGTGGAATCGTTTGGGGCAATTCCAAGGCTGGTCCCCCCTTTTTTCCTTTTTATTTTTTTCGATTTTTTAAACTTTTTATGGCAAATTATATATCGTTCGAAAGAGCTCTTCAAGCTGAGTCGAACGGTACTAAATTCATCGAAATCCGACTTAAATAAGCATAGTTATGAGCATTTGTTTTAATCCCTTTCAACATCAGAAAAAGCATGTCCATCGAGGATTTAGCTTTATAATTCTGCTCAGAATCTCCAAATCGAACCGATCATTCTACTCAGCAGCCAATATTATTAAATATACAGCCGATTATTAAATATTTTATAATTCAATTAATTCTTTTAGTATTTTAAACGAAAAAGAAAATGTTAAAAAAGTACTTCAAATAATTGTTGAATGGGATTTGTCTTTAAAAGAAGAATTTGAAACAAAGTCTATGAAAGAACAAATAATTGAAAATTATTCTTTACTTAATTATTTTAATTATGAATCTAAACCTGTTAAATTACGCGATATGATATATGATGATTTTAATGAATTTGGTAATAGTTAAAAACAAAAAATTTAAATTTTAATTTAAAAATAGAATATATACAATCATCCTGGGAATGTCCAAAATGTTACAAAACTTCTCGATCAGTGCAAACTGAATTGGATCATGAACCTGATATTCTTGTTTTCTATATAAATCGTTTTGATCAGGCAATCTAATTTTTTTGAACAGAGTCAATTTTAAAATATTTAGTCTGAGAAGGGTACAAAAAAGAATGTTAAGAATATTGATGTTCCTTTAGAGTTTACTAAATTATCGTGGTTTTTTGATGGAAGATATAAAAATATTAAATATGATTTGTCTTGTGTTATTTTTCATCATGGAAATCAATTAAACTCTGGTCAGTCATATTAAATTACACAGAAATTTTGCTATCAAGATCGGGCTCCATGATTTTTCAGAAGTGTGATTTGAGTGAATTGATTTATGCTTCCCCCACCTCTCCGCCTTCAGTTCGCAAATTACGCAATTGCGGATACCCCTGCTCTCCACAGGCACCCTAAAATCTTTTCCAAAAATTCGACTGCTCACATCTCCAATTATTTAAACTAGGTTACAATAAAATTAATTTAAAGGTCATTACACAGCAGCTACTCGAAAATTTATTAGTGGTGAATGGCGTTTATTTGATGATAATGAAGTTAAAGTACTTTACCGAGAATCTCAGAGAAAGAAAATTTTCGGATCGTCTAATTCTTATATGCTTTTTTATCAACGTGATCGGTCTAAAGACAATTATCGGCATCGAAAAGATTCTTGGTTTCCTCAAGATGTTCCATATGAAATCATTAAAAAATACAAAATAGAAGGAATTTTTAAAAATCAGAAATAATGACTGAATTTGAATGATGAGAATTGAAATTAAATTATGAAATCGAACTGTTTAATTTGTAATTTTGAGCAAACAAATTAATTTATTTTTGTAACATTTTTTTTCTTAAATTAAACTTTTTTGATAAAGGTTTAGCCTTTTTTTGCATAGTTAGTCTTAAGAAATTTTGTATATTTTGGTCTTTCTTCGTGTATTTACTAGGGTTTCACCGGAACCGAAATTTTGACCGGAACCGGATCCAATTTGAGTTCCGGTTCCCGGAACCGGTACCGGAACTTTTCTAAGTTCCGGCCCGGAACCGGAACCGGAACCGGAACTTTAAAAAAATTTTCTAGCAAATTAAAAAAATTTGTATTTTAAGTAAGGTTGTCAGTTTCACCAAATCCTTCTGTTAACCGAAACGTCTAACCGAATCGAAACTTTCGGTTAACCAAAACTGAACCGAAAACCCGAACAGAACTACCCAAATCCCATGATATCCTCAATATCCTACCAATTATATATCCCCTTTGATCCCAGAATTTCTTCGAATTATCCTTAATCCTAACAGATCCATAGATATCAAATCACCGATATAAATATAAATCCTGATTCATCGACATCCACAATTTCACTGCAAATCCCCAGATATTAATCTTTGATATTTTCCTTACACCACTCAATCCCTCGATATTACCTATCAAGGATGTAACATTCTATTTCTATTTACAGCGCCGCAGGCGAAAATTTATAGAATTATGGACGGCTAAAGAACCAAATTTCTTCTTTTTCAGCGCCGCAGGCTAAATTTTGAGAATTTCGGAAGGGATGAGCGAAAAAATTAAACATTTTTTAGTCAAACGAGAAATTTTAAGAATTTTGGAGAGAGAAAAGGTGCTAATTTCTCCTTGTAAAAATTTAATAATTTTTAAAACAAAATCAAAATTATAAAATAAGTTATTTATGGAAAAAAACATCAAAATTTAATGTCCTATAACAGGAAAGCGAACTATAGAACTCGTCGAGCTATGTCGAAGGACATCAAAAAAATTGGACTCGATTTGACCGAAATACAGATCCCTGAAAATTGAACAACCATAGGGGCGATTTTTTGAAATAAAAAATTTTATAGCTCATTCGAAAGAGCTCGTCAGCTGAGTCGAAAGACATGGTTTGACAAAGTTATGACATTATGTAGACCTAACGGAGTCGGCGACTTTATGTCATAACTTGGTCAAATCTTGTCCCATCACGTTGATTTTGGTGTCATTCGACTCAGCTCGACGAGCTCTTTCGAATGAGCTATCATTTGTATAAATTTTCGTCCTTATGGGTTTTCGCCCCTATGGTTGTTCAATTTTCAGGGGTCTGTATTGCGGTCAAATCGAGTCCAATTTTTTTGATTTTGGTGTCCTTCGACACAGCTCGACGAGTTCTATAATCTAGTCTGACTGACCATTTTATAATACTTTGAAGAAGGAAAATAGGAGGGGGGGGTACGAAATTGAATTTTACCGATAAATACAAACAGAATTAGATAGTAAATCAGAATTAAAAGTCAGAATTAAAAACTTAGAATTTTGGGAACCGAAACACAAAAATCAGAATTTAATTAAAAAATCAGAATTTGTGAATAAATCAGAATTTTAATAAAAATCAGAATTTTGGGAACAAAAAACACATAGTAAATCAGAATTTAATTAAGACATTTAAAAACACAAGAAGGGTTATTCAGAATTTAATGTGTAACTTATGTATTTCATTTAATTACAATTAATTTATCAATATTTTTTTTTATCTAAATCGTTCCCCTTTTTCGTTAATAATTTTTTCGTTTATTTTCTCACTCTTTTATCGTCTTTATTAAATCAATAAAAATATTTTTATTAAAAATGGAAAATAAAAAATTATTTTTTGAACAATTAATTTCTTTATTGGACACATACACAGGGAGGGATAAAGCTATTAGGTTGGCAAGAAATAAAAAAAAAATAAATTTTTAATTTAAAATTAAAACAAAAAAGATTTTCAACTTAAAAGAACTCTTTATTGTTCATTGGCATTGATCTCAACCAGAATTCGTGATAGGCAGAAAGGGGAGAAACTTGCTGCTTTTGCTAAACAATTGAGTAGAGCTCGTCTAGTGGTTTGTATTTTTTGTGTTTTTAATTAAATTTTACTGAAATTCTGATTTTTTGTATTTTTCTTTTATTTTATAATTCTGATTTTTGTATTTTTTTTGTATTTTCTGTATAATTCTGATTTTTTATTTAATTCTGGTTCTGTATTTTTTTGTATTTTCTTTGTGTTTTCTGTATAATTCTGATTTTTTGTATTTTTCTTTTTGTTTTATAATTCTGATTTTTGTATTTTTGTGTCTTCATTTATTCTGGTTTTTGTATTTAGTCTAACTCTTGCCTTTCTGATTTTTAATTCTGATTTTGTATTTTTCTTTTATAATTCTGATTTTTTATTCACAGTATCGTCTATTCTCCCAACCGTCACTCATTTTCTCGGCAATTAAAATTCCCCAAAATTGGCACAATTCAACCGACAAAATCGAAACATTCTTTAACACATCAACTACCCTTCTATATTTATTTTGTGGATGGACAGAAACAATTGGTTGGTTATCCGAGGCAAAAATTTTGGGAAGAAATTCTGCAAAATGTTTCCAGGTGAAAACAAAACACATTTTCAGAATTTAAAATCAGAATTAATAAGATTAAAATCAGAAAATACATTTTAAAATAAGCAAAACACAGCAAAAACACATTTTCATTTAAAATCAGAATTTTAAATTTTCAGAATTAAATACACACACACACACGCAAAATACATAAAATCAGAAATAAAATACATTTTAAATTCTGAAATTATTTTAAAGCAAAAAACACATTTTCGGAATCAAAACACATTTTTCAGAATATAATTTTATTTTTAGTTATCTCTCCACCTTTGGATATTTGCACTACTTACAAGTATAACTCGTTGTATTCGCCAGATTTTTATTAAAATTATTCAAAGAAAATTTTCTCAAATTAAAGACGAATTTATTTTATTTATTGCATTAATCGCTGATTTTATTGCTGCTGTTAATTCTCTTCCTAAAGGAATTTTATGGGCTGGAAAGCTAAATTCTTCCCAAAATTCTTTAATTTTTCTTATAGCTTCGATTGTTGGTATTTATAGACTTTGGAAATAAAAAAGAGAAAAAAAATAATTTTTTAAATTAAAATTCTGATTTCTGTATTTTATATTTTCTGATTTATTATTTTAATAATTTAAAATACAAAAATACAGAACTTCATTAAATGTATTTTGTATTTCAGAATCCTAATCATAACTACCTATAAATTAATCAGAATTTAATAAAATCAGAATTATTAATCCGGTCACTTTTGGGTCACCACCCTACACACAAATTTTAACTGCTTTAATTAATTTTATAATAAATATAAAATAAATTACAACAAATCAGCAGAATTAAATATTAAAAAACAGAAAGAGATCTCCAATACTCTTCTAATATTATTATTTCCTCATTTCTTTAAAATTTTCAAGTCAAGCAACTCAAAGCTAATAATTCTGCCAACATAGGTCTAAGTGTTTGGATTAAATCTTCCAATTTTTTATAAACTTCTAAAGAAGGTAATGATGAATCAGAAAAAAGTAATGAAGAAGATTTTTGTTGTTTTGATGATTGTTGTTGTGATTCTTTTTCACCAATAGAAGCACTTTCTAATAAATTTTGTTGAAGTTGAAACATACTTAAAGCTCTAAACATATCTTGAATTGATTCTTTATCTAATCCAGTAATTCTCTGAAAAATTAGAAAATTGATAGTCGGAATCCGCTATTATGTACACAAATTTGGAGTTAAGAAATTTGTCTTTAAGTTGCTTATATTTCTTAAAAAACTACCGTCGACAAAAAAGGTAAACCTTGGTCGAACGTACCCAAACAAGAGCTGGACTGAAAGGAGAATAGAGAGATTAGAGATCAAACGGGAAATCTCTCCATTTCCTCCTCCATTTTAATCCCACATATATTCTTATCAGTTCTTGGAAATTTTTGGATATCCGGAATCGAACCGAAAAAGTCCTCGGTTCCTAATTTCGGTTCATCGACAACTTTCCCTTTATAAATTAAAGATAGGAACAAAATGAGATATTCCAAATCCCAATCTCTCTAAAAAATTTTTCTCACCGTAGCTGGGTCAAAAGGTTCAGTCGAAAGTAATTCCTGTTGAAAAGCATTTAATAAACGAGCAGTTTCTTCAGCCAAAGTCACATGAAATTCAATTGGAGAAGAATTATCAATAAATAATTCGTGTAATAATTGAATAGCTTGACGTAAATTTCCTTCACATAAACGTCTTTTAAAAGTATAAAATTTGTAAAGCAAAACAAGTTCAGAACAATCAACAAATTGGTCAGCCATAGATTCAAATATTCGCATTTGTCCAATTTTAGAGGAAGGAATGGCTCCTTGAAGTATTCGCTTAGCAACATGGGCAGATAAAGAATTTCGATTTTGCATTCGAAGAGCCCAATTAAGTGCTGTAGACCATTCATTTAAATGACAATATCTTTAAATTTTTAAAAGAAAATTAGAAAAGACTTGTAGTGGATAAAATTCGGAAATTGGGATTAACGGTTAGAGATGGACCCAGACGAGGTTCCGGATAAAAATTGAAACGACTTTTAAAGCTGCCGAACTCGATTCTCGTATTACCCACACAATTAACCACTACTGACAAACAAATATTTTTGAGACTCGCAAAAAACCGATGGCAACCTGTATGAATCTAGGTTGCCTGTCTGACCTAATTTAGATTGACGGATTAAAAAAAATTTTCAGATATCCGAAATTAAAAAATCTCAATTAGATTTCCCACCTCCTAGTCCTGTACATTTAAAAAATTTACTTAAACATCCTTACTTCATAGTTATTGCCTTCAAAATATCCTCCCTAGCATTCCACAATTCATACTTTTCACATATTATCAACATTTTTTCAGCTATAGAAACATTCCCAAACCAATTAAATTGTCCAATAATTTTTTCCAACATTTCATTACAATTCTTTAAATTACTAGCAATTAAATAATCTGCTCCAATTTCCCATAATTGGTCATTTTGGAAAAGTAATTGGCAATATTCTACAAGTAAACGAGAACGTAAGTCTAAATTTTCCTTTTCTTTGTCTGTCTGGAAAAATTTAAAAAATTCTTTTTGAGTTAAAAAATAAATTTATTTTAAGGTCTAAATTTCCAGCATTCAATTTTTTAGAGTAGAAGGGCTAACAGCAAGCGCGTGCTAAGGATCGATTTCCGGGGGCTAAAATTGGGTGTTGTTATTTTTCAGCGTCATAGGCGAAAATTTTCAAAAATTTTGGAGCCCAAGAAGCCAGATTTCTTACATTTTTAGCACAGCAGGCAAAAATTTTTTAAATTTGAACTGTCATAGGCAAAAAAATCATTTTGCCCAACTCATTGCTCTAATTTTTCCCTTTTCCCCATTTCGGGGGGGGGGGGCTTTAGCCCCAGCTACGCCAGGGGGCTTCTGGTGAATTCTTTGGCTAACAGCAATAAAAAAATTAAAATTAATTTAAACCAAACCTCATCTTGAAAAATAAATTTTAATTGAAAAGAAGAAATATTTGAAGCTTCAGGATTTAAATAATTAGGGTCATGAAAATGAAGTAAATCAACTAAATGAACAGCAAACCAACAAAGTGAAGGTCCAGCAGAACAAATTATTTTTAATGCACGAATTAAGTCTAATTCTAATATGGCCAAAACTGTTTGTTCAATTTTTGAAAGTTGGTGGCGAGCTAGTCCAAGTAATTCAAATAAACGCTGAAAAAGAAGTGTTAATAAAAACAGATTCAAAATGATGGGAAAAAGCGAGAAGTTTTTTAATTAAACCCAAATTTAAAAAAGGATTGGTAAAGGAAGAAGAGCTTATAAGGCTTATGCCATTGTTGGACCAGAAAAAAATGAAAAGAGACAAAGGGGCAGGCCCATAACCAAGAGGAATTGGGAAAACCTTACATTAGAATAATTACGAGCCTACAAAGGGAAATGGGGAAAATAAATACTGGGAAAAAGGGAAAATTTGGAAGAAAATTAGCATGAAAATCATGGTATGGAAATAATGAGAACTCAAGAATTTTCAAAAATAAGGTCACAGGTTATTATTAGTGATTATATAATTTAAATGGGAAGGTTCTTGAGAAGCTTCTCTTGGGTATTAAAAAAATTATTTTCTAACAAACCTCAATAACTTTAGGCAATTGTTCATCATCCACAGACGGATAGAAAAATAAAAGAAAAGCAGGAAGTACTTCAAACCAACTTGGACGGAAAATGTCAAAATATTTTCTAAAAGTTCCCTTATCTCCAATAACCAAAGAACAAATAACAGCCAAATTATCGTTAAGACGGCTGAGTTGATTTTGAGAGGTGAAATCACGAATTTTCTAAAAATAAAATGCCAAAAAATACATAGATTCTCAATAAAATAATTAACACAAATAAAAAATATTAGGGGACTCAAAAAACTCGAACCCTACTCAGCTCACCACATAACCAAACTCACTAACCAATCGACCATGAAAACAAACAACTTTAATTAAAAATCGAAAATAAATTTTCCACAAACCTTAATTAAAGATAAAAATTCTTCACAATTTGTCCTGTCATGTTTAAAAAGAGCATCATTTGCAGCATTCAAAATTTTAACCATTTTTCTTATATGCTCATTAGTTTTATATTCAGAATGGAATTGTAACAGTGTTGCGACTGTTTCGAAATCCGCTACAATTGCTTGTCTAATTACCTAAAAAATTTTTAAAAATTTTCAAAAAATTTTTCAAAAATTTTTACAGCATTCCAATAAGAGTCATGAAGTTCAGGTTTTTCTTGCTGCATTAAAGACTCCATTATCGAACTCAAAAAACTCGTCTCATGTGGTCGGCCTTCTTGCGAGCTTGGAACAACTGACTGAGTTGAAGGAAAGCATTCACGTGCCCATTCAAGTAAATCAATGGAAATAAGATTATCTAAAATTATTGAAGGATTGATTAGAATTTGGGTTAAAGATGAAGAATAATCTATTGAGAAATCATTGGAAGTCAACAAACAATTGTTAAAAAATCAAGTAATATCGCAGAACCCGGCACTCTTAAAAACACATTGAAAAGTGCTCTTAAAAATAAAGTTCCACCATTTTAGAATTTCTTTTCTATCTCAATAAATTATTTTAGGGGAAACTAAAGAAAGAAAATTAAAAAAAAATACTTGAAGGTCTAATAGAAACAGCCTCAATTAATGACCAAATAAGATTAACAGAACAAAGCTCCTCTCCAAGCTGAAGAACATCTGTTTGCGAAAAGTCTACAAAAATATCAGATTGTTCCAACATTTTTATTGCTCTTTTTAATGCTGCTTTGTAACGTTTGCTTAGAAGTAAAGCTCTAAAAAATACAAAGGAATTTTAAAAATGGTAAAATAAAAAAATTAGTTACTACGTACGTAAAGTTAATAATTCCCAATTAAACTGAAAATGAAAAAAATAAACCCTTCCAGCCGAACAGATCCACTTTGTATATTTTGAATAATTGACTGGCCTTTGGCAAAGACAGCTAGAAAATAAAATATAAAATTTAAAAAGAAAATAAAAAATTAACTAAAAAAGTCATAAAAAAGACAATATTGCACAGGATGATATTGTTTGCCTTGTTGTGTTGTTAAGTTGTTTTGTTGAGTTTGTTGTAAATCTACTGACATTTTTTGTGTAATTTAAGAAGTCTAAAATATAGGAATTCAAATAAAGTCAACCGAAAATTGCAGAAAAATCGGAAGGGATTTAAAAAGAGAAGCAAGGAAGAAAATTTAAATTTCCGGCAGAAGTTAGTAAAAATCTTGTGGCATTCTGATTTTCGAAAATGCGGAACGCGACCATTGAGTCCCGCCGTTTGAGTCCCGCCGATTGAGTCCCGCCGGTTGAGTCCCGCCGGTTGAGTCCCTGGCCGGTTGAGTCCCGGCCGATTGAGTCCCGCCGGTTGAGTCCCCACCCAAAAGGGGACGTTTGAGTCCCCGTATTTCTTTCTAGGATTTACACAAGTATGTATGATTCCCAGTACGGGTCTATTGCGGATATGTTACCACTTTGGGGTACATTGTACAGGAATATGAGGGATTATAGATTATGTCCCCCAACTAGGACTTGTTAAATAAAGGCACCAAGTTTACGTATGATTCTCAGGAAAGTATTACAGGTATGTTACCAATTTGGAGGTAGTACCCGGTAGTTTGGTAGGTACCTATAAGCCATCATTATATTCATATATAATGTACCCCAAAGTGGTACCATACCCGCAATAATTCCGTCTTGAAAATCCGTCTATATATCCAATTTAATCACTCCAAATCGCTTTAAATCCCTCCATATTTATCATTATCACTCAAAATCTCCCCAAATACTCTTATATCAATTCAAAACTCCATATATCCCACTTAATCCATCAAGATCCTAGAAAGAAATAGGGGACTCAAACGTCCCCTTTTGGGTGGGGACTCAACCGGCGGGACTCAATCGGCCGGGACTCAACCGGCCAGGGACTCAACCGGCGGGACTCAATCGGCGGGACTCAAACGGCGGGACTCAATGGTCCCCTACCGTCGAAAATGGGCAGTTGAGTCTGGCGCGCGTTAGCTTTTTTGGATAAACGAAATCTTTTTTTCTAATTAAGGGTAGGATCCGGATTTAGCTTGAGGTTCTAACTTATGTAGAGTTTGTCAAACGATATGTAGAGTGCAGTGTTTTACGAACAGGAAAAGATAGGAACTCGCCCTTAAACTAGCTTTTTTGGGTTTAAAATTGCTTATCCAAAAGAAGCATTGATTGGGGCAATTCTCGTGTTTTACATTAGGGGTCGGTAAAATCTTGTTTGCGGGATCCCGGATGCGTGATTTTTTTTAATATCTGTAGGATTGGATCCCGCGGGATAATTCCCTCATCCCGCAATTCAAACAAATGGAGGATTGCGGGACGGGATTCCGCAAAGATCCCGCGCGGGATCCCTCCCGTACCGACCTCTATTTTACACACACCCACTTATTTTCATTATTTCTTGTTTTATTTTTAATTTCCTTTGTATGCTTCCACATTTTTCTAGATAAAAAAAACTTAAAAATGTCTTCAAGAAAACCAACTCTAAAGCTTCCTCGTAATTACGAAATTGCACCGGGCGTTCTTCGTTTCTCAAAAGCTCGAATGTTTCACAAACGCGGACTTTGGGAAAAGCTTAAAAAGCCTTATCAGAAGCAAGAAAAAAAAGTTGAGGCAAAGGAGAAATTCATTGTTAAGAAAATTGGAGGGGACAAAAATGGAGGAGAAAGAAAGATTCTTGTCCAAAAGCCAGTAATTGCTTTAAAAGTTTATTTCAAATAAATTTTTTTAAGCCTAAACTTCTTTCTCAAGTTCCTCAACTTCTTAAACGCAACAAACGCAAGACAAAAAAGGTTCCTCTTCGCAAGTCAATTACTCCTGGGACTGTTTTGATTATTCTGGTTGGTCGTCATCGTGGGAAACGTGTTGTCTTTTTGAAGCAATTGGAAAAGTCTGGACTTTTACTTGTTACTGGTATATCTATTTTTTAATTTATTTTAGCTTTTTGGGTCTAAAAGCTGACGATTCCTCATTCAGTTGGATTCCATTTTACGTTGGATTCCCGGTCTCGACCGTTTTAAGGTCGGACACCTTACAACCTTTCCTTGTAAGTTTATAGGCCGGCACTTTTTTCTTCGTGTTTTCGTTTCAGGCCCCTTTTGGTTATCTTTTTCCCCTATTTTTCTCCCTGACATCCAATTTGATATTAAGAGTTTCACTTTTATTGCTTATCTTTTATCAAATTTTAGGCCCACTTAAATTGAATGCTTGTCCACTTCGCCGTATTTCACAATCTTTTGTTATTGCTACCAGTACTAAAATTGACATCGGCAAGGTTGAGGTTCCCGTTCACGTTGATGATGCTTACTTCAAACGAAAGACTGGCAAGGTGGCTGACAAATCAAAGGGTGGAATTTTTGCTGATGGTGCTAAACAGGTTTTTTATCGTTATTTTGACATTTTCTGATTTTTTTTCTAGAAGTATGAGGTTACCGAGCAGCGAAAAACGGATCAGAAAGCTGTTGATGCGGGTGTTTTGGACGCTATCCGTGCTCATCCTGAAAAGAAATATCTTTTTGGCTATCTTGGTTCTCGTTTCCATTTAGCTAAAGGGATGTATCCACATAAGATGAATTTTTAATGGACTTTTTTTGAAAAATATTTAAGTTAGAGCCCGGACGGTAACATACTTTCTACGGTATTTTTCGGTATTTATTATATGGCTGTTTGTGTTATTTTTCGGTATTAAGTTCCGGGCTCTATTAAGTTGTTTGTTTGTTAATTGGTAAATGTGTTATGCTTTTTGTTAAAATTCAAGATTTGTTTGAAAAACATTATTGTTAGATACAATACAAATTACTTGAAATTTTTTACCCATTTAATTTTCTAACAACATTCAAATATATAATAGTGTAAGCTTTTTTGGATTAGGTTTATTTGACGTTAGTATGGGAATCGAGTAGTTTAGATTTTGTTTCAAATTTAAATTTGACAAAAACTGGCCAAGTTACCCAGTTGTGGTTTATTAGGACAGGGGTTAGTGGTTACTACGAGGAAGTTTTAGGGATTTGAATGTTTACTCCTTTGGCATTTTCATAAATGACTTTTCATCCCACCTTCATTTTCTATTTAATAAGCAGTTTTTTAACGAAATGAAGATTAGGATCGCTAGTAGGCAAAGTTTTTCAGTCACATTTCTTTTACGTCGAGCTGTAATTATATCTTCTGGAATTGGTTCCAAATTTGTTGGTTTTTATACCGTTAGATTAAATTTATTGATATTTCGAATGAACACATTTTTTTATTTTCCATAATTTATCCGCTAGGGACACGCCCGAGTAGGCGCGCGGCAAAAAGCGATAAGCCATAACTAGGGGACTGAGCCGTTTTGGCGCGGGGCCGTTTTGGCGCGAGCTTATAAGATAGCGAGTTCATTATCAAAATTGATAAAATTTTGCAATAATAACTCTCGTACCTTTATCTAGGTTCTCCAAAGATTTCAGAATTTTTGATCAAGAATTTCGGAAATTGTGGCCAAAAATGTTGATTTTCTGCAAAATGCATAATTTTTCAAGGTCTATCGACTATAACTTCGGAAATATTGGATGAAAAATTCTGAAATTTCTGGAGGAGGTAGTCAAGGATGTTAAAGAAATTTGAGAAAAATTTTATAAATTTAGGTCTCGCCTAAGTGCCACTTTTTTGTTCTCGCGTCAAAACGGGTCAGCGCCAAAACGACCCCAACCCATAACTAGCTGTTAAATTTCTTACCCTTTCCAATTTTGGGACCAATATCTGATGAGAGGCCGCAGAATTTCAACAATCATAAAAATGCGGGATTACGGACGATGAATCTTGCTCCGCGTGGGTTACTAATCTCGAATGGGCACATTTTTATAATTTTTCATAATTTATTTGAAAAAAGATACATGTCCGCAAAAAAGACCTTCCCATCTTCCTTAGTTTTTCTTAGCTTTCAGTTTTCAGTCATTTATTTTTTGCCTTATTTTTTCTCGTTTTAGCAGTACGTTGATTAAATTTTCTCCTTTTTTAGATTCTTTTATTTCTGATAAAAATAAAAATGTCAATGCCTAAACTTCTTCCTCAAGTTCCTCAACTTCTTAAACGCAACAAACGCAAAACAAAAAAGGTTCCTCTTCGCAAGTCAATTACTCCTGGGACTGTTTTGATTATTTTGGTGGGTCGTCATCGTGGTAAACGTGTTGTCTTTTTGAAGCAATTGGAAAAGTCTGGTCTTCTTCTTGTTACTGGTATACTAATTTTTAATTTAATTAATCTATCTGGGTCTCAAAGCTGACGATTCCTTATTTAAATTGGAGTCCATCTATTTTAGGCATTTTTACATACCTCCATATTTTCGCTTCTAGATCCTATTTTGGTTATCTTTTCCCCATATTTTTTGTCTTTCCATTTAATTTGAGATTAAAGGAGTAAAGATACTTTAATTTAGTCACTTTATCTTTTGTTAAATTTTAGGCCCTCTTAAAATCAATTCATGCCCACTTCGACGCATTGCGCAGGCTTTTGTTATTGCTACCAGTACCAAAATCGACATTAGCAAGTTGGAGGTTCCCGTTCACGTCAATGATTCTTATTTCAAACGTAAGAGTGGGAAATTGGCCGACAAATCAAAAGGAGGGATTTTTGCTGGTGGTGCTAAACAGGTTTTTTGAAGTTTTTCTGACATTTCTTATTTATTTTTCTAGAAGTACGAGGTCACACAGCAGCGTAAATCTGATCAAAAATTTGTTGATGCGGGTGTTTTGGAGGCTATCCGTGCTCATCCTGACAAAAAATACCTCTTTGGGTATCTTGGCTCTCGCTTCCATCTGGCTAAAGGGATGTATCCACACAAGATGACTTTTTGAGTGACTTTAGTATAAAAATAATTATTGGTTGTTTATTTTAGAGAGCGGATTGGGAGGGTCGTACGAGAATTGAGATCGATATCTTTAAAAATCTCTATCTTATAACCGGTATTTTCGCTCGAGATCTTGTCTCGGTCCGATCTCTATTTTATTTGTTGTTATCTGATAAAAAAATATTCTCCTTTTTTAAATTTTTAAAAAAGTTATTGTTTAACTTTAAAATTATTTTATCAAGTGAAATGTCCATCTTAAATTATTTAATTTTTCTAAACTAAACAAAAAAGCAAATGAGCATTGTTGACTTTGGGAGCAAGAAGGAAAATGTTCAGGTATTGAATATAAATAAAAATTAGGGTCGATTTTTAACGAGTTCGGGGCTGTTAAAGTTTAATAAGCTGACTGGGAATTTTTTCGGTTGTTTCTTGGACTAACGTACCCATTTCTGACTTGTAGGGCATTATACACCATCGCAAGGGCGTATCCAGGGGGTCGGTTTCGGGGGGGGCTAACACTGGGTGGGCGCAAAAATTTTTGGCGTTTACCTTGGCGTTCCGGACACAGATTTTTTTGTACATAAATTTTCATCTTTTCTGCGCCGCAGGCGAAAATTTTAAGGATTGTGGAGCTCAAGAAGCCAGATTTCTTCCATTTTTTGCGCCGCAGGCGAAAATTTTTTGAATTTTGGAAGGCCGTAGGCCAAAAAAATCACGTTTTCGGCGCCGCAGGCGCCAAAAATTTGATTTTCAGCGCCGCAGGCGAAAATTTTTTAAATTTCAGAGGCCGTAGGCCAAAAAAATTCACTTTTTTTGCCCCAACCCTTCCTCAAATTTTTTCCTTTTCCCCATTTCGGGGGGGGCTCTAGCCCCCCCCAGCCCCCCCCTGGATACGCCCTTGCACCATCGTAAAAGGACAGAATTTTTTAAAAGATGAAATTACTCTTACTCTTTGTTCTTTAGAAATTCAATCAACCAACCGAGATTCGTGAAACAGCTTCAACTGGAAGAAAGTCAAAACATTCTTTGAATGAGGTTAATTTTGTTTTTTATGAGCTTTGGGGAGGGGAGTAAATTATCTTTTTTTAGTCTTGAGTTGGGAGTTGTAAAACTTTGGGTCATTTTTGGATTGATTTTTAACATCTCACATTAGGGATCACGTCGAGAAACAAAAATTCCTGTTTTCAAGAATCGGATAGGCGTTGTCCTTGTTCTCAACTTTTTCCCTAGAATGATCTAAAAAATTTTTATTTTTCAGTCAGAAATGGAAGTTGATGGTAGAGATGATGTTAAAAGTGTTCGTTCTTATGTCTCTACAGCCAGTACATTTCGACCTAAAGGAGAATCTTGTGAAGAAAGAAGGCTGAGAAAACAGGTTTTTTTTGAAAATTTTTCAAAAATTTTTATTAAAAATTGTTTTTCAAGGCAATAAAGGAAGAACGTCGTGAACGCCGTCAAGAAAAGAAAGCAAATAAATTGGCTTTTAGAGAACAAAGAAAAGCTATAAATGTGGAAAGATCAACTATTGGGGGAGGTAAAATAAAAATTCGACCAATTAATTAATTTAATAAAAATTTTTGTTGATTTTTTCGATTTTTGAGGTGTTTTAAGATTTTTTTCGTTGAAAAATGTTTAAAAATATTTTTAAAAATTTTTTGAGAAAAATTCTAATAAGGAGTAATTCCCTACTGGCATTAAAAATATAATTATAAATTAATTTTAAAAATTTGGGCTCCGTATAAGAGGGGTTACAGGGAGGATTTTTCTGAATTTGGTAGTCTTTTATCGTAGTATTTTTTGGTGAAACCTGTTTTTTAGGGTTTTAGGACTGAAAAATTCATAGTCAGCCAAAAATTCATAGTCAGGCCAAACTAAAACATATTAGAATATGTTCTTTAATTAGAAAATATTTTTTAAAAATTCGGTAAAATAATTTTTTGTTATTTATTCAAAAATATTTAAAAAATAAAATTCTTTTTTAAAATTAATATTAATAAATACTATTTTATTATTAGGGTTGCCGGCCCGGTCGGGCATCGAATTTTGGCCCAAAAAAGACTCGGTCGGGCCGGCCCAATAAAAATGACTCGGCCCGACTCGAAGTCGGCAACCCTATTTATTATCAAAATAAATTGTTTAAAATAATTTTTAAATAATATATTATATTATTTTTTTAATCAGACGCCATTCATTTTACCAATTCCAGAAATTTTAATTAATTAAAAATAGCCTCTACCAACCAATCTTTTAACAAAATATAAAAAATGTGTGTAAACATTAATGCTGCCCAAAGCTATTTAGAACAATTTAAAAAATTATTTTAAAAAATTAAATTATTTGGCACTTCTGCCGTTTAAAGGGGCAGCAGTTCTCTGACCATTATGTGCTCTTTTCTTCAATTAAAATTATTCCTTTACTACTTTCTATTAAAATTTGTTGCCAAAATTAGTCTCATAATCGTCAGAGAACGGCGGTCTCTTTAAATGGCAGGAGTACCAATTATTTATTTAACCTGATATATCTCTCCAAAAAATATCCAAAAATAATTTACAATAATTTCTAATTTGGTTTCTGACATTTTTAAAAATTAATTTTTTTTTGGAAAATTGTTTAGAAAAAAAAAAGATTGTGAAATAATCGTTAAGAAATAAAAGGTGTTATTTAAAGAGAAAATAAACCTGTTCTCCCCAAAAAATATTTTAAACACAAAAATTAAATAGTAAACGAAAAAGAATATAGCAATTTATTTTTTTTGAAAGAAAAAACTTTTTTACACCTCTAAGATTCGAACCTTGCCTCCACTAAATAATTAATCGAAATTTAAACCACTCGACCACTCATTTCACTATAGAAAAAATAGTTTTTTAAGGTCATTTACTGGGGGGGGTGTCTGGGATCTGAGTTTGCCAGTACCTAAGACCGATGGGATTAGGCATACATTTTAATTTTTATCAGCAAAAAACATGGTCTCCTCGACAAAACTATTTTATTGAAAAAATTTTTATTAAAAATTTATTCTTCATTTTCACTTATTATTATTGTTCTATTCGTACTTTCCTCTCCTACATTATTATTCTTTTCTTCAATAATTTCTTCACTAACAGAAGATGCTCTTTCACTGCTAGGATAATAATAAAATGAAGATGTTTTTTGTTTTTGTGAATTTATTAATAATTGATTGTTTGTGTTGTTTTGTTGTTTTTGGGTGTTTTTTCTTTGTAAACTTCTCCAGGATCTGTTTTAGATTTAGTTTTAATTTAATCCCCTTTTACATATCCCACTTTTTATTCCAATATTTTCTCTTTTTTATCCTATTTTTTATTCCAATATTTTCTTTTTTTTTCAAATCCTGCTTCTTTTGATTAGCACATTCTCTAAGTTACCCCTATCTTAAGAGGGTATTTGATAGATGGGAGTGTCTAAAATCAATTTCTGATTTTTATCAGCGAGTGCACATCATCTAACATAATCAGAGGCGTGCCGAAAACTGATTTTATAGGCGAGAGTTCAAAAAAGGAGGAATTTTGACTGAAGGCGAGATGGCACACCCCTGATATATATCCAACATTTCTGTATCTTTCAGTTATCCCTCTAGATAATTTTAATTATATCCTGTCATTACTGTCTCTGTGAGCGGAATAAGTTAGAGATTGAGGAGGAACAACAAAATCAACGTGAAATTCTTAAATCTTTTTGATCATAAAAAACGGACATTTCATCCCATCCCAAAAATTTTTTTTGAAAAATTAAAAATAACTACCCTTGTGAATGTCCTCTTCTTTGTCTTTTTACATTATTTAATTTATCATTATTAATTAATTTTTCATTATTGTCTAATATAAAATCATCATTTTTTACTCCCAGAATTTTAATAGCTTTACTATTTGGATTTAAATTATTTAAATTAATATTTATATTGTTGTTGTGATTATTGTTATGTTTACGTTGAATATGTTCAAATAAAAAATTTGAATGTAAAAATAATTTATTACATTCATTACACTGTGAAAATTGAAAAAATTAAATGTTTTTTTTATTAAATTTTGTTAAAAGTAGGGTAACACCCCGTCCCCTGAAACCCGACAAATTCTTAGGCAACACCCCGACCCGACTCCCGAAATCCCGACTATTTTTTGGCAAAAACCCCGAACAGAACCCCGAAGACTCGAGGTGCTACCCTAGTTAAAAGTGTTGTAGTTTGGATTGGGGGATCTCAGAAAATAAAGGGTATTAAAGTTTAATTAAATTAACCCTGAATAATTCTCTCTTCCAATGACTACATTCTTCAATATTTTTCTTATTTTTCTTTTCATTTTCTCCAACTTCATTTTCAACTTCATTATTAGGTCCATAACAAAATTGTTCTTTAATTATTTTATTTTCTCTTTTATATTTTTTAGCCAATTTTTCCATTTTTTCAACTTTAACAACCATCTCTTGCTGACTTTTTAGTAAATATTCTATTTGGAATTGGGCTAGACGAAATAATTTTAATATTTGTGAAGATGTACAGACATTTTGGTTATTTTCTTCTTCATTTTTTGTTTTTTCTTCATCTAAAATTTAATTTTTAAATAAATTGCCTTCCGGGGAAAGTTTCAAATTGTCAACATGACAAAAAGTCGTCAAGGGTAAAATTTGACAAAACGTCTAATGACAAAATGCCAATATTAGCTTATTCGACAAAATGCCACACGACAAAATGTAAATGTGGAAAAACTTGACATTTTGTCATAATTACTGTAAAGTTAATTACCTAAAATTACTTTATTAATTTGTGCTAATACAACAGAGGGAAGTGCTTGTTGTAATGTTTCAAATATTCCAATGCCTTGTTCTAATAATTTAATACTAATTTCATCTAAAAAGAATTTTTGTTTAAATTAATTTGATTTCTAATAAAATTTTGAGTGTTTTTAAAATAAATTTGATAATTTTTGGACTTGAAAATACTTCCTTTTTAGTTATAGTTATTTAGGGGGATACTAGTTATCGAGAATCCCCCTCATTCTAGTTATTGAAACGACACATGGATTCTAGTTATCCTCCTTCTTTTCCCCTTCCCTTTCTTTTGATCTCCCAAAAATTGAAGAGGCGAACCTTTTCCTTGACTAGGAAAAGGTGGATGAGAACCTTTAGTAAAATTTTCAGGGAAGGAGAAGGATGACGGGGCAAGCCTTACTTTATTTTCCTCAAGACATAAATAATCCAACTACTAACACCTTTAATAGAGGAAAGAAGGCATAAAGGCCTTAAACAAGTATTTTTTAAATTTTATTAGCTCATTTTTTAATCTAAAAAGCACTTACCAATTAATTGCCAATCGGGTAATTCATTAATTAATAAATACTTTTCTTCAATGGAAGAATTGTCTTCATCTCCATCATTATTAAATTCTTCTTCATTTTCTTTATATTTATTATTTAAATCTTCCATTTTATTCAAAAAAATTATTTAAGTAATTTTTGGGGGAAAGAAAATTATTTTTTTATTTCTCCATAGAATTAAAAAGAATTTATCGTCTAGTGAACATTAAAAATAGCAAAAAAAGTCTTTTTCTTTTAAAATTGTTTCTATGGTAACAAAGCAATAAATGAACTGTTATTGAAGTAAAATAAGGAAAAATGATTTAAAAATAGGCATAGGCCAGGGATGTGCCAGTTTTTCGGATTTTCGCTTTTTTTGATGTTTCGCCTTTCACGGATTTTTAAAAACTGTTTTGGCATACCCCTGGTATATGCATACAATCAAACTTGAATTTTATCTACACCCTAATTTACAGACACTCTGCGTACCATTTTTAAGGTTGATTGGCCACTGGTGATGATTGTGTCCCTTTAAACGATACTTCTCAATTTTACGTCCACATTATTTCAAAACTAAAGGGTGTATGTAAAGGAGATCCGACTATTAGTAGAAATTGATAGTGGGTTGGTAATTAACTGTTGTGTGATTTTCTGTAGTTCTTTCCTCTAGGACTTTAACCAAAATTTAGTTCACTTTTTTGAAATCAAAATTACAGACAACAAGCCCATTTTCAAGATGATATGGTTCGCCGACACAAAATCTTTGAAAATTTGTTGAAAAATAATTTCGAGAACCTCTCTCTATAATAAACACCTATTATTGGGTAAACCTCTATTTAAGAGACGACAGGGTAGAGGACCTGGCCAAACTATACCCCCTTCAAAAGAGATCGCCTCAAAGAGATATCAGAGGTTTGACTATACTTTCCTTCTTTTAATAAAAACCCAATAAAAATCCAAAAAAATCTGTACCTATATCCACATTTCCAACAAGCAAAACAGTCTAAATGTGAAAAGAGCGTCCTTCCTTTGTCTATAACCATTATCCAATCGGCAGGTTTAATAGTTTCGGAACAAAGAGAGCAATGACCGGAACGTCCAAAGATGCGCACATCTAAGGAAGGAAAAGAAAGAGTATCGTGCGTGAGTTAGTGCTAGGCATGGTTCGGTATTACCGCGGTTAATGGATCCGGATATTTCCGAGTTCGGATATCTAGGGATTTCCTAGGATCCGTCAACCTTCTGAACGAATTGAGAAAATATTTTATTCTTTCGAGTCGGGTTCTGGCTCTCGGGTGTGTCTATCCCAACTCCGTAATACACCTCAACAGCATTTTAAACCCTCATAATTATTACAATCTATAGCACACAAAAGTAGTCCATAGCGCAAATAGAAGCGATCACCAGAGTCAGTTAGTTGGCAAGTACAACAAGCACACTGAAAGAGACATCTTTATAAAACACCTCCAGAAATTGTCCTCAATCTAATAGTTAAATTTAAATGGCTACTGTGTGGAGGTGGGTGGGGAAGGCTATACCCCCAAATGCACCTTATTGTAAGATAAAATTTCTTTCAGTCCCAAATGGTAGCCTATAATAAGTTCAGACTGAGGGAGTCGGCGACCGGTTTACTTTTCCCTGTGGCGTGTCAAATGGAGAAGAATAAGAGCTTTTGCGCTGCCACAGGGAAGAATAAACCGGTCACCAACAACCTTAGTTCAGACTGCATCTAAAAAAGTTTTCTAATAAAAGAATCCACAAAAATTCTTTTACAAACCCTCAAACAAAATTCGTGCCAATTCAACCCCAACGCCACCAAAAATTGTTTATCAGTTATCAATTGATAACAAGCAGCACAATGCATTTAAATATAGTTTTAGAGACCTATTTTTTTAGTTTTTCACAAAAAAATTTTTTCCACATTAAGATAAAAAGAGATTGAATGAATTCCCTAGTGTGTCACTTTGCTTAAAATAAATAGGAAGGAGAAAATTAGTTTTTTAAAATAAAAGCATTCAAATAAATTTAAAATCTGTGTGATTAATTAAATAAAAAGGAATAGAGGAGGAATCTCGTCTAAGGGATATCTCACTCTTTCCTGCAGAAAATTTCCGAAAAAGTATATCAAATGTACCTCAAAACTTCTTAGAAAAGTTGCATCAAAAAGTTCCCTCGGAAAAATATTGCTGAGAGCGTCCATGTTATATAGAGGTTTCGATGCATTGTTTCAATGTTTCGATTGTTTCGATGTATTAGAATTAAAAAAAAAATTTTTAATTAAAAAAAATTTAAAATATAGTTAGACAACTCCTAATAAAATTTCAAAAAAAAAACAATTTTTTAAACTACAATTTTTAAACATCAAAAATCAGTTCAAAATTTATTAATTGAAAAAAATGTTTCCAAAAATTCAGACAATTTTTGTTTAATTTAAAAAATTATTAAATATTTAATTAATTAATTAATTAATGAATTAAATGGATAATTTATTTAATTTAAAAAATATTTTATTTGTTTAAATGTTTGGAAGTTTGTTTTAAATGTTGTATAAAATGAAGGGAGAATTGAGGAGGTTCAATTAAGGAATTAAATTAAAAATTTTCAAAAAAATTTCAAAAAAATTTTTCAAAAATCCCCACACAAAAAATGAAATTCCTTAAATTTTCTTCTTTTATTTTTCATTTAAATTTCCAAATTACTATTTTTCCTCTTCAAATTTTTGCTCAAAATAATTTTTGTCAATTCCCTCAACATAAGAGTACACCTCCTCCATTTACAGAAACACTGTGAATACTTTATAGAATTAATACAATTAAACCTCTAGGGAATGTATCGGATAATGAGGTTAAATAGGGGGTATATTATAATGAGAGGTGTGTTAAATAGAGGCTATCCTATAATGAGTGTGGTACCCTATAATGAGGTGTCTGTTAAATAGAGAGTATCTTATAATAAATTTATGCTAAATAGAAGGTATAATTTAGGCAGCTTCCCCACTCAGTGACCAACCAAATTTTACAAATATACATACCGTATTTCCTAAAATAGTACGGCCGGCCGTACTATTTTTCAACCCTCTTCCAAAGGGCCGTACTATTTCAGGGGGCCGTACTAATTTAGGGGGCCGCACTATATTTCAACCCTTTTTCAAAATTATCTGAATCTTTTTTTGTTTAAATTTTTTTATAGTATCCACAATAGTATGCTCGGAAATTATCCCAAATCAAAAGCTTGTTCCAAACATGAAATTAGCAGACCTTAAAAATTATTTAAGACCTGTCTATAATGACATCTGTATCAAGCATTTTGTAGAGCGTTTTGTAGATCGCCATGCGCATCTGTCTACTTTGTGTTTTGTGGATAGGCAAGCGTTAAATCAGTTAGGGTTCAGCGGTTTATTATTATTAAGATCTTTATTAAGATCTTAATTTGAAAATAAATTTATTTAATTTCTGCTCATATTAAAATTTTTTAGAAAATACCGATACCGATTTTTAAATCCCGATCCCGAGCCGGTATTCGTATCATTAGCTTAAAGTTTTTTAATTTCGAGGTATTAAGGGAGTAGAAAAATTATGGTGCTGTCCATAATCAAGAACGATGGGGAACCTCTCATATCGATGGGGAACCTCTCATATCGATGGGGAACCTCTCAAGAACCTTTCATATCCTCATATCTCTCTTAAATATTTCATATTCTTCAACGTATAATATAAAATATTTTACATTACCAGTTTATCTTATCTTAGCCTCACTATAGTGTACACCTTGGGGTAAAAATGGTATCCAGTAATGAAGGAAGTTCAGTAAGTACAATAGAGGTTCGGTAGCTGATGAATTAGGTCTGGACTATAAATGATGAATTAGGCATGGGCCTGATTCATCTATCCGACAACCCTACTATAGAGAGGTCCGACTGTAGTTATTCATATATTTTTAATGATAGCGCAAATGTTCTCGGCGCAAAAGTCACGGAACCCTATAAACTATTCGTTATTCACCTTGATTCCAACTAATCCTTTTAAATTAATCCATACTTAAATCACTCCAAGTCCATAAATATCCTTCCAAATCCGATAAAATCCCCATTAATTCCCCGATATCCTCTTAAGCACTCCTATTTCTATACCAATAGATATTAAGATACAATAAATTAATTAAATATTGCGAGGAATAATGACTATGATTAGAAAATCAAATTTTGTCTATTTTTATATTTTTTAAATGGGGGCCGTACTATTTTAGGGGGCCGTACTAATTTAGGGAGCCGTACAATTTTTCAACCCTCTTCCAAAGGGCCGTACTATTTCAGGGGGCCGTTCTAATTTAGCAGGCCGTACTATTTTAGGAAATACGGTATCTTAATTGAATAGTAGAGTTAGAAGTTTGGCAAGTTCCGGATACGTTTTCTGGATTTTAATTTTTTTTAAAATCCGGACCGGACTTTCCGGATCGAAATCCCGAAAATCCGGGAAATCCTAATTTTACCAAAATGCCTGGATTCCTGACCACCGGATTCTGTCCGGGCTTTAACTCTATTGAGTAGTATCTAATTTTGGGGTGTTTGTAAAAAAGAGGTTTATGCATAATTTTATGAAAATTGTTATATATTTAATCTGGATTGAAAATTTTTTAAAGGCCAATCAAAGGACATGTAGATTTTGAATATGCTTTAATTACTGCAGCTCCCAATATGCGCAAAAGTTGTGATATTAAAGGAGCTGTTGACGGGCAAAATATTTTACAAATTGAGGATGGGGGTTCGATAAGTAATGTAATTATAGATGACCCGGCAAAGGGTATTTGGTGTGAAGGAAGTTGTACATTAACTAATGTTTTGTACGTTGTTTAAATTATTAAAGAGGGGTTATAATATTCTAAAGGGGGCTAAACTTCAATAGAAGCTTTATTTCAGAATTCACGTTATATTAAGGTTGTAACCGTTAGGAAGCCGGAGAATACTTAACCCTCCTCTCTCCGTTGGACTTCTTATAAGAAACTTTCCCTCTTAAGTTTTTGGGAACAACAACTTATAAAGCTATCGGCCAGTGGGTGACTTTGTAGCAACTCCCTACTTAAACATCGGACAAGAAACTCATTCCACATACTACTGATGATCGGGAGAAGAAAAAACCCGGGAAACGGGAGTCGAGTCGAGAAATGACCTCGGAGTCGGGACCGGGATACCCGAGCGCACTACCACATACCAAAAGGACTCGATATAACATAAATATCTGATAAGTCTTGTAGAACCAAAAAAATATTTAAAAAATTTCGATTCCTTCTCTTTTTTAAAACAAATTTTCAGCTTTACAAAAACATGTTATCACGCAGTAGATTTTGGAAATAGTCAGGACAGCACTCCAAAAATTTATCAAGTAAATGGAGGAGCAGTAATTAATGCTTTAGACAAGGCAAATTTTAAATTTGAATTTGAAAATAAAATTTCCATTAAAGATTTTTACCCAAGCTGGGGCAGGCAAAACAATAATTCAAAATTTTTGTGCTGAACATTTTAGCAAAGTTTGGCGGTCTTGTGGAGAGTATTGTTTTCAGCATACGCGACGTGTGGAAATGACTAATTCGAAATTTAAGGGGCCAGGGCTGTCCTTAATTGGTAAAAATTTATTTATTGTAAGGATGAAGGGAGATTTACTAGGAAAGAGTTTAAGATAAATTCAAAGAAAAGGTGAAAGCCCCTTTTTAATAGTTAGCCGGTAGAGCACTTATACATGGTAAGCGAAGTGTCTAGCAATAATTGCCAGGAGGTGATGGCTGCTCGCAATTAATAAATAATTTTTTTTATCTTTTGACTTAAAAATCACATCTTATAACTAGGGGTTTTTGAATAGAGAGCATAATTAGAGTGTATGTCTAATCCAACTCCCCCACATGCCAAATAAATGTATTTAATCCCCAAACTCCCTGGGTTTCTTTTCTAAATTTATTTTATTTTTTCCCCTATTTTCAGGTCTAAATTCCAATTTTCACGATACAATGTACATAAATAATGTAAAGTTAGATCCATCTCCACCTAGAATATCCTTTGGTTGTCAACAATATTTTGGGACACAAGGGCCAGCTTCTCCCAATCCAGAAAGTGAGTGTTTACC